CTTGTTTTGTTCTTGAGTTTAAGTTTGCCCTGCCGTGTGCTACCTGTCTACAGACCTGGCCTGTCCTGGCATTGAGTTTATTTTATCCTGTTTTCCTGTGTACCCGACCCAGCTACGTTCCTGACCTTGAACTTTATGCAGACCAAGCATCGGACCTGCAAATATTACTGGACTGTAATAGAAATCACATGTAGTGCTGAGTGACAGCCACTGGAAGTGTCCTTAAGGACAAATATAAACACTGCCTTTTCACAGAAGAGGCAGTGTTTACATTTGTCAGACTACAGAAACAGGCTTGTTAAGCTGTTGTGGTTCTGGTGCTAAGTGTCCCATTAATAACAAAATAACAAACAAAGAAAATTGGTGCTTTTGCAGGCTGTTTAATTACTTCACACGTTGGTGACTACAGAAAGCCAAGTGCGTTAAAGATGTTAATTGATCACAAGTGTGTCATTAACCTATTATGTTCCATATGGATAGTGCAATGTGCGTGTATTTATTTAAGGTACCTCTAAATGTACTTTTTTATGAATTGTGCACATTATCAAGCCCAGGAGGATGTTTGGTTGTGTTCTTATCATGCGATAACACTTTTAGTTTTAGTTGACTATTTTGAATTTGTAAATTTGCCAAGCTTTTTATGGTCCTATTAAACTAAAGTGACGCTAACTCCTTTCCATCAAGTTTGTGATTGCCAAATCACATAAGGTATATGGCCCAATTTTTCTGAGTCAATCCTTGTTACAATTTCAGAAAGTATTTAAATGGTGGGTTTCAGAAAGTATTTAAATGGTAGGATTGTAATCTCTAGAGAAGAATTGTGGGCACACTGCGCATGCATGTTCTAGTGCTGATCCACCAGTCCAGAGCTTCTCTATGAGACACATAAATATAGAAATGCATTCAGAAATCAGAAATGACAAAATTGTCAATAGTAAGAGTACAGAGGCAGCATCTATGCTGCAATATTACTTGCTTAAGATGACTTGATTTGGGTGTTTAGACTGTTCCTTTAATTGCTAATTTTGCTACAGTGACTTGAAATGGAAAAGTATGTCAAGCTCTTCAACAACATTTGCTTTGGGTGGTATTGAATCCTCGAGCCAATTACATGACGTGAAATAAACCAACGAAAGACGTGCGTGGGATAAAGCTTTAAACACAGAACTCCTGCAGGGGTTTGTGAAAAATAGTATGAGAGAACAGCCTGCATTTTAAACGCCTGCCCCAATTCAGGCGCGCTGACTAACTAGATTAGGCCACCTGTCACCCATATGCCGTCTAAACGTCTCAACTTTCAGGAGCCAGCGACTGAGAGGATAATCGGCCTATGTCTGTTCCTCAAGCTCGTCTTTACAGTGGCTCTGAATACAGGGTCCTCCTCCCTCTCCTCCCAAGAGACCCCTCACAAAAAAAGAGATTATCCCCCATGTCCTTGCACAAACTTAGTGGGCCAGGAGTAACCCACTAAGTGCCAAATCATTGCTGCTCAGCCACTTGCATGATTCCATAAGCAATTTGTATCCTACTTACTTTCCACCGTTTTAATTGCCTCAGATGTAGAGTTTCAAGATTCATCGATAAATAAATTAAATATAGCTAAACAGGCAACAACAAAAAAATGGAAGTGAAAGAAAAATAGGGCAGGATTTTAAAGTAGAGTACAGAAATTTGAGTCTACATTAAAAAAAATAAACCTAATATTAATTAATAGGAATAGAATTCCAGTGGAAATAGTAAAATGTAACTCAGTAAAGGAATGCAATAATAACAGGGTTACACACAATACTGAATTGTCCAGAATCCACCAGGGAATTGCAAATATAAGGACAAAATAGAGGAGCTGGAAACTTAGTAAACGTGAAGAATTTTCCAGCTATGTTGTCCTTAAATTTGCAGTTCTCTGGAGAATTCCCAACAATTCCCTGTTTAGCGAATATCCCTGCATGTATAGATCATAAGTATAACCTGGAAATCAAATGCGTAATTTGACTGAGACTGTGCCATGTGAGAACCTTTAAATTTAGAGTTGTGCTGGGACGTTGCCCATGATTAATGGGAGTTACACTCCAGGTCCTCATAGAAGCCAACAGTCCCAAATTTACTTGGATAGTTCAACATTTTGGGGTACTGTGCCTGCAAATCTCTGTCCACATATTTTTTTAAATGCATCTTTAGAATCTGATAACACAACCCCTTCGGCAGAAAATTCCACATTTTAATTATTCTTGCTGTAAAGAACCCTTACCTCTGCTGTAAGGGAAAATGCCTTTCTTCCAGTCTCAACGGGTAACCTCTTGTCTGCTGTATATTCGTGCTAATGAACAGGTTAGCATATAGTGGCTTGTACTGACCCTTTATATATATTTTTATAGTGCTATCATATCCCGTCTGAGACGCCTTTTTTCTAAAGAAAACAATACCGTTTTTTCTAGCCTAACTTTTCATCCCCTTTATTAGTTTTGCAGCTCGCTACTGCACTTTTTCTAGTTCTGTAATATCCTTCTTTAAAAATGGTGAGCAAAATTGCACCGCATATTCAATGTGGGGTCTTACTATTGATTTGTACCTTTTCCAAGCCAGTTTTATGAATCGGGAGTCACTAATTGGCTGAGAACGTCATCTGACCGCTGGATGGTGGGAGTTTAGATCAGCACTGGAGGAAACTTTGTGGTTAAACCATTCGAGAACAGCTTAACTGCTTGAGGTAAGAGTGCACCTGGGGGTCTCCTGGAAGCATAACAACTTCATTTAGATGAAGTTGTTATGGTGCCTATAGTGTTCTTGTAATGTTTTGGGGTTTGTGACATATTCCTACTATTAATGGATATCTCCTGTTTCTCCTATGCATATTTCTACCCATAAGGCTTACACATCCTCACTTGTATCATCACGTACAATTTCTTTAAAACTTGGCTTCAAATCAGGTTTAATATAAGGATATACCCCGACCCCTTTTCTCTATCCTTTCTAAATAATTTATATCCATTTAAATGAATAGCCCAGTCAAGTGTTTTCATCCCACCAAGTCTCCGTAATCCCAATTATGTCATACTGCTCCTTGTATGCCAATATCTCAAGGTCTCCTATTTACCTACACAAACTTCTTGCATTAGCAAGCAGGCATTTAAAGCTACCATTTGTTTCTTGAACTTTATTTGAATAACATGTAATTAATACCTTCTTGCTCTGTCTGTATTCTTACCACTACCCCATTTCCACCCTCCTTGACTTCAGCTAAATTCCCTCTGTTTTTAATACTATCTACCATATTTACTCGTCTTTATCTCTATGCCTACTCCTAGTTTAAAACCTCCTCCAACCTTCTAGCCATACGCTCCCCCAGCACAAAAGACTCTCAAACACGGCTACAAAGATTGTACCCAAGCACAAAATTGGTCCACTTCTCTAAAAATCCAAACCCCTCCTTCCTACACCAAGACTTCATCCACGTGTTGACTTTTCTAATCTCCCACTACCTTTCCACCGTAGCGAGCAGCACAGGTAATACCTCAGAAAATACAACCTTGGAGGTCCTCTTCTTAAGTTTGCTACCTAATTCCCTGAACTGATTGTTTAAGGTCCTCCATCTTCCTCTAACTTGTCATTGGTACCAATATGGACCATGACAGCTGAGTCATTGGCAGCCCTTCCCAATAATCCCTGCACTCTGTCAGCAACATGCCGGACCAGAGCAGCCAGTATACAAGAAACTGTCTGGTTGATGTGATCAACCTTACTCAGTTAATAATAGTATCTCCTGGGAGCAGTGGCGGATCCAGAGCCTGATCTCGGGAGGGGCACTTGTAGATTATTTAATTAAATAATCCAGGCACAATAACCACTACAGCTCAGTGTAGTAGTTATGGTGTCAGTAGTGCCAGGATTCCACCCCAGAGTAAGTAGTCATACCGTTTAAGAACAGTTTGACAACTTATCTGGGGTCTGCTGGGATATAGGGTATAGGAGCAGTGGTGTGTGTTAAGGGTGAAGTGTGTGAGTGCGGCAGTGTATGTCAGGGTTGTAGTGTGTGTGTTAGGGGGCAGTGTATGTATGGGGGCACTGTATGTGTTTTTGGGGGCAGTGTGTGTGTATGGGGTATGGGGACAGTGTTTGTGGGGCAGTGTGTGTATGGGGACAGTGTTTGTGGGGCAGTGTGTGTATGGGGACAGTGTTTGTGGGGCATGTGTGTATGGGGGCAGTGTGTGTATGGGGACAGTGTGTGTATGGGGAGCAGTGTGTGTATGGGGACAGTGTTTGTGGGGTAGTGTGTGTATGGGTACAGTGTTTGTATGGGGGCAGTGTGTGGGGCAGTGTGTGTATGGGGCAGTGTGTGTGTATGGGGACAGTGTTTGTGGGGCAGTGTGTGTATGGGGGCACAGTGTGTATGGGGACAATGTTTGTGGGGCAGTGTGTGTATGGGGACAGTGTGTGTGTCTGGGGGCAGTGTTTGTGTGGCAGTGTGTGTATGGGGACAATGTTTGTGGGGCAGTGTGTGTATGGGGAGGGGGGGCAGTGTGTGTAATGGGGCTGTGTGTGTAATGGGGGGCAGTGTGTGTAATGGGGGGGGCAGTGTGTGTAATGGGGGGCAGTGTGTGTAAAGGGGGCAGCGTGTGTAGTGGGGGGCAGTGTGCAGGGGCGGACTGACCACTCGGGCACTTCGGTCATGGACCGAGGGCCCGAGGCAGTCAGGGGCCCGGCCGCACAGCCATGCTCCAGCTGGAGAGATCTGAGATCAGAGATCAAAATTAAATAAAATAAAACTATTTAATTGATAGGTTGTGGGGCCCCTGATGCAGCGCGGGGCCCCACAACCTACCGCTCTTTAAATCCACCCCCCTCCTTCCTCCCATGAGACCTGGCAGCTTCACCTCCTCTCCCTCTCTGCCAGGTCTCCTTCTCCCTGTCTCGCGGTGCTCTGTGTGATGGGAGAGGCGCATCACTTCCTGTCTAGGAAGTGACATCACTTCCTGTTTACTCCTCTCACACAGAGCCCAGCGAGGGGAAGGAGCTGCAGCCAGGGAGACCAGAGGAAGCAGAGAGAAAGGTAGGCTTTAGTCACCCCTGTCACCAGTCACCCCCCTCCACTGTCACTAGTCACCCCCCTCACCCCACTGTCACTAGTCACCCCCCTTCCTGTCCCCCCTGTCACTAGTCCCCCCCTCACTGTCACTAGTCACCCCCCACTGTCACTAGTCACCCCCACTGTCACTAGTCACCCCCCCTCACTGTCACTAGTCACCTCCCCACTGTCACTAGTCCCCCACTGTCACTAGTCACCTCCCCACTGTCACTAGTCACCCCCCCACTGTCACTAGTCACCCCCCCACTGTCACTAGTCACCCCCCTCACTGTCACTAGTCACCCCCCCACTGTCACTAGTCACCCCCCCACTGTCACTAATCACCCCCCACTGTCACTAGTCACCTCCCCACTGTCACTAGTCACCTCCCCTCACTGTCACTAGTCACCCCCCACTGTCACTAGTCACCCCCCCACTGTCACTAGTCACCCCCCTCACTGTCACTAGTCACCTCCCCACTGTCACTAGTCACCCCCCCCACTGTCACTAGTCACCCCCCCACTGTCACTAGTCACCCCCTCACTGTCACTAGTCACCCCCCCACTCACTAGTCACCCCTCACTGTCACTAGTCACCCCTCACTGTCACTAGTCACCCCTCACTGTCACTAGTCACCCCTCACTCTGTCACTAGTCACCCCTCACTGTCACTAGTCACCCCTCACTGTCACTAGTCACCCCTCCCTCACTCTGTCACTAGTCACCCCTCACTCTGTCACTTGTCACCCCTCACTTGTCACTTTTCACCCCTCACTGTCACTAGTCACCCCTCACTCTGTCACTGTCACCCCTCACTGTCACTAGTCACCCCTCACTCTGTCACTAGTCACCCCTCACTGTCACTAGTCACCCCTCACTTGTCACTAGTCACCCCCCACTGTCACTAGTCACCCCCAGTCATCCCTCCCCTCACTGTCACTAGTCACCTCCCTCACTGTCACTAGTCACCTCCCTCACTGTCACTAGTCCCCCTCCCTCACTGTCACTAATCACCCACTGTCACTAGTCACCCCCCACTGTCACTAGTCACCCCCCACTGTCACTAATCACCCCCTCACTGTCACTAGTCACCCCCCCACTGTCACTAGTCACCTCCCCTCACTGTCACTAGTCACCTCCCCTCACTGTCACTAATCACCCCCCCACTGTCACTAATCACCCCCCTCACTGTCACTAATCACCCCCCTCACTGTCACTAGTCACCCCCCTCACTGTCACTAATCACCTCCCCTCACTGTCACTAGTCACCTCCCCACTGTCACTAGTCACCCCCATCACTGTCACTAGTCACCCCCATCACTGTCACTAATCACCCCCCTCACTGTCACCAGTCATTCCTTCACTATGTCACCAGTCATCCCTTCCTTCCCTCACTCTGCCACTCGTCATCCCCTCACTCTATCACCAGTCACCCCTTCCTTCCTTCACAGTGACAGAGTTAGGGGGGGAGTGACTAGTGACAGAGAGAGGGATGGGGTGACTAGTGACAGAGTGAGGAAGGGGGTGACTAGGGACAGAGGGGGTGATCAGTGACAGAGTGAGTGAGGGGGTGACTAGTGACAGAGTGAGTGAGGGGGTGACTAGTGACAGAGTGAGGGAGGGGGTGACTAGTGACAGAGTGAGGGGGGGTGACTAGTGACAGAGAGAGGGATGGGGTGACTAGTGACAGTCACCCCCTCCCTCCCTCTGTCACTAGTCACTCCCTCCCTCTGTCACCAGTCATTCCCCACACTCTGTCACTAGTCCTCTCTTCCCTCCCTCCCCCACTCTGCCACTAGTCACCCATTCCCTAACTCTGTCACTGGTCACCCACTCACTCACTCTGTCACCAGTCACCCCCTCACTCTGTCACCAGTCACCCCCACTCACTGTGTCTCCCCCTCACTCTGCCACCACTCAACCCCTCCTTCCCTCACTCTGCCACCAGGTACCCCCTCACTCTTCCACCTGTCACCTTCTCCCTCATACACTCTGTCACCTGTCACATATGCATTCACACAGACACTATATACAAAAAAGCACATGTAGTCATCCAGACATGCACAAGTGCATTCACACAGACTCAAATACAAACATGCATTGATACACAGGTCTTCACAATATACACATCCAAAGGAATGCCGTATTATGAGTTATATTTAACATTTATTTAATGCACGTATATTTGGCCTTCAAAGGGCCTGGGATCTAATTTTGCCCGGGGGCCCCAAAGGCTCTCAGTCCGCCCCTGGCAGTGTGTGTATGGGGGGCAGTGTGTGTATGGGGGCAGTGTGTGTAATGGGGGGCAGTGTGTGTGTATAATGGGGGGCAGTGTGTGTGTATGGGGGCAGTGTGTGTGTAATGGAGCAGTGTGTGTATGAGGGCAGTGTGTGTGTAATGGGGGGCAGTGTGTGTATAATGGGGGGCAGTGTGTGTATGGGGGGGCAGTGTGTGTAATGGGGGGCAGTGTGTGTAATGGGGGGCAATGTGTGTATGGGGGGGCAGTGTGTGTGTATGGTGGGGCAGTGTGTGTGTATGGGGGGGGAAGGAGGCTTTTTAATAATTTTTTTTTTAAATAAAATAAATATTCTATGTCCCCCCTCCCTTCTTACCTTTATTTAGGAGGAGGGGGGGCATTTCCCTGGTGGTCCGCTGGGTATTCCCTGGTGGTCCCAGTGGTGATTCCCTGGTGGTCAGGTGGTCAGAGTGAACTCTAGCCCGCGCTCCCGGGCTAGAGTTCACTCTTGCGAGATTTGGAGCATTGCCGTGGTAACCGCGGCAACGCTCCAAATCTCGAGAGAGGAGGACCCGGAGGAGCTGCAGGCTGAGCTCCCGGGTCCTCTCTCTCACTCCCTCCCTCCGCCGCCGGCTGTCAGCACGGTGCCTGGGGACCGGGGAGGGAGATCTCTGATCTTCCTCCCCAGTCCGCAGGCACATTGCAGGGCTGGCACTTGGGCAATGCCAGCCCTGTGTTAGCCGGCAGGGGGGAATCTCGAGGGGGGGCAATTGCCCCGTTGCCCCCCCCCCCCTGGATCTGCCAATGCCTGGGAGGGCGTCTCTGGAACTAAAATCCTTTTTGTAATAGAACAGCATACAATTATAATTAACACCATTACAAGCATGACCACTAAAAAAAGCAAGGGGGTCTTTAATACAAGCACAATTTAACAACAAGAAATAACAGGTAGCAGATATTACATGACAAAGTATTTACCACATTTCTAAAAAAAAACAACCTAACATGTAACACACAATATACTAATTTATGATGCCATGTTTGCTAACCAGGACTCTAGAGAATATTTCAAAGGATCTAACAGTCAACAGGTATAGCTTGGAGGAAAGACGAGACAGGGGGGATATGATTGAAACATTTAAATATATAAAGGGAATCAACACAGTAAAGGAGGAGACTATATTTAAAAGAAGAAAAACTACCACAACAAGAGGACATAGTCTTAAATTAGAGGGACAAAGGTTTAAAAATAATATCAGGAAGTATTACTTTACTGAGAGGGTAGTGGATGCATGGAATAGCCTTCCAGCTGAAGTGGTAGAGGTTAACACAGTAAAGGAGTTTAAGCATGCGTGGGATAGGCATAAGGCTATCCTAACTATAAGATAAGGCCAGGGACTAATGAAAGTATTTAGAAAATTGGGCAGACTAGATGGGCCGAATGGTTCTTATCTGCCGTCACATTCTATGTTTCTATGTATCAAATCCCAGGCATTCTCTATGTAAAAGGTTGTTGAAATGAAGCATCTGTAGTGAAATTATCACTGCTCATCAAAACAGACTTCTGATGTGTCAGATCTGTCTCTATTATAAGAATGGGGATATGGGTGCCATGCTTTTAACACTCAATGACATAGAAAGTAGATTAAAGCTTTGTTTCATGCACTACCTGCATTAATCGGGGCCTGGTTGCACTTTGTATGTATTGCTGCTGGGTTTTTTACATGAAAATAGCATTGACACAGGAGCCGGGCCCCTAGCTTCTATGGCCAGTCCTGGTTTTCCCATTAGACAGAGTAGGTATATACCTACAGAAACATGCTTGATGGGCTTGTCTACTCTATAGAGTTCTGGTTTACCAAGTTCTGACCGGATTTGGCTTTTGTAAATATGAGAATTGCCATTCCGGTCAGAATTTGGCCATTTTCACTGGATTTTCAAAATCCAGTATTTAGTGAATAGTTCTGTCAGTTACCTTATACTTAAATAGTGTATGAAGATAAGAATAGAGCAAATGACTAAAAAAATTATTGGCATTGATCCCGGTGGCAGACACAGTCTATTTCAGTACATTGTAAAAGTTGTCATAGTTAATAGACTAAGGTACTCAATATAATCTATACCGGGGAAGCTATTTAAAGGGCCACTGGAAGCACCAAAACAACTTAAGCTTAATGAAGCAGTGTTGGTGTATAGATCATGCCCCTGCAGTCTTACTGCTCAATCTTCTGCCATTTAGGAGTTAAATCCCTTTGTTTATGAACCCTAGTCACACCTACCTGCATGTGACTTACACAGCCTTCCTAAACACTTCCTGTAAAGAGAAATCTACAGTTTCTCTTTACTTTATTGCACTGTTTGTTTAAATTAGAATTTCTTATCTTCTGTTCTGTCAATACCATTCTTGACCCTGCATAAAGAACACATGTGTGATTAAAGTTCAATTTACAGAGCAGGAGATAAAAACTTCTAAAATAAATAAGATCTGAAACCATTCATTTCCTGCAGGCTGTGTCAGTCACAGACAGGGGAGGTGTGGCTAGGGCTGCATGGACAGAAAGAAAAGTGATTTAACTCCTTAATGGAATAGAATTGAGCAATGAGACTGTAGGAGCATGATCTGTATACCAGACCTACTTCATTAAGCTAAATTTGTTTTGATGCTTATAGTGTCCCTTTAAATGTTGGCTGGCTTGGGGTGAGGGGTTTTGGGAAGGTGTGCAAGGTAAGGAGCCAGGATTTTTCTGGTAAAAAAACATTGTCTAGATGGATTAAGGATAAGTAATTGAGCTACACAACTCTCAACTAACAGATATTCTGACGAGACAGACCCTTTGTACTACTGCCTTTTATAATGCAAATATGCTGGAAAATGCTTAATCTGTGTGAGTTATTTGTGATGTACAGCATTCGAACATTTTCTTGCCTGTAAAATAAATAAAAAATTAAGATTAAAAGGTCATAAATGCATTACTGGAGAGTTGAAATAAAAATGCTGGTATACAATATATACACATTGGCATATGTGTATACAAATGTGTACGTGCTGCAGGAAGTGTTAATAGGTGTATAGTGTGAAATTACCCAGATATGGAGGGTGTAGAAGAAGATAGGAAGGGAAAATGATATGGATAACAGATCTTTAATTCTCTTCCTATCTTAACCCCTTAAGGACACATGACATGTGTGACATGTCATGATTACCTTTTATTCCAGAAGTTTGGTCCTTAAGGGGTTAAATCAGTGCAGAGAGCCTTTATCACTATTGGGCCCCAGGGCCCATCTGTTCTTGAGCTATCCCTGGACTAGATTTCAACACTCATGCATAGGTAAACAAACCCAAGTCTCACACCTATTAGTAAATTCTCACCTTCACACAATTTGAAAGCTAGGAGAGCCATGTGGTATGCAAAACAGTTGGAAAACATTACTCTAGTGGCTCCCCATTGATTAAACAGTTGTATGATAGAAGGATCAGGCCTCTTATTTATATATAATTTTATTTAAAACAGATTTTAACCTCCCTTTGTCAAGGACCCGTATTACGTTCATGGCATTGATTCCCTTGGACACTTTTTTTTTTTCTCAATTGAAAAATTATGTCAATAGCTTATCTTTCTAATATATTATGCTCTTACCAGTATAGGGATCTCTGCTTCATTGAGGAAATCAGTCCCACTACAGAAAACAACATATTATGCATGATATATCTGTTCCAGCCAATAGGGTCTCACTGAAATTGCAAAGGTACCCAATTTTAGGTCTAGAACAAGGGGTAGACGAACTGATTAAAGAAGAATATGTTATTAAAATTGATTTTTCGTTGGAGTCTGACTGGCAAGCAGAGCAGTTGCATGCTAAGTGAGCTCCTGAGAATAGCCTGCCTAATAAGTGTTTTATACCTGCCTTATTGCAGCTTCTCACAGCAAAACAAGTGTTCCGTATTGTGAGGACCTGGTGACCACATTCGGTGCTATCCTGAACTGGAATCCCATCACGATTTGCGTCCTTCAAACTTGTTGTGCCAACCTGACACGACTGAAAGGCAAACTTGTTGTGCGAACCTGACAGTGGAGATAACCTGAAAACTCCTGCAGGTCCGAAAACACCCAATGCCACCATTCCAAGATGGCCACCATCACGTCCTCGGCCCTCCTTGAGGAGCGCATTGAAGAGGCCTTTGCACGAATGTGCAGTTGTGGCATTGTGCCCTCTCTTGTTACCGATAGCATGTTCCATTGAAATATTCTCAGATCAGATCTATCTATAGTAGGACAAGCTTACGCCATGCATTGTTTCTTATAATTTCCTAAAATAATTGTGCCACTTTCTCAATGCCATGCTTAAGGATGTCTATCTTTAAATTTAATATGCTTGTGTTCGCTTTTGTGGCATCACAACACTCTCTGTAATAATATGCACAACAACAACAAAATAACTTAATAAAAATAAAAAGATTTTATTAAAAAAAAGTTTATTTTTCCATGCAAATACTTTAATATGGATGTGTTTTGTATAAGAATTCCCAAATGGTAGGAGTTTGAAGAGTACGTGTAGCTTCAGAGCTCACATATGGTAATTAAAGGAATAGTCACCAATGTCACAATGTGCGTGCTTTGCCTGAACCAAAAGAAACAAACACTTAGTAAGCTTGAAAAGTAAAGAGGATGTTTATTTGACCTTTAAAGAAGCACCCTAGGCCCTTTTTAAGAAGCATTTCAAATCTTAAAGGTAAAGTAACTTACCTGTGTTTGATATGCAGGGCCAAGATTCTGATTAGTTTGAATCCTACCTCCATCCCTGACTGGGACCATGAAAAGCTCTCTCAATATTACAAAATGTCACTATACATGCCCATGACAATTTACTTGTAAATCTGTCTTTTAAAGGAACGTTAAAGCTTTAGGAATACAAACCTGTATTTATAACAGAATTATGTCAACCCTCCCCCTTTTGCAATACATTTTAAAAAATAGAAATACTTACTTTACTTACCTTTTTCCAGCGCTGAGCCACCTGCGCATCATGAAGGGGGCATGACCTCCTCCGCGATGGATCAAACCAATGTTCCTCACTAAGAAGCAATGGGGACTGTCCGCATGTGCATACCAGTTTCTCTATAGGAGAAATTTGAATCAATGCTTTCCCAATGGTAGACTTAACCCTGCAATGTAAATTGCCATTTCAAAAAAGGAAAAAAAGGACACCCACAACATGTCATTGAGATGAAGTGGTCGAGGTGACTATAATGAAGCAGTTTTGGTGTATAGATCATGCCCTTGAAGTCTCACTGCTCAATTCTTTGCCATATAGAAGTAAAATCACTTTGTTTCTACAGCTCTAGTCACACCTCCCTGCATGTGACCTGCCCAGTTTCCCTACACACCTCCTGTAAAGAGAGATTTAATTGTTAAACTTCCTGTATTGCGCAGTCTGTTTTAGGTAGAATATCTAATTTCATGTTCATTTAACAGCCTACTAGAGCCTACTGTGTGCGACTGAAGTTCAATTAACAGAGCAGGAGATAAAAACATCCCAAGGAAACACAATGTGCTGAAGATTCTGATTAAAAATAAAATCATTTCATCATGCAGACCGTGACAGCCACAGCCAGTGGAGGTGTGACCAGGGCTCCATATATAAAAACAAAAGTGATTTAACTTCTAAATGGCAGAGATTTAGGTAGCGTGATGGCAGGGGCATGATCTATACCAGGGGTAGGCAAGCTTTGGTATTCCAGATGTTGTAGATTACATCTCCTATAGTGTGCTTACAACCATAATGCTGGCACAAGCATCAGGGGAGATGTAGTCTATAAAATCTGGAGTGCCAAAGATTGGCTACCCCTAAATCATCTACTGCTTCATTAAGCTAAAGTTGCTTTATTGCTTAGATCATCCATTGAAAAAAAATAAACTCACAATGATGTGCCTTGTGTATCAGTTTATCCCAGAACTCCACACCAATAAAAGTTCCAGTAATAATATTTTAAAGGCGGCAAGTTATATTTTTATTAAAGTGTGTATAATAGAAAACTTTGAGACATATTTTCAAGCTGGAAACACAGCCGACTTGGAAGCAATATCCCATTTTGCCATTATGCCTTAAAATTTTAATGTCATTTTGAAATCACATTGAATTTCTGACAATGTTATAAATAATCATATCGGTCAGTCTGCAGTGTCAATGTATTCTTGCTGCCTGCGTCAAGTGTTTTACTCCAATCTCAAATTCAGAACTAAGAAACAAATACATTTTGTCTCAACAAAGCAGACTTGTATTTTTCTGCTCAGTTTTACAGATCTAATTTGCATTATCTGAATCCACCTATGAATGGACTATGTCATAAAACGTTTTAGAATATTTAGCAAATGTATGTATGGGTCAATTTAATACATGAATTAGCTTTTGTTACAACCACGTCTCTTGGCCTCTTAGCAGGCCTCAGCCAATTATACATTGGAAAGCACAATCATTTTTATGGTGAGAAACCTTTATTTTATTTAATTTTAATTTTTTGTTTTATTATGCAGATACGCAGCATAGGCAATTAAAACATTATTTATATATATATATATATATATATATATATATATATAGTCTTTGTTAGTAGCCACAAACACTGGCCAAAATTAGCGTTCAAATTAACTTTCTGCATTTTTCACACACACACACACAAACATGAACGCTAACTTTGGCCAGTGGTTGTGACAAAGTGGCTACTAAAAAGACTGGACATACCCCACTTGCAATACCATGGGTTGTCTACTTTTGCAAATGGTATGCTATCATGGGGGTAATTCTCATTCCTGGGCTACCATACAGTCTGAAAGGCAACATAACCAATCTGGCAAATTTCAATGTGTATAAACTGAAAATGTAATGTGCTATATTTGACCCTGTAACTTTCCAAAACACCACAAAACCTGTACATAGGGGGTACTGTTTTACTCGTAAGACTTCGCTAAATACAAATATGTTGCAGTAAAAGCAGTGTTATAACATTCACAGTTAAAATGTCATGCAGAACTTAAAAAAAATCTACATTTCTCACATTGTTTTTATATTTTATTCATATTAAATTATGTTTCATATCTAATATTCGATGTGAAATAAAAGCCATGTGTCCCCTGAACAAAGTGATATATAATAAGTGTGGTGCACATATAGTAAAATTCCAGGTTTTGTTTGCATTTTGTTTAGATCAGAACTTGTACAATTGCCTCCATTCTTAAGAGGTTAAAGGGACACTATAGGCATCCAGACCACTTCAGCTCAATGAAATGGTCTGGGTGCTATGTCCGCTTAGTTTTAACCCGGCAGCTGTAAGCATAGCAGTTTCAGAGGAACTGCTATGTTTACATTGGGGGTTAATCCAGCCTCTAGTGTCTGTCTCCTTGACAGCCACTAGAGGCGCTTCTGCGATCCTCAATGCGAACATCGCATTAAGGACACCCTGGATGTCTATAGGAAAGCAGTGAGTAATGCTTTCCTATGGGCGGTATGAATGCACGCGCGGGGCTCTGGCCGCGCATGTGCATTCGGAGCAGACATCGGCAGGGGGAGGAGAGGCCACCAGCACTGAGGGAGCCCGGCACTGGATTAAGGTAAGTGGCTGAAGGGGTTTTAACACCTTCCGCTCAGCGGGAGGGGGGCACAAGTTTGTTTTCCTGGCACTATAGTGCTCCTTTAATTCTTTCTATCCTATTATCTTGTACGTTTCTATTTTGTTTGTGTACTTGTGTCCATCCCTAATGTTAAAATTTATAAAATTGCACTTTGGGACGATACATTTTTTTGCCTTCCAAGCCACAAGTTGCTAGCCCTCCCTTATTTGCTATATGTTCTGAACACTTAACTGGCTCCTAGAATCCACTGAGACGAATGGGAAATGAAAACCGTACTGGTGGCAATGCAATAATGGATATTTAGTATATGAATGTGTGGCCAATCCATGGTGCCTTGTAAGTGCAGATATGTGAAATGGGTACCTTTTGGAGTGAATGATTGAGCTCAGCTCTTTGCTAGTGGAACAGTGTCTTCGTAAGTGGTCTCTTTCCTAGTGTTCCTGGGTCTTGTACAGGTTGTGTTTGAATACTAGGTGTCGTGTGGAGGTCTTTTCCCATATCCTGTAGAAGAATGAGCGGTTTAGTGGCAGCGTTAGGCACCCAAGAGGTAGAACTGATGTGGATTTTGCAGAGGACATTTTCAAACATCTCACTTGGTGCATCTATTGATTTCTGTGATGAGGTCAAGGCTCTTCCCATGTTGCAGATGGGTCACCATCTTGGGAAAACATGTCCAATGGACGATAAGTGTTTGGAAAACGAGAAAGGATAGGCTTCCAGGTAGATACAATATCTCTGTACCAGGATAACTCCTACTGCCCAGGAGGGGAGAAATGTGGAAGCTGTACTCTAACATATATGCAATCTTGTGATGTACTAGATTTGCTGCCACCAACTGGGCCACATATTGTGCCAAGGTGATATCAAAACACTCTCAAACTAGTCTTCTAAAGCACTGACGGGAAAGTGGTAGTAAATTGCCCTTAAGGGAACACTTTAGGCACCCAAACCACCATGTCAACTAAGTGGTCTAGGTGCCATGTGCCCTCCTGCAGGTGACAACTACTAGATGTGCTTCTGCAAAATTCCTTTTGGAATGCATTGAGTTGGTTTAGAATATCCATCTTGGTAATATCTGCCATGGAGGCGGGGCCAGCTGCAGAGAGAGGGGATTGGCAAGGGAAACAAGGTCAGTTAGCTTTTAACCCTTGCGAGTAACTCCATGCAGGACTAGGCTCCATCTTATGAAGGTACATGTGATTATATATGTTTGGTACAATTTCCTATTTTAACACAGACACACACAACGCCTACAGAGGTTTGCTGCTATGTAAACATGCCGTAATTTTCATTCATGAGTGCTACTGTCCATTAGACCTTGATGTAACTTTCCAGTAATGCAGGTTTGGCAAGTTTCCCCTACACAAGTACACAACCCAACCCTAGTTTGAGAACTCTTACTTTAAACACAACAAGATCAGCTGGCAAAGGGGGCATTCCCACCTGGAGTGCCAATGCCAAGGTGGGAGTGTCAGAAAAGTTGATGCCAAGCCACATGCACAGATTTTTTTCATGCAGGTTACTGTTAGCAATTATCCATGGTTTTATAGAGTAGTGGAACAACAGAGAACTAACAAGGGGCAGCAGAAAGGGTCCCAAAACTGGGACAGTACTGCTGGATCATGAATGGTTGGGAAATATTGAAGTCTCACTTCATACCTTCATGGGCAAAGTTATAACTTTAAAAAAAAAAAAAAAATTCTGAAATAATGGAGAAACAGCAGCAAATTTGTGGAAAAAAAACTTTATTTAAAAAAAACAAAACAAATTGGGCAGACTAGATGGGCCAAATGGTTCTTATCTGCTGTCACATTCTATGTATTCCACCAAAATGACAGTCCTCCTTACTCTTTGGTGGAATAAAACTTCTTCCTTTTCAAGCGGTGTTGCGACATTATTCAAACCTGGGAGACTGCACAGAATTTGCGATAAACGCAAAGTGGATTTCATATTTTAGGCAGTAGTAGCCGTCATAGCGGACATGGAGAATGTTGTCAATGTGGCTGTTGTGGCGTATAATTTAAAATTAGCTTTGAATTCCTGACAATTCACACTTTGAAGAATAACCTTGTCAGTATTCAGCTCATTACAAAACATATTTAAAAGTACTTTTATATTTCATGCCTTATGAAAGTGATCGAGCCACAGCCAGAAATCATTATAAACCCAGGTCAATACTCAACTAACAAAACAATGACACTGGCATCTTCTTAATGATCACAGCTTTATTGAGTGCCCTGGTGAAGAAAAAAAACAGGAACAACTTACAATAACATTTACAACATTACCCTAAGACCTCATCATGCCTATTTTGAAGCTTGCTGTAGAATATCTCTCCCCAAATCTCACCAATAGGCGCCATATCCATCTGAGCCGTAAAGGGATATTGTCACCCCCAAACAACTCATGCTATTTTTATAGAGAATGGAATTTCATCTATACATTGTACTAGAAAATGTACAGATTTGGAGAAAGACTTATTTAAAATAGGTTTTCGCTCACGTGTCATTTCTTCGGCACTTACTCTTGTAAGTAATGTAAGCTGGTTTGAGCAGGTCCCTCAATACCCCTGTTCCTGTGCTTACAGCTAAGTTTGTTGCAATTGCAGGTCTGTATTGTACAGCGCTATGGATTTTCTTGTCACTTTATGAATAATAATTTACTCTATGTCAAAGAATTGGTTGACAAGAAAAAGAGACAGGACCTCCCACAAGCCTTCTGCGCTCCACCAGTAGCAACCACAGAGTATTGTATGTTATTACTTGCACTTGTTGTTTCTCTTCTATTTTATTATTTCTTTTTCACCCTTCTTAAACAAAACTAGTAGAGTAAGAAAAGAATTGGCAAAAGAATAGTTTAATCGTTGGTTAAAATCATTTCCAGAGTGAATGAACAGTTTCTTCCCCCCATGAAAAGCAGTAACAGATTGTGTTAATTTCGATGTAATATGGCTGACTTCTGTTCCAAAACTAGGCTTGTAACACAAAATGGCCACTGCTGCCGAAAATGTCAAAAAGAGGCTTTGGTCACACAAATTCAATAACCTTTTAGAAGATGAGGAAAAGGTCATAAAGAAATGTGAAACACACCCCAACACAGGAGCTGGTGAAAAAGACGCATGGAACACACTATGAATAAGGAACACATGGAACTCTCTACATTGATGAACTAAGTTATAAATATGAAGGATTCACAAAGGCAGCATTATTGAGAGAGGAAGTCTCCGTTGGTGAAATGCATTTCAATGGGAAAAGCCCTTTAATATCAGTATTATTTTCATATTGTTTTAAATTTGTTTTTGGTTTTTATTTGACCAGCATTGTATTTGCAAATAGTTTTTAAAACATACTTTGTCCAATAAAGCTGGAAACATTTGCTACATAAAGGATTTCTTTGATTATGTCAAGGGGCAGTGTCACCCTTTAAGAGACACTAGCGCAGCAACTATGCAAATGTGAGTTTGATAATTTTATCATATACATATGGCACTATTTATTAATTAGTTTTATTACATATATAACCATCTCACAAGCAAGTGAACCTTTTTTGTGAGTTGGCATTCCTACTAATTTAACAAGTTTACTTACTTTATTAAAGGACCACTATAGGCACCCAGACCACTTCAGCTTAATGAAGTGGTCTGGGTGCCAGGTCCAGCTAGAATTAACACTTTTTTTTATAAACATTGCAGTTTCAGAGAAACTGCTATGTTTATAATATGGTTAATCCAGCCCCCAGTGGCTGTCTCTTGACAGCCGCTAGAGGCGCTTGCGTGCTTCTCACTGTGAAAATCACAGTGAGAAGACGCCAGCGTCCATAGGAAAGCATTTTAAATGCCGATGACGCCTTTATGGAGGAGGAGGAGAGCTCCCTGCCCGACGCTGGAGAAAGGTAAGATTTTAACCGCTTCCTCTCCCCAGAGCCCGGTGGGAGGGGGTCCCTGAGGGTGGGGGCACCCTCAGGGCACTATAGTGCCAGGAAAACGAGTATGTTTTCCTGGCACTATAGTGGTCCTTTAAGATTGTCTGCACTATTGTTATCTGCATTTTGTTTTGGAAGTTTTATTCCACCTAAAAAGTAGCCTGAAAAAAATTGTAGGTATAAAAGTGTGAAACACGATTGATAGTGAATTAAAGTATTTTTCTGGCACAATGAGCACTACTATTTTAAAAACACATTTTTTTAAAATGATGTATATATAAATATATATATTTTATTTTCAATGCATTTTATTTACTGCCATTTTAAAAGGATTAATGTATAAAAGTATTACGCACGCTTTATATTTATTGTTTGGTACAAGTTGCACCTTATTAAACTGACACTTTAAATACATAGTTACACAGATTTAAAAAGGATTTGTATGCAATATATTACTAAGTGCTTCACCATATACTTGACACATTGTAATCTTTTGTAGCACCTACAACACCTTCGCTGTGGTTGCTATGGTAACTGGCTGACTGGGAAGTATAGAAACAGGATTCAGATGCTGGAATGCATGCTATTAACGAAGTCGGCGTAATGGAGGAGGTTTGCCCTGCTTGCCAGTAAAGAGTGTGGGAGGAGTGTGAGGGAACCGTAGGTGGGCATTGTAAGTAATACCTACTTCTGTAAGGAGATCGTGGCGGGTCAGGTAAGTGCCTGACAGTTCCCCTTTAAGTGCTGTCCAGGAACTCCCGCAATCTTTGACAAAAAAAAAATCTAAAAAAACACCTTTATTGTAAACTATTCTAGAAAGCTACTTCTCCTGTACATGACATACGTCTTACCCTGAATGCTTGCGCCACTTTAACCCACTCACTGGAATGCAAGCTAGTGTGAGCAGGGCCCTCAACACACACTGTTCCTTTGCGTCCAACTCGTATTTCAAATACTTGTTTGTTAGTCCATCTATTTTACGGTGCTGTGGAATTTGTTGTTGCTTTCTAAGTAATAATAACAACAACAAAAAGAACAAACAGACAACACACAACGAAGAAAAGAAAGTGGGGGTTAAGCTTGACACTTGAGCTTTTTTTTTCACCCCTACCTGTCGCTGTGAAAGAGTATGTCCCCTTTTATACAATATTGCAAATATTAATTCTGCCCCACAGCCCACCCAATCAATGTCTGATACCACTCCTGTAAAGCCAACTTGAACCCTTACCATGTACTCCTTCTCAAAGGGTCCAAGGTTCTTCTTTATGGTACAAAATTAACTGTAAAAACAAATATTTGTTTACCATAATAATATAATTTAAAAATAATAATTCTGATTTAGTTTATGTATGAGTATATTAACTGCATGTTATATGGCTGCCATGATGGTGATATTCATATGTAAGGTGGTGGTGGTGGGAATACCAGTGTTTGTAATATCTCAAATAAGACACTAGGGGGCTCTGAAAACAAAATTAGTATATCTAATCCAAAAGCTCTACTCCACCTTCTATGTATGCTTGAACATATCAGGTTGAAAGCATTTTAATCCATAGAGAAATTCGTTTTCATTGCCTTAGTCAGAATGGACACATACATAACCACGTGGCTCCACTGGATTAGCGTTACATCATCACATACATAGCAGACAGACAATCTCTAGAAAACTCTCAAAAAATAACGGATATTGCATACTCCCCTCTCTTTACTATTTCTTACCTTACGTTTACTTACTAAACAAAGACTTCTAGTGAATTGAATAGAAGCTAATTTACAAAATACACACTAAAATAGCTGTAGACACAAAACGGCCAGTTTGGTGTAAAGTTTGCAATATATAGATTGTTTTGCAGCCAAACATCTGTATTTAATGTCTGTATCCACAGCCATATTCTTTCACCTTATGCTTCAGTGAAAACATCCAAGATTGATAATGCAGAGCTGTAATTTCCAAATTATCAACGTGTCTACAATGGGAGTCTGGGGCTGGGTGCTGGGGCAAATTAAAGTTTTTCACAAATATTACAAAATGGTTTGGCAGAAAACCCATGGATGGGCTGTAGACTCATAGTACCATAAGCACCACAAATAGCATAGAATGTCCGTGTAAAGAGAAAATCCAAAAACGGTGGACTATGACAACTCCTGTAGACTGCGAGAATGCAAAAATAAGGTAAGATCTTAATATATGAACTATACTACTGAGTCTAGAATTGTAAATATATATATATTTCCTTCCCTAAAAGTACAACATCACAATATCCAAAAAAGTGTCCCAGGAGCCAACAAACACTGTCACGGGGAGAGAAATCACAATTCATCGGATCGTAGTCAAGTATCAGCAGGTCGATAGTTAATATGTTACTACTTGATAAATGGACAAAATCGAGCATTTATTTGCCATCTTAAACAATTACGTCCTCTTGTCCAGGATGAAATGTTGTGCAAGATATTGCATCTATTTTTCAAAGAACATTCTATGTACATTGCCATTTAGAGATTTATGAAAAGTAAGACTATCCCCCCTAGTGGAAGAAAGAGGTGCAGCACACAATTTGAAAATAAATAAGGAATTTGAAAAAGATGTGGTAAGTTTAGATGGATAAAAATTAGATTTAAAATTTTGTATTTTAAATATTTATGCATGGAAATATTTATCACTGCCTTTTTAAGCAGATAAGGAATGTGTCTGTCTATGGCAATGCAGCAGATTTGAAGTAGCAAAATAATAAAGAATGAATGGATTGCATGGAGATGGTACAGCAGTATACATCACGTAGAAGTGAATTGCCACACATGCAAAATGAGGTACCCAAAATTAATGATGGATCAGAGTCAAGTCTCAATAAATTAGGAGTATCTAAAATGCTTCAATGTCCAACATTGTGAGGTGGGAATGTAGTGTACTAACTGCCCGATGTGGGTTGCTTGACAATATTTATAAATGTGACAGTTTTATATGACCCAGCTGAAATGTAAAAAAAATGCAGCAGTGTGCTAAAAATAAATGTTCCAATGCCCTCGCCAAAGTGCACTGTGACATCCCTAGAACTCAGGTCAACTAACAGCCAAACAAAAATTGTGTTCTCTCCCACTAAACGTGAAAAACTGTATCCCTAGTACAAAAGGAAACCATCTCTTCTAAGGTTAATTGAGACCAAAATAAAACGAGCCTCAATATGAAAAAAGAAACAAGCTAGTAGCAAAAAAAGGGGGGAAGCCCCTAAACTGTGAACAACAAGTTTTGAAAAAAAGAAAACAGAAAATAAGTCTACCAACAACGATTTCTAACTGGGAGAGTATTAAAACGTAACTTTTAATCTATATCAAGAATGTGATAAAATATTGATGCAAAAATAACCAAAATGATAAAGGATAATAAATAAAATTTAAAAAACAAAAACAAAATGGAAGAAACAGTCCTCTCTGTTAAGGGCAATTGGACGGCAGGAATATAAAACCTGCTTCTCCTCCTCTCACTATTTAATCAGGGCCAGATTTCCCAGAAAGCCACAGAGGCCAGGATCTCAGGGCAGCATGGCCGATGGGTAGGTAAATGATCTTCCTCACCGGCCAGCCCATTCTCATGCTGAGAGAGACGGCCACTGTATCCATTTGTCTGGTTACAATTATGTGTCTGTTAGTCCACCCATTGTTCAGCGCTGCGGAATTTGCTGGTGCTATATAAATAATAAAATAATAATGACAAGGTAAATTGAATAAGGGTTTCATATCGCAGATCTTTCTAGCCAATATAAATGCTGTAACACAGGAACAGTTTCCATAAATTACAAATACGAAAGAAGACATTTGTCTTATGACGAATGGCAATCACATGGGCGGCAAATGCGTGATTGTGTCAAGGAACAAGGTTATTAGACACTTTTTTTTTTTTTGCTGGAGAGGAGGTCACCATGAGAAAGTGTTCGATAAAGTTGAAGCACAGTGGATCCAAAGGTCTGAATATAGATTTAGAGCATATATATATATATATATATATATATATACACACACACACACACACACACACACATTTACACACTCATATATTTGTTTAAAGAAATTATTTATTTATTTTTATAAATATGTATGTATCCCTTTTTATATTCCCAACATAATAATTATTAGTACTGGTAATGTGAAATTTTCTAATCCACTTAGATTTTTTGATTTAATAATATATAGTAAGCATTTTAAGTCTTTAAAATGACAGTGACCTGTACATGTCAAACATAAAGTTTTTTTTGATTTGGGCAGACTAGATGGGCCGAATGGTTCTTATCTGTCGTCACAGATGGTTCCCATCTGCTGGAATACAACGGGCAGCAGAGAGTTAAAGGCGTTCTAGTTGATAGACAGCTCACTTGTAGTGAAACCACAAAATGAGAAAATTGATCATTTTTTTAAAGCATTTAAAGTCATCCTTTTCTTTAAAAATAAATATAGAATACCACCTGTTCTTTATGGAATTTCACAAGGCATAACAAAAATATTTATTTGTCATTGACATTCATATTACAAACATTTAATAACATTGATAAAAAATATTCAGCTATGTAAACTACATATTTAATTCAAAAATTGAATTAGTTGATTTTGTATTAAAACAATCTTACACAAAAAATATGACAACAGTAAAAATATTTTTTAGGTCAGGAATTCTTTAGCGCGCGTTGTCCTATTCGGTCCTATAGGATTTTGTTTTGATCTTCCTAGTCACAGAGAACAGATAGATTTTAATGAAATTAGAAAAATTCAGTCTGTAGCCCTAGGAGACTCAGCCGAGGTAGCATTCCTGTATCTCCGTACAAATAGACAATTTACTTTGGGCTTTTGTCTTATTTTGCAGACTAGTGAAATCCATAGGGAGGCATTTGACTGTTTTTGTGCTGCTTACACATCATCAAAATGTTCGTTTTACTACCAACGTCAGTCTGCCCTGTGTGACCCTGTGAACTCCAACCTAATCCACCTGTGCCTCTAACACAGGCATAACCACCCAACAATCCCCAATGGATTTAATCATCTAAATTCAAAATAAGTGCACTGGCTGGGTGAGTTAAATGTTCTATGCAATTTTCTACAAATACATTCTCAAAGTTTTATTTACGTATTTTTGGCTTGTAACATTCAATTTTCCTAAGTGGACTCCTCTTTCGTTCTAATTTCTCCATAATAATCTGTCATATAAAATAGTATGGATAATAAAAAGAACAAAAAAGGATTTCCGTTCAATCTCTGATGTTAATATGCAATTTTGTTTATTTTATTTTTTTTCAATTCTTACTTTATATTTTTTATTTTTATGCACTGCAATTTTTCTCCTTGCCATTGTTTATTTTATGTTTTGGGACTTGTACAGGCATTATTTATAATAAATATTTTATGGCTATGTTTGGAAACAACGCACTTAGTTTGTGAGCTAAATAGTTCACAGGGTCCTGACCCTAGTCTGTGACATGTATCCCCCGAAGATTCAACTTATTTGTCATAAATCCAAGGGGTTATTATTTTATAGAAAAGCAGTATGCTTAGCCCCTATAATTTTGTGGGGGGTTCTTTGAAGATATAATAAATATTTAATTCATAAAATTATACAAGTAAGAGACATTTGAGTGGTGGTAAATGGCTGGCACGAACACAATGTACCACTTGCACTGTGGATTGGTATTTGATCCATCCAAGGGCACAACATAGCTTAAAATCTCTATAAAATCACAGTGAAGTGTGAACTAAAATATTTAGCTATAGGTTGATCCATACATTTACGATCAAGAGATATAAAGTACATCTCCACTAGCTTTCTTTGAGGTCAAGGGAAACTACACAATAACATATATGTTGTAGAGTTCTACTTTTTATGTTTTATTACCATTTGTCGCAAGGTAAAAGTGATAAAATATTTGGATGCTGCAATTAGCTTTGCAAGATATAAAACAGTATTTCAATAAAAAAAAAAAAAATACTAACTCGCTTATATTGGTTAATGCTAAACTCTATAGTAGTATTTCACTAATGTGGGAATCTATATAAAGACAGAATTATTTATCAAAAAAAAAAAAAAAAGTATGTTTGTACAATGTCATGACATCACTGGAAATGTGGTAACTGAGATATTGAGCATTTACACTTTCAGTAATTACCTCTGTCCAAGATGAGATAATTGGAGCCCGTCTCTCAGTTATAACAGACATATAGAGTTCATTGAGCCCAGGCAGAATTCCTAAAACCATCTCTTGATCATCACAAGGTCGCTCTCCTTTTGTCATAATTACTGCTCCACCATATACATTACATCATGTAGAGTGTCACAGTTGACTCATCAAAAGGCTAGTGTATTTCCCCAAAGAGATGAAGTGACAATATAGCAGCGTGTATTAAAGGCATGGGTAAATATTAGCAGCACTGAACAGTACTAACAATTTCAGGCTGCCATCATTTGAAATGCATTCCTATGACAGATGAAAAGGTGTGTGATTCTTGAATCGAGTTTCCCCATTTTTCATATGAGAAAAATGCTTTTTTGCAATCTAGTTCCAACCTAACCCTAGACTGGATACACCTTGCTATTCCTAAGTACAGCACACAATTATCAGTGTAACCTGAATTCTCAGAAGTGGCTTTTCCGTACCCCGCAGTCTCTCGGAGCTATGATAAGGCTATATTATTTGGCTTACTTTCTGCTAAATGTCATTATACCAGTTTGAACACCTCTGCAGTGCCAGCTCCCAGCTGTTCATAGATGGCTCATAGTCTGTCCAGTTACCCTGCGGTTTAAACAGGGCATCAGATTGTCGGAGTTTCTTCAATTCGTCTTTGTTGGACCATACACCTAGAAAACAAAATAAGCAGCAGACGGTTCTTGTTATTAGTGCTAGGGAAATTTTGTTGATTATCACAATTAAGTTACACTCTCCCATGTAATGCATGGTGCAGGTGAAATCATATATGCACACATACTCTCTCTCACTACTCCCAGCATGCTTTGTAAACCAATAACATGTGGCCTCTCTTGCAACTTTCATAACCACAAAACCACCTTGAAACCAGTACAGGCCTGTAGCCACAGGCATTGCTGGGGGAAGTACTTTAGGGGCTGAAGCCAAAGATGCGAGACTAACCCTGGATATCTACAGGTAGTGGAGGATCCAGGAGGATATTACTGTTTTTGTATTTTTTCATTTTAAGTTTATTCAAAGCAGCTGCATGATTTAAAAAGAATATCACCATTCTGTAACTGTAAAACATTGCTGAATATATTAGCCATATTTAATTAATAATAATCCGCTAGTATAGTGTTCTACAAGGCTTCTAAGTGGAAGGGGATGATTTACACCAGGTTACTCTAGGGCATGGTGCTAGGGAAGAGAACTTTGCTGCACACCCCTCTATTAGTTCAGTAGTGTGATGGGTTCACATCGAATTCCTGGCTGTGCAGCATGTGCTTGTTTCTCACTAGAAAGATCTAGAAAGCATCAGCATCACGCTGGTCATGGACAGAGAGGATGTCATGACATTCCCTGCTATTGAGTAGCGTAGGGCTTATGTTTCGGGCTCACCCAGGCTTTCAGCCATTCTACATATGTATACATAAAATAACCCTCTTCCTTCCAGAATTAAAATATAGCAACACTAAAAAGCGCACACACAAATAATGCTAATAACGCTGGCACCCTATTAATAATTCAAAGATTTTAAGGTCCACCTTATATTCTCTGGGCTGTAGAAGTCAACACAGGGATGGATCCTACATCAAATATGGGCTTTATGCTGATGAGTTGCAATAACAATGAAACAGCTGTCCATGAGTGATTCACTGGCTTTGCTTTTTTTTGTTGTATTTCAAAGCTGTTGTACACAGCAAACACAGACTCAAAGGAATCCATGTTTAAAATGGAATGAGGCAAAAATGTGATTCCTTGTTTAACTAATTTGCATATCCCCGCCCAGAATCCTTTGCAGTAGTAACATCACTGCAAATGTGTGATTTCTTTGGGAAAAGCAAGTTTTATGGCTTGACTGGCGTGCAGATCTATGTTTAGCAATGCATTGACAATCCACTAGCTTTATTTAGAGAAGAGATGGATTATTCCTTTAGTTTTACACAGTGTGGTGCAGATACATACCCACTGCTAAGCCAGCTAAAAAAGCTGCTCCAAGAGAAGACATGTCTGTGTGTTTGGGTTTATCGATAGTTTGGCCAAATAAATCGGCTGTCATCTGCATCACAAAGCTGTTATTACTGACCCCTCCGTCTGCCCTGTAAAAACAGAGAAATCAGCTCACGGACACAATGTCTTGGAAAAATGTACAGAACATTAGCAAAATTAACAAAAATCCACACTTGCCTGATATGTGAGATGGGAATGGAGGTCTCTCTTAAAACTGTATCGTACAACTGCTTGTTCCTGGAATCACAACCCCACAAAAAAATGATATATTACATATAGAGAGTGCATCACCACTGAGATATTCTGGAGATATTACAATAAATCACAAGACTAAATGTTAAATGCTTTGTTAATGTCTCCAGAAGCCCTGGAATGGCATTATTTTCACCTAATGCACGTTTCAGTGATATTGTTTAGATTACAGTTTTTTTGTTTTTTTTAAATTAGGATTATGGCTAATTGTAAGAAAATTATTGTTTGCAATTGTGTCACTTTGTTGTACTATATAAGGACTGTATATGAACGAGTGGTAGCTTGACAAAGACCTTATGGCGAAGTTGAAACGTTGTCTGTTTACTTTGTTCCAATAAACATTGCCATTTCTTGAGTGACAGTGTGCCCAGATGTAGTTTCATTTTACTATAATTTAAGGATATCGTGCCTGCCACAGTTCGATAGTACTAGTGGTTACATTCTGGGGGGAATGCAGTCTCTGCTGGCCTAGGGAGAATCTTAAAGCAGCACTGAGACACACGTGTTCTGATCTGCCTGAGACTGGTGGGAGTTACACTCCCATGTAATAGATATTTGCAGCAGCTGTCCATAATTCAGCCTCCTTCAGATTAGTGATTTATTAGGAGAGAAGCTGTGTTTCTCCAGCTACTCAATAAACATATTGTTAACTGGAGAGGAACTAAATTAATAGAGGCAGCTGCAAATGGCATGCATGTTCCAAAGCTGTCCTCAGATCAGGGAGTCTGTCTTAACTGCACACCCATCAGGATCTTAAAGCAGTAACAGTAAATAATAGACACATTATGCAATATGATTTACACATCTCTCTCTCTCTTTATATATATATTTCCAAATATCCGGCACAATCACTTACTACGCACCAACTTCAAAGCTCACAAAATGTAATAGTTTTTTTTTTTTCTTTTTCTTAAAGTACTTAAGCACAAATAATGGGGGTTTAGTTACAGTATATGATCATAGACTGCATAAGCCTGTCTTAATGCCAATGTATCCCATTTCTTGCAGGTCCTATCCCAACAACCTAATGCCTTGGATTAACCAACTTACTTGGCAAATCCTTCCCCATGGTGTGTAAATATATTTAGGATTTCAGGCTAACTCCCCGGCTTTGCCCTCCCAGTCACAGGTGCCTCTTTCAAGAGCCCTATTTAACCTTTTACTGCAGAGAGTCACAGGAGGAAGCATTTCCCAAATAAGTGGGTTCATCTCAAAAAAGCAGGCATTAATGGGGTACGTTGACGTAGTGCCAGGCTTACGCAATGTATGGTGATATACTGTAACTAAACCCCCATTATTATTTGCCTAGGTGAGGTGTTTAAAAACAAAACAAAGAAAAAAAAACAAGTACATTTTGTGAAGTTGGTGTTTAGTGAGTGAGTGCGGTTGGATCTTGTATGTTGTATCTATTGGCCCCAGCAGCACCCTTATAATGTATGCATGTGCAGCCCTCTTGTATGTATGATCTAATATATATATATATATATATATATATATATATATATATATATATACACACATACATATATACACATACATATATACACACATACACACACACACACACACACACACGTAATACTTGTTTATACTCATGTCGCTCTAACCCCTGTATCACAACTCAACTTTGAATTCTATGTGTCGTCATGCTCAGAAATGCTTCAGACTTGAGAAAGGGAGGTTCTTCCGAAAGCTTGTCATTAAAAAATTCTGGTAGTCTACATCACTGGACTAATACGGCTACAATCTCTACTTATATACATATATGTATATCCTCACATGGCCTTGTGTTTGGCAGTAATGGGTACCTTATACTGCCAATTTCATCATACCTAAATGCCACAGACTCCAGGATGGCTCGGACCAGATGGCTCTTGCTGGTTGAAGGCTTTAGTCCCATGAATGAGGCACATGCATACGGATCATTCACTGGAGCCTAAAACAAAAATCAGAAATGAGAATGGGGAGCATGCTCACAGCCAATGGCATAAATACCAGAGCAATAGATAATCACTTACATAGATGGACTGGCAGAGGGATGGGAGAAAACAGACACGTCACAAAGAGGGAGCGTATAAGCAAACAGAAATGATACGCTAAATAAACCAACATTTTTCATTGTATTAAACACACATAACAGAGAACAGACACAAGACAATGAAAATAAAGGATCAGGGAACAGAATTTAGTTTAGTTCCACTCCTCTGCCATTGATGAAACTGTCACTTACTGAGGTATGTCAATATTCTGTTCCCTCGCCCCTCACCTCAGTAAACACAAGCAAAATGTTCACTTGGGTGAATAAAGCAGTGGAAGAAAAAAAAAAAAAGAAAAAAGAAAGAAAAGAACAAAGCAAAAATGACCTCCATAAGTGGATGACACATACTTCCCATGATGCCTCTGGTGCACTCATGCATGCTTGGGCATCTACGGAGAAATTCTTTACAAGCACACGGCTTTTCTCTAGCAGTGCTGTATGCATGTATGAGCCATGCGTATGGCACCACAAGGGTTAACTAATTTACAATCTTTGCCCACTCTCCCACATGACATGAATTTAAATAAAAATAAATTTACCTTGATTTAAAAACAACAACAAAAAAATATGCCAGCACAAATCAATAGGCAACTGTTAATTAGCCATTTGGTTGTAGCAGTAGTAGTGTCTGTTTAATTTGATGAACAAACATTTTAGTCACTGAATTTGCCATTCAGAGTATAATGAAGTCTTGAAAAAGGTTAAAAGTCATACTAAAATAGCGGATCTGGAAAAAAAAAAAAACTACAGTCATTGATTGGCCATTTTAACCTAAACGGTGCCAGATTTTACTTCACTACAATTTGGAGTTTGGTGAATAACACAATGGTTAAGTGACACAATGGTTCCAGTTTAAGCCACATGGGTGCAGATTCCATTTTCACAATGTATTATAAACACACTCCATGATATATTTACCTGTAAGCCTGTAAAAGACGGTACAAAATAAATCCCTCCACAGTCAGGCACGCTTTTAGCCATTTGTTCTGTGTCTTCAAAGTTTGTGAAAAGGTCTTTAGAAATGAAGAGATAAATTTATTTTTGTGTTTATTAACATATTCCAAGAACCATTGCTGAGCAAATACTTATGGGATATGTACAGTGCTCATTCTTCCTTGTCTATTGTGAAGCTCTACATTTGCAGAAAATGTAAAAAATTGAATACTTTATTAATGTACTTCTTTGACTTTTAAAGGCCTTATGTACATTATAGCATTTAAAGGAACTCTATAGGGTCAGGAACACAAACATGTATTCCTGGCCCTACAGTGTTAAAAACCACCATCTCACCCCTCTTATTTGTATTCTGCAGCTGCTGGCTCGGATACTGTCTGCCTCTGACCTGCCTGCTGTCTTCGGACATCATAAGTGGTGGTCTGAGCCAATCACAATGCTTACCCAAAGGATTGGCTGAGACTGTCAAGCAGGCAGATCAGGGCAAGAGCCAGCATGATTCAAATACAGCCCTAGCCAATCAGTATCTCCTCATAGAGATGAATTGAATCAATGCATGTCTATGAGGAAAGTTCAGTGCAGGCATGGATAGGATGGAGACACTGAATGGCAGTGTTGCTCACTCTGCAGCACTGCCCCAGGAAGCACCTCTAGCAGCCATCTGAGGAGTGGCCTGTGGAGTTATCACTAGGCTGTAATGTAAACACTGCATTTTCTCTGAAAAGACAGTGTTTACAGCAAAAAGCCTGAAGGTAATGATTCTACTCACCAGAACAAATTCAATAAGCTGTAGTTGTTCTGGTGACTATAGTGTCCCTTTAAATATCGTGCCAAAATATATTTTTCCTTGCAATCATTTCATTATCGACTGGTTAATGTTAATACTTGGAGTTTTTGATCGATGAAACAGGCTAGATAATTGGTAATGATGTGTCTGTATTCGTTAAATAATGTGCAGAAATTAACCCCCTAGGGACTGTCATGATTTAAAGGTATTTTCCTAACCCTTTACCATGAACATAAAAGAAAACCAGCCCTGTTTGAAATCTGATCCAGGCCCTACACCATGTCTTTTCGTGGGAGCTAGGGAATTTGTATTTTTTTAAATTATATTGAGCCTATTTTTCAATATGTTATAAGTTAGACATATCCTTTTTAAATAAAGTGTTTCTGCTATTCCAGAGAAAAAGAACAAATAAGCCAGAAAGACCACTTTAAAGAGAAATTGTGCTCATACCTAATTTAAAGGGGCAATACATCTCCCCATAAAAATCCTAACTTGCTTCCCTTTCCAGTATTTTTTTTTTTTAAATCTTTATTTTAGTGTGCAGTAAAAGAATAACATACAAGCTCACATAGCCACGACAGCATCCGCGGGCTTATTATGGCCAAACATTTACATATATTGCCATGACATTTAAAACAGTTGCACTTTTTTAGTATAAAGAAACAGGCTGAATCATAGATTGTGTTGTAAGACTTAGAAAATTACAGGCTAGAAACCCTATGTTAATAAAAGGTAGAGTATACAAGCTTAACCCAGGGATTTCTGTGGCACGAGTATTTTACAAGGAGAGTGAAACAGATGTCTTTTCTACGAGTTTAACCCCTAGGGGGCCCCCCAGTTAGCTAAAAGCACGTTCCCAGCGGGCGTATGGCAGTCACTGGATATTTACGTGAGGCCTAGACAATTCAAATAAAAACAATAATTATAATCAGAAGAATAAGTCAGCGCGGTCATGCAACTCAGAGTCAATCAGCAGTGGGCCAGTTTAAATTTGAGAAGCGAAAAAAGAAAAAATATATGATAAAAGCGGCCCAGGCTCTGCGCTGCTTGGTGCTTGGTATTGCCAGGCTCAGTCAACCGATGCCGCTTAGCGGTCGTTTACCGGAATCCAGCTGCTCTGCTATCCTGCTATGGCGTTTCCAGACGCTGGTTAGGAAGGGTACGTTGTTACCAGTTTGTGTCCCAGGCTTGAGGCTGTGCTGATTTGCGGTCAGGGACCCGACTCTCCACGGCTTGCAAGGTTTGATGCAGGGCTGAGGTTTGTCCTTCAATATTTCCCATCTCCGTGCTGCTGGTGGCTTCGTTGGGCTCTGTTGCTTGCGTGCTGGTAGAGCTTTCGCCACGGGTGCGCGTTGCTGTGCCCTCTGGGGCTTGCGTGGGGTAGTGTAGAGGTTGGCGGTCGGCCAGGAGCTAACCAGAGGTGCCTTCTCGCTCCGGGCCTGTATCAGGGCCGGCATCTTGTAGCCACGGACTCGGGGACTATTGAAGGCCAAGTCCTTCCTTTTCGGGGTAGGTCTGGAGTTCCTGGGGTTGGTGGTATGCCGCCGTCTGCGGGTGGAACTCTGCCTACGTGGTTGATGCATCGGGGTTAATCCCCTGTTGGCCCTGGACCCAGATGGGCTGGTGTGGAGATTCTTGGACTGAGTTTTCATGGCTTTGCCCAAAGGCAGTCTGGTCCCACTCCAAACTGTGTCGCCTTGTTGGCCCTCCGTACCTCCGATCTCTAGCAGCTTGGATCGCTTTTCCTTATGTCGGGCCGCGATCTTGCCCAGAAGGCCTCAAACAGCCCGTCTAGGCGGGTAGTGAGGGAGTCGCTTGTGTTGGGGCTTAGTGGTGGAGGCCCAGGTTGTCCACGAGGCTGCGTGTCTGCCATTTTGACATGGCGGGCTGCATGCAAGTTCGGTGCGTGGATGGGGTCGGTGTCCGCTTTTAGGGTCCACTGGGGCTTGCCCGTCGAGGTGATTGGGACCGGGATAACCCCCACCGGTCCTAAGGGGGGGGGTAGCCTTTTGCTGCGGGTGCTGCATGCGGTTATGGGCTGGGAGAGCGGCCGCCTCTCCATTGCCCTGCTTGGTGTAGGCCCCAAGCCTCAGCTTGGTCATTCCGGCGTTATTTCTGGGCGTGTGAGGTATCCCCCTGTTCACCAATGTCTGCCGATCAAGTTGTGATGAATTGGGGATCAGGATTACTTAGTTTGCCCCCGATTTTAGCCAGTAATTGGTCTGAGGCCCAGGAGCTCTCGGTTTGTGCGTCTGCACTGCTGCACAGTCAGGCCACGCCCCCTCCAATATTTTTAAGATGTGAGAATTATTTCCACGAGACACGAATCTGACATTCAGGAAATTCTGCTGTGTGGGTGCACCCACTAATAGGAGTATGCAAGCTTGGGCCTCAAGTGTTTGGTAAGAGTTTAGTATTTTACAAGTGCTGACATTATATTACAAAAAAGCAGAATAAAATTTAAAAAATATATGGGAAAAAGTAACTCGATTTTTTATCTGTTGCAGAAACAAAACAATGAGCATTACATACTAGTATGTATCTCATTTTAATGTGATGCTGAAAACCTAATAATTTTAACAAGTTTAAAGAACTACCAAGTTCTATTTCCATAATATTACAAATTCTTTACAGCTGCTCCATAATGTGGATTTCTATTTATATATAACTGTAGTGGTTATGGTGCCAAGAGTGCCCAGGTGCTCCCCATTGCAAGTAGTCAAACTGGTTTAGGATGGTTTAACTTCTTAACTGGGGTCCTACGGGTGCACCTTTCTGTCTCTACTATTCATGATAAAGAAGCTAAGCAGGAGCTTTTTTTTTTTTTTAGCACTCTACAACTAAGCCTTGTGACAACATCGTTCATCATGCTCATCGATTTTGCCAAGCCCTGCACCAGTGGGCTTAGCTCAGATAGTGAGCTTCTTTCTCTGTCAGTAATAATGTAGGCAAGGAGCTGTGCCCAGAGGATCCCAGTTAAGATATTAAACCGTTCTAATACGGCTTTCCTGAGCTAAGCCCAAAGAGGACAGCTCATTGGTGGAGAGTGTCAACTGATCACGCTCAGCCAATGAGCTAAGACCCGCATCACTGGGCTTAGCTCAGATAGTGAGCTCCTGGCTCTCTGTCAATAGTAGTAGAAGCAGGGAGTGGTGCCGGATGGAACACTTAAGATGTCAAACCATTAGAAAATGGTTTGATTAATTACAATGGGGGCCATCTGGGAACTCCTGACATCATAACCACAACAGTGTGCTCTAGTAGTTATGAAGCTTGGGGTATTTCTTTAAAGTGTCAAATAAAATTCCTACTAAATCAGTATATTAATTGGCCAAGTTAAGGCACATTTATGTAATAAACATATTAAACATATTATGCAGTTTGCCATAATCCAAGTAAGATTTGCACAGATTTACAGGTGGAAATTGGAAAAAAGGACAGTGTAATTATTCTGTTCAGGAATTGCTTGTATTTGGATCAAAGCTCTCAGATTTACTCTCTCGCACAGCATGTAGCATTAATAAACTTTTCTAATCCTTTTCTGCAACATCCCATTTCAGAGCTTGCTGCTCTGATCCCATGCTTTTAACCAGGATATATATTTCTAAATTCTGCTGAGCACAACTTTTTACAGCTATTCACTTACTTAGTTCCTGTGCCCATTTAATTGCTGTTCCAGTATCCGAAGCATTGCCTTCTGCTAAACACACCAACTCCTCGCCAATCTTCCAACCAATCAGTGGATACAAACCTGTTAGATAATAGATTTATTAAATGTAACCTGCATCAAGTGTTAATTCATGGCAAGCTGACATAAGTGCTCTCAGTATTGGTTCCAGAAGATCTAAATGTGTGTGGTTACTTAATAAAAATGCTCTGCCCTTTTAAAAGTAATATGGTATATCTTAACGGCTATATGTCAAAATAAATGTCCCCAGATAAAATCATTTCAAAAGTACACTTTTTGTGTGGATATTTGCCATTCTATGATTTCTAAAAATCCCTTTAAGTTTGAAATCCCAAAACACCAAATTTGTAAGAAAAAAAAAAAATATATCTTAAAACCTTTGGAACAGTGATGCACTCCTTGTTTTAGATTATCTGAAACTGGAAAATAGGAGTAAAATTATGTACATAAAATATTCCTCAAAATAAAAAAAAATAATAAAAAAATCCAATTTGAGGGGTTTGTCTTTAGTTGCAACATGTCAGGATTCCAGCAGAATCCTCAGGAAGATATGTCAACAACCTAACAAACAAACAGGAGGAATGATAGAAACGCGTATTACGAAACCCTAGCGTGGCCAGGCTTAACACTTAGATAGAAATAGAAAGCATTCGTGCTACCAAATAGTACTAGGCCAGGGTCAAAAACAAGAAAAAAAAAGGCTTGCGCCAAGTATAAATTGAAATAATTATGGAGATAGATATAGATAGAGATATATATATATATATATATATATATATATATATATATATATATATATATATATATATATATATATATATATATATATACATATACACACACACACACACACACACACACATACATACATACATACACTCACACACAGTAAAACCAAAAAGTGATAGAAATAACATATATACTTAAAAAGTCCCAGAGGAGTAAAACAAGGGCCTTTGTTTCTATAAGCCTTTAGGAGGTGGTGCTTTAGTGTAGATCAGTCAAAGGTTCTCCTGACTGCAAAATTCAGGGTCAGGCACATAGCCTGGTCAAGGGAAACCAGAAAGCGTAATACTAAGTCAGGACAAGTTGGATGGGGGGTCAGAAAAGCAGATCTACCAGAATAATGTTGTTAAGGGCTCTGGCACAATGAAAGGGCACTTAGTGCTAAAGTGACAGAAGTTTCAATAGGACCAGGACTTGGCGTAACTAATTGCGTATTTGTTTGCTCATGTGCACTGGGTCAAAAGAGACTCCAAATAAAATGGCTTAAAAGGCGCAAAGGTCACAGCTCGCACCATTTTAAGATTGATCAATGTCGGAAAGATGCAACTGTGACGTAATAAAATTGATGCTGCTCCAGGAAGGCCGAGATCACAACAAATTTGACACAGATGCATCAAAAATCAGTCAACTAGTAATGTTGCAATTAATACAGGCAATACTGTGAAAATGTTTTTATCTGTATTTTTATATTTTTCATGCTGAACGAGCAGTTATATATAGTGTAAGAGGAAAGCTCTCTGTCCTCAAAAAAATACAATTCATGACCACAATGTAAAGAGTGCAAAATACTAAAAAGTGGCCTTGGCTTCTAGGGAGAAAACAGTTCAAAAAAAGGGTTAATAAGAGAAGCAAATAAACATTGCGGAAACTAAGTTGAGACTAAGTTTAATATTTACTAAATCCAAAACCGTTACAATACAAATAAAGGTTTCTCCTAACTAGACACTGACAGAGATATGTGCCTATCATCAACTGCAGCCAAAACACTGTATTTTCTTTTGTATTTTTTATGCTTCAAATATGCGCTGGTATAGGGGTACTTGGGCACAGTGATAGGACTGACACCGTATGACCACATGGTATGATCAAATCCCTATATATCCCAAAATACTCAGTATAAGCAATTATAAGTAGCCTTACAAAATCTCAAACTGTATGTTTTGTGTGCACTATTGCGTTTGGTGTATTATGTATAAACTAAGGTCTTTGCAGATATAATAAAATAAGAAGGTACTTGCCTAAAGGTGTCAATTAATTAAAACATAACATTTAATACATTTGTTTAAAAGCTTGTGGTTGAAAATCAACAAATAAACCAAACATTGATCCCCCTTGAAGAGCCGCCTTACCAGCGAAACGCGCATCGGGGCTCTGCTCTATACTCTATAACGATTGCTTTAAGATATTTGTTTGTTTTGTTTGCAATTAGATCATAGACATAATGTCCTCAGCAAGAGATATAGGCAGGGCATTTGTATGACTCTGTTTTTCCCAAATCAGTGCTTAATAGCAGACAGTTTATTATACAGAATAGGTGCCCATGAAGGCACAGCTTAGCATTCACAGGACGAATGATAAACAGCACTATTTGGGAAAACACAGTCATACATTGAACAATTCGATCCTTGTAGCTGATACTAGAGATTTTCAGGCTGAGTTCCTCATTTTTATAGAGTTTATAACCTAAGCACAGTTACACTGATAGTCCCCTTCAAGGGAAACTGATACAATAGTATACTTAACTATAGTTCTGACTTAGTGGTTATATCTCTTCACACCTCCTGACCGCTGCTCGCACCCGTACGGCCAACTCGCGCCTGCAGGACTTCTCGCGGACGGCTCCTTTCCTATGGAATAGCCTGCCTACCCCCATCAGACTCTCCCTTAGTCTTCAATCGTTTAAGAAGTGCCTTAAAACCCATCTTTAGGAAAGCTTATGGCCTCCCAGAGTAACCTCTACCTCACATACCTGTCTCTTGCTCTCTCCTGAAGGGCAGCATTCTACTCTCTCCTCCAGCTCTGCTTTACTCCCACCTTATTTGACATTTCCTGTCCTAACGTGTCTTATACCCCACCTCCTATAGACTGTAAGCTCATTTGAGCAATGTCCTCTTCAACCTATTGTTCCTATTGTCCTATTTATAGTTACATCCCCCTCATAATATTGTAAAGCGCTACGGAATCTGTTGGCGCTATATAACTAGCGATAAAAATAATAATATTTACTCTTTTTTAATACTTTGTGTCTCTTAGTACTGCCAGTTTCAGTTTCACTGGCATTTCTAAATCGACAATACAAATATTTTTTTAAACTTGGACTCGTGCTGTAATCCCAGAATCAATTAACAGACTAATAATTCAATTTATCTTACATATAACTCATATTGGATTAATCTATATTAGTCCTTTTTCGTTATACATTAGTTTTTTTGTCCATACTATTGATAGTTTTAGAATTTAGTAATTTTTGGTTTATTTGTTGATTTTCAACAGCAAGCTTTTAAACAAATGTATTAAATGTTATGTTTTAATTAATTGACACCTGTAGGCAAATACCTTCCTATTCAATTACTTCTTACCTCGGGTTACCCCCTTTCCTCTTGCCACAACTTTTCTGATATTCTTAGTTCCTATCCCTTTCCCCATCAAAACACATTCTAGATATGCTTGCAAATGCCTTTCATTTTATACACTTACATTTTGGCTCCATCATTAAAAAGTTACTCTCAGCCTTGTAAAACTCAATTTTCTTTAGAATGCCCAACTGGGCATTATTCGTAAACCTGCAAACAAGCTCTAAACTTACCAGGAATCCAGCACCACTCGAAGCTGGATTCTAGGCCCCTGTCTGATGCCACCAGTGCCTCTTGTGGTCCAATCAAATACTTGCATACAAAAGTTTTTAATTGAGCCATTTCACCGGCTAAAGGTGCAAGTGTGTGTCAGGTAGGAATTTATTTCCCTAGCAAATGGAATATTGGAAAACTGTTACTGGCGGGAGCAGACAGAGGGAGGGGACACTGAAGTTTCACCTTGAAAGCGCGTTGCCTGTAAGGGTGGATGCTCATTATGTCCATTGCAAAAACGCAGACCGGGGTGTCTAAATCATGTGTACTCTGGATGCAACTAGCCAACAGCACAAAAGTGCAAATTACTCTGTATCTGCAGTAATACAAGCTTAAATGCTGCACATACACATTCCTACCACCATGACCACTTGTAAAAGTATAAGTGGTCATGGTGGTTTAAATCTGAAATGCTGGTAATGTGTAAACAGGTAGCCACTTGGGAAGGCTTGCTCAATTAGAAAAAAAACTAGATGTATTTTAAGATATACATTAAATAACCTTCTATGACCAGGCAAGGCTGATAAAGCATTTTACCCTTCAAGACTGTATCCAACAAAATGGATATTTGCTTTGCTGACATTCACATCCCATGCTATTTATTTTTTCTCATAGGATGTTACTGCTCCACGTTTAAATCACAAATACAATTATTTCAGGAATCCCTTTACCTGCGATAGACGTATGCAGGGTATTTCCAGTATTAATGCACATAAATGTTCCAGTTCCCATTGTTAGTTTCACATCTCCCATATTAAAGCAGCACTGTCCAAACATAGCAGCTTGCTGGTCAGCGACCTGCATGGGAACGAAAAGAACAAGGAAGTTGAAATTAAAAATACATTCTCCTACAGACAGTTACACTTGCAAAATGAACCTCATCAAGAGCACTTACCCATAGGGACTGCAATTGATTTATTGCCAGTAAGTCAGTCAATTATTGATTTAGATCAGTGGGTCCCAAACCAGTCTTTGTTGCCCCCTACCAGTCCAGGATTTAGGGATTACCTAGTTGTGTGTAAGGTGTTTTTAGAAAAGGAAAAAAAAATACCTTAGACACAACTGGGAAATCCCTAAATCATGGACTGGTAGCGGGGGGCATGGAGGATTGGTTTAGGAACCACAGATTTAGGTGATGGAGAGAAAATCCCAAAACAATATTGTCACACTTACCAACGCACGGATAGGTATGGGAGCCCCAAATATACTGGGATCCACAAGGCCAAAACTATGACTGAAAGGAGAACAATGATTAAACACAACAGAAGGCTTGTGACAACGTAATGCACAGTAAAACAGGTTTTAAACAATGAAATGAAAAAGCTATCTGCAAATGGCAAAATGCAGACAAGTACCTTGTATCGTGAACAGGGGGGAATATAGATATTGGGATGGACAGCAACGAACAGAGGAAAGAGCTCCAACTCATCTGAAACAAGACAGGGAAAACAAGAGTGCAAATCACATGAAATATAGATTATATATACAATGCAAACACAAACTGGGTTATTTAGTAAAATGGGTGAATTCAAAGTGTATTTCAAATTTAAAGAAACACTATAGGGTCAAGAACACAAACATGTATTCCTGACCCTATAGTGTTTAATCAACCATTTAGGTGGCTTGCTCAAAAGCTCCCCTTATTAGCAGTGCCGCGTGTGTTTGCCTACACTGGCCCCACCCCTGATTAACCTCCATGGTGACATCAGAATTGCCAATTTGTAACCAATCCAATGCCTTCCCATAGGGAAAGCATTAGATTGGTGGAAATCAGAAAGGAGTCAGGATTGGGGTGGGGCAAAATGCCATTTTAGCCAATCAGCACTTCCTCATAGAGATGCACTGAATCAATGCATCTCTATGAGAAACATTCAGCATCCCCATGCAGAGCGTGGAGACCCTGAATGGCAGTGCTGCCTACTGTGCAGCACTGAGCCAGGAAGCACCTCCAGTGGCCATCTTGCAAAAAAGTAAACAAATAAAACTGAAATAAAATAGAGAATGTAACATCTGAACTTGGAACATAGCCGCTATATAAGTTGTTCTGAAAAATGGTGCATTTACAAACACAAGTATAATATTCACATGCTGCAAGCTTGATATCATTGTGCTAGGACTGGCATTCAAGCAGACAAGGCGTCTACTGTACTGTAGATAAGGTATAATATGAGGTTAAATTAATACCAATTGTTTCTTTGTGAAGACGTGCACTCAGCATTTATTGTGATGAGATGAATAAAGGAGATTTAAAAGTATATATATATATATATATATTTTTTTTTTTTCCCTTAACCTTTAAGCTAACCAATCAGAGCACTCCAACAGGCGAATCTCTTTTTTTCTACAGAGAAATCAAAGCGTGCGAAGGCCTTTATAAAATGTTTTTCCTGCTTTAAAGTCTCATTTTGTGCAAAGTGAAGAAGGATCGGTTTTTGATTCTATAGTTTTGATGTTTTTTAATGTCATTTTTTTCCTTCTTCCCACAGTTGAGTTGTGGTATTATGTGCCCCCCTTGAGTATTATATGTGTGTGTATATATTTATTTTTTATATCACAGCCTCCACCTGCCGCTAATGGGAGAGGACAGAAGGCCCTTCCCTCTTTCATTAAGCATCCCCCCACAGATGGCCCCAAGGATGTCCACTTGTTTTACTAAATTTAATGGCCACGGATGGGGGCAAGGTGAGGACAATGATCTAGTTTTAAACATTTAGTAATTACACATCAACCTAGGACATTGGAAGGTTGAATACCTCTCTAAAAGTAGAATGGAGGTCTTATTGACCCCTTCGGGTTATTCATATATTTCACTTTTTAATGTGGCCGCATAATTAACCCTTGTAGAGCCAAAGGTTTTAAAGGGACACTTTAGGCACCCAGACCACTTCAGTTCATTGACGTGGTCTAGGAGAAGTGTCCCAGGTCCCTTTACCTTGCAAAGGTAATTAGTTTTTAATAAACTGCAATAATTACCCCTGAGGGTTAACTCCACCTCTAGTAGCTCTCTACAAGACAGCCACTAGAGGGACTTCCGGGTAGATAGGCGACTTTTAGTCACACTATGCAGGAGGACATACAGTGTCACCCGAAACCCCATAGGAAAGCATTTTGTAATGCTTTCCTATGGGAGAAGTCCTAAGGCGAGAGCAGCCATTGCTACACACGCGCATTAGGTCTTCCCTACCGTCTGACGTTAGACGGGAAGGAACAGAGACGGAGCCTGAAATCAGGTAAGTGGCAGAAGGGGTTGCAATTCACTTGCAAAAAGCAAACAATTTTGCAGAACTCAAATCTATACCAATGCTATTTTCAGAAGTATATCAGCGTAATATTGCTGAGCCTGTAAGTTACGTGAATTTACAAGAAAGAAGAAACAAGCCTAGGTCATGGAATACACAAATCACTGAATCGATAAGCCAGTCTGAGTCAAAGGGAGCGAGAAGATAGAATAAACAGGACAAGCCTGTTTAGATGCCAAAGGACTACAGAGGAACAGAATATTGTACATATTAATGAACCACAATATGACAATGCACTCAGGAATGTGAGACGTTTATACAGCTAGCACGGTCTCTTGATCGGTTTGCATCCCTGCAAGCCCAAAAGGCAGGCGTGCGCTGGTGGTGGACTGACACCAAGGAGCGTGTGCCAGAATTATGACATACAGGTGTAAAAGGATTATAAGGTAAGATGGTAAGGTAGTGTCCAGCATCAGAATTAATGCTGGAATGCCACAGAGTAGGCAGAACAGGGCAGGAAGAAATGGGTACCATTACACTCGGACAAGATGGCTGTTATGGGCATAGGTTGAGACAAGTCTCCTTTGCAATTTGAATCTAACCATTTACAAATATTTCAAGATCTGTATCAGTTGACACTAAAATGGTACCAACCTCTGTCAGCCATTACCAAGACTTTGTGGTGCCCAAATATTCTTTAGAGGTGAAGTACTTCAAGATCACTAATAGCATTATCAGATGGACAACAATTCTGACCTCCTGCAAAGACTCCTTGCTACATGCTTTAGGACTTCTTCATTACTTGCAGTGTGTCCAGAATCATTGACTCATTCTTAGGACATTGGCAATACCACCACATTTGTGCCACGGAGAGAGCAACAAAGAGAGCATGAGACTTAGGACTGATTTTCTTTTCATTTACGTTTTCAGTTCCTTATCGTCAGTTTTTATGATGATACAAATGTATTCCATTTATATTCGATACAATTTGAGATTGTATACTTCAATTGTTCAGCGTTATTATGGTGTCTGCTGGATTTATTATCCCCAAAGCTTAAACAACATATCTTAACCTTGTCTGTGTTACTTTGTAAGGTGGACTTGTTTTAGTTTTTTGTTAAATGATAATTCGTTTTGGTAATGAGATATGCTGCCTGTTTTTCACAAATTTGATTTCTGTACTTTCTGAACCCTACAGATGTGATATGTAATAAAGCTTCTTGACAAATTTCACTATACTGGAGTCCTGCAAGTGCACAATATTTAAGACAAAAAAAAACAAAAAAACACACAACAGGTTGCTCCATAATATATTCATAAATATAAGTCTGCTTTATAGCGGCACTCCTTGTAACATGTTCACACCTTAGTGGAGGGGTTATACTGCCAAGTGTCCCTCTGTGTTTTCACCGTTTTTCTTTCCTCGTCAAACTGTTTGGAGCTTTTTGACCAAAATAGACAGGCTCATAAACGTATTACATGACATGATTCAAAGTAATCTTTAGAAACTAGTATACACCAGATAAGCAGAATAAAGCCCCAGGGTACTTATGCAGTGCTATTAAGATATTACTTACCAGATATGGATCAAAAACTCCTGTGGTGCTTGCATTTGAATAGTCTGTTGCATGAACAGAACCTGTAACAGGAGACAAATATCTGATTTTATCCCAAACACCATGATATGTTCTAGGTTGCCCAGTGAATTGTGACACTCACCATTTGTGAGTTTATACAGCAGCCAGGTATCGATGGTACCAAAACAACAGTTTTCCTCTTCAGCGGCCTGCTTTACCTGCAAATCAAAGAGTTATTGTGCAGTACGAAATTACAGACAGACATTCCTCTTTACAGTCAAAACATAACCCAGATGGCAGCATCAAAGCAGGATGATAATATAACCTTTCTGTGGGGACTAGGAATAACCAAAGGAAAGGGGTAAAATAGACAGAGGATATATTTATGATATTACATAGATAATAGAATAATAAAATGTGCAGGGGAAATAGGACTGTACTTCAGAAGTAAAATACACTTTAAGGGAACAATGCACATGCAAGAATACAATATACGAGGCCGCTTAAAAATCACCTATCTTAGAAAACAAATAGAAGTACACTAAAATAAATATCACATATTATATGTACCGTGTTTTACCGTTTTTCTATATAAGTTTTTTTCAGTCTCAAACTGGGGGTCGTCTTATACACGGAATGTTATTACAGGGGTTAAAACAAACCACTTGTGCGTGGGGCCTAAGGCAAGATGTCGCCTGCCACTATTTCCAGATTTCATACTTTTTAGGCATATCTTACAGTGAATCGGAGACATACCAATGTTATACGTTTTGTTTTATGAATGCTATTTTTGTATGGCACATAAAACTATAAATAAAGAATAAAAAAAAATAAAAAAAAAATTATGTTTACACTTTCTTTTATATGCAGAAACACAGCAAAAAAAGGCATTTCCCATCTATACAATCTATTCTTTTTTATTATTAACTGCAGTTTCACAGTGTGGCTCATGGTGAGAAAAAGCATTAGGTAAGGTTATTACTGATGAATGCATATATATACATAAATTCTGTTTTGTTGTCCATCAGCTTATGGAGAGCTTCAAACTAGGCTATACTATATGCAAGATTATACTATAAGCTCCTCACAAGCAGGTACAGAACCCCCATGCTTTTAGACTGTTTATCAGAGGATGCACCCGGGACATGCTAGTCATGGAGGATTTGATCAACTATGTACATATGTGAAAGTGCACAAAAAAGTGCTCTTTTTAGAGGACATGTATTTGCATATTTTGCATGGCATTCTGGGTGAGTTGCTGATATACAAGCATTCAGAGGTGCTATGTCTGAATAAGTCGCTTTTTGTAATTGTATTAGTGAGAGAGAAAATGAATCATATATGTATGTTTTGCAGACACCTAAAGGCGATATCCCAGCTTGCATTGAGGCGACTAGGGGTGCATCTAAAAGGTAGGTATACTTACCTGATGCTCTTACTCGCAGAAATCGTCATCTTTTTTTTTTTTTAACTGTTGGAACTTCGTCTGCCAGAAGCCCGCATCACTGCTGTACTTTCAGGCGCAAGTGAGAGTATATAGAACATTGGTCTATGGATCACAAGATCCTCCACAGACCAACAGGGTTATTCACTAAAATAAGAATTGCCAGGAATTTAAAATGTATATCATCTGACAGGCTTAGGGAAGTGAAAGACAAATTTTCCTGATATTAGCCTAGAGGATCTCCTCGTTGCACACTATACTCAAAAAGCCAACTATTGTCTTCTATCCAGATATGTTCCTAAAAACCACACATTACACTTATTATTCCCCTCTCTGGCTCCATCTAATGGTTAGAAAGAATACAGCTACTTGTTTCAAGTGCACACACAAATGCGGACTTATATCACTTTCTGTAGGAGTGCACCCTGATTAAGACCTAATTATATGCCCTCTCTACCACTTAATTCTGGGTTTCTGTTGCTGGGGCCCCCCCTGGGTAATCCCATACCTAATAACGATTTAAAAAAAACAAAACAACAACAACAACAACAAAAACTATTATAGTGGCAGTAGGACATAAAACCATCCTTCAAGTCTGGGTACACCACTGTTTCACTTATTCTTAACCAAACTTAACTTTCTATTTACAATGGATTGGTTGAAAACAAGAAACTAGCATCCTCACTCTGGACAACCCTCGGCGGAGGTGATAGCGGGTTATGACCCTTTATATATGAGTAGAGGATGTCTTGGGATATATTTTGTATACACCCAATCGACCAATCCAAACCCCAGGACTGAGCAACAGCTATTACTTAAGAGGTCATGGTTCCTCCAAACTCTTCTATCCGCAATGAAATTCCTTCTCTTCCCTGAAGAGAGAGAGGACTAAGGGATGGGGTGATGGAGTTGGCTGGATCGGAGGTGGCTCATTAATTAAGAATATCAAACATTTTTGGAGTATTGATTGCTGTATCGTATTGCAAACCAAGATCTTGCTTAATTTTTCATACGGATTACTACCCACTATTTGTGATCAGTGCATTTGGCAATATCTGACATTTCTAATAAAATTATATTTTCTAGAAGAAACAAAAAAATTTTTATCACATTTTATACCAATATAGGAATCTGAAAGCATTGCTGAAGAGTTGGAGAATTTTTCAATTTCAGCTATTTTGGCCTTAAAGGGACACTATAGTCACCAGAAAAACCATGGCTTTTTGCATTTGTTCTGGTGAGTATAATCATTCCGTTCAGGCTTTTTGCTGCAATTCCTCTTTTTTTTTTTTTAAGAGAAAATGTAGTGTTTACATTACAGCCTAGTGAGAACTCCACTGATCACTACTCAGATGGCTGCTACAGGTGCTTCCTGGTGCAGTGCTGCACCCTTTGCATGCAGACACTAAACTTTCCTCATAGATATGCATTCATTCAAATTATCTCTATGAGTAGATGCGGATTGGCCAGGGCTGTGTTTGACTTGTGCTGGCTCTGCCCCTGATCTGCCTCCTTGACAGTCTCAGCCAATCCTATAGGAAAGCACTATGATTGGCTCAGACCACTACTCCTGATGATGTGAGCAGACAGAGGCAGTTCAGCGGCAGAGGCAGCAGCTTCAGACTTGAATACAAGGGGTGGCCAGGAAAGCTAGATGGTGGTTTTAACATTATAGGGTCAGGAATACTAATAATGTTTGTGTTCCTGACCCTATAGTGTTCCTTTAACTTTGACTTTCTGACACACTCATTTTAGTAAATAAAGTAAAAATAAACCAGCAAATCTTGCAATGCGAGAAAAGATGCCCAATTCCCACAGCCATCACTAGCGAGAAAACACGATGACGAAAACTTCGCATTTGTAAAGTTATATCATCTTCAGGTTGACTATAAGACAAAGAAGGCTCTACTTAGTCTTATATGATCTTTTGACTGCATTGGAATTTGGAATGTGGAGCCAAAATGTGTACATTATTGTTTTGACCTCTGGCATGTTCTGTAAGATCCAGGCTAAGCGCAGAGATACGTGCTGAGTGGTAAAGTTTATCAAGCTTGCTGCTAGGAATCGTTTCCTACGCGTGAAGAAATGCAGGCATCTACAGGATCCATGAACTGCCTAAAAGAACAAAATTAAAAGGGAACGGTTACCTCTCTAGAATTCACACCATTGAATAAAACATTGATAATCACCTAGAACTTGTACATTTTAAAGAAAATGAAACATGTTATGAAAATGTATTAAAGATTTAGCAAATTACATTTCAATCTAGCTCAGAGATTGAAAAACCAGGGAAACATTGCAAATCAGGAAGAGAATCATTATTTAATTTCTTCTCCTCTCTGAATGCTTTCTTTTTGCTAACTGCTAGGTGCTTGGGACAGAGCATGTGACAATAATTGAGCGAAAGCCAAGATGGAGACGCCCAGTTGCAAAATATAAAAGTGCATATTTCAACATTTAATCAGATTTTTTTTAACCTTACAAAACATATTTGTTTAATATAGAGATTAAGAAACATCATATTAAAAATTCTGGAAATTGATAGTTCCCCTTTAAATAAACAGCAAATAGGGTGGATTTAATCTACAAACTGAAAGCAGTAAAAGTGATGAAAATAGCAATGGTGTATTAATATCTGAACTGAGAGACACTGATTTTTTTTTTTATTCTTTATTTTTGACATGACATTGCAATACAGTGGTGTGGTAGAGCGTACATTACATGGTATAGGCATTAATCAACATAGGTTTGTAGACAGGTTATACTCCATTTTACATCGGTTAGTACCACATCTCCAATTTGAATGTACTTGCTATTTGTGTCATTTTTCTACACTTTTATTTTGTAGAAAACAAAACAAAATAACAAACCAAAATCAGAATCAAAATTATGAAACCTTGGTCGTTGCGGAGTGAACCATTTGTTATGGACTTTGACCCCTTATGTTTAGAAATGGATAGTCGTGGTCCCTTCTCCGGTAACGGTGATAGAATATTTTAGGGGGAAATGGAGAGAAGAGGAGGAGGGGGACCCCCTCATGGTGGAGTTCGGAGCACCGTGGGAGGCTCCTTCAGGATCGATTTGAGTGTTAGACCCGTGGGGTATCCCTATTGTGTTCCCCTCTCAGCTCTCCCAATCCTCTACTATCCACAGGTCCCAGACTTTTTCGTACGATTTCATGGTGCCTCTCACCAGTGCCGTAAGGTGGTCCATGACTTGTGTGTCTTATTTTGTGTATTACTGTGTTTACCTGGGGGATTGCTTGTATGTACGTAGCGGGGAATGTGGTGCGACTAAGAGTAAGGAGACTACCCCAATTCTGCCCCCAATAATGACAAACAACGAATATTGGATGAAACAGGCCACAGCATTTATTAAACTTACAACTGTAGGACTCATACGAACTTTATTCTTTTTCTTTAATTCAAATATAAATAAACAGATAAATATATATACATACCATAATTAACATATAAATTACACTTATTGCCCTACAGCCTCCAACTTAAATAACCGTCCTTGCCAACGAACTTAACCAGGTGCCTATGCACCAAAACTTTACCCACTGGTGTCTCGCCTCCCCCTCGTCCAAACCAAAAATTCCCATCATCTTAAATGCTCTACCACCAGCCGGCTTTTTGCTCGGTGGGCACGTCCTATTCGGTAACTTAAACGTTTACCTTACAGAGCAGGGGAGGTTGAGACCCACCATGTCCATCTCCTGACATTCCATCTGCTCCCCAACCCTGTTGGCAAGGACACGCTCCCCGCCACAAACCCCGCTGTTTTAAACCTAAAATCAGCGGGGAGCCCCACCAAAACCAACCAGGCCTGTTCCACCACTTTCTGCATGGAAAGACGAAAAAAAGTCTAGCCGGACCTTCATCACCCAGAAACACAGTAGCTGCCACATGCGCGACAACACCCTGTGGCAAACCAAAATCCCCTTACCTTCAAACACCTCGAAAGGCCCTCCAATTTTGCTTCATACGGCAGCGTACCATGCACTGATTATGGGCCCGCTGCCAAAAGATACAGGAATTGACCTCCGACCAATCGGGGATATTTATTGATTCTTTTTTTTTTTTTATTCATTTATTTAAAATCGTTTTATTTTAATTTTATTTTTTTAGAACTGCTTTGTTATAACATACGACAAGTCCTGCATAACACATCCAGAACTTATTATAATAATCTCTATAATCATAATCTCTCTTCTTTTCTGAAACCAAAACGTTAAACATAAATAACCATAACTTAACACACAGGGTCATACAGTGAACCCAACACCACGCATCACGAAAGAACTAAAACACGCACCAATACCCTCTTAGGGGCAGACGCCAAAAAACCACCTTGGTATCATCCCAAGCTCAATGCCTGCCAGGTGGATAACCCGAACATTAGGGACAGGTGGACAGCTGAACCTGCTCCGGGAGGAGCCGAACACATTTCATACCTCCGACACCAAACCAACGAACCTCCGCTTCAGAAGGCACACAACCCAAAAGCTCACCTCCCAGACGGACACCCACATCTCACCTGGGAGTATAACCAGGAAAAGGACATCCATATATTATCTGTTTTCCAAGTGCACCCTGGGAATTGTTACTTGTACCCAAGGAACTGGTACTCATTTATCTACCTCAAAGGAATGAATAGATGAGCTGCCGCCGCTGAGAATTTAACCCGAACCCCCCCCAAGGATTGAACAAATTCCACGAAACCAGCATTACTTCACCGAGACATCTCACCATACCCCCTCCCGGTTCTTTCCCGGTGCGCTGACATACCCATTCTAAGAGCCTCCAAGGCAGCGCTAAACCGAAAGGAATGACACAAGATTCTTTGCTGACAGTCCCCAGAACCATCAGACTTGAGCGAAAGACCCAAAAATTGGGAATGGGAAAGAAAAATAAAATTAAATCACATCCGCATAACTCAAAAGAGGGCCCGTGCATACTGGGCGCAGCTCACAGTTCTCTACAAAGGAAAAGTGCAACAGCCGAAACGCCATACTCTTCCCGAAACAACATTCGACCTGGATTGTCAAACACTTATAGTGATATGATCTGCAGGGCGCCGACTGGTGGCAAACAATACCCCACCACCGCATGGCCTACTAGGAATCACCAAAACCCCAACATGCACGGCCCCCAGGAGCATAGCGTCCAGGTGGCCGTGGAAACCGATCCACGGACCCATTCCGTCACTCTGCCAGACTGTCCGCCGGGCAAGGCGTCCCCTCCAGATCCGCCTGCGAGGTGATTGCCCCTTAAGCAAGCGAGGGAAGGAGGCTGTCCGCCGAGTAATGGCTTGAACAACCCCCAAATTGTCGCAGTAAAACACTACCCTTAGATCCTGAAACGTGACTGCCAGACCTCCCCCACCACTAAAATGGGGAAACGCTCCAAAAAGCCCTGATTCTTTGTGAGCCCAGAGACATGCCAACTGTCCGGCCACACGGGAGCACACCAATTAGAGCCCAGAATGGCCCCAAACCCCACCGCGCCAGCTGCGTCCGTAAATAGGTGGAGGTCGGCGTTCGAAACCTCCAGCCTTTGCCAGCAGGACCGGCCATGATATGCAGCTAAGAAGGACTCCCAAAATCTCCCGCAGCAGCCGAGTGAGCCGAATGAAATGGCGAGGCCCGGAGACCACGGCTGTCGCCGTAGCCAGACACCGGTTAAAGACCCGCCCCACGGGCATGATCCGACAGGCAAAATTCAGCTCATCCAGGAGTGACTGCAGGCAGCGCAGCTGAATATCGCACCGCCCCATGGCCAAGGCCCCTTCGCGCTGCCAGCCTTGACTCTTATTCAAAGGCCAGCGGCAGTCCCACGCCAAAGAGACAATCTCAATGCCCAGAAAGCTGAGAAAGTGACCGGGCCCACCGTCTTGCCGTGTGCCAATGGGATCCCAAACTAATGGAACACCTCACCCAGAACCCGTCGCAGCAGCAAACAGGCTGTCGAATCGGCAGGACCCACACAAATGAAATGATCGAGGTAGTGTAGCAAGGAGACTATACCAGCCTCCTTCCTCACCACCCAGTCCAAGAATGTGCTGAAGCATGCAAACTAACAACAGGATATGGAACTACCCATAGGGAGGCACATATCCACGTAATACATGCCTACAAAAAACACAGCCCAGAAGATGGTGACACCCCGGGTGCACTGGCAGTAGACGGAAGGCCGAATCCACATCAGCCCTGGCCCAACAAGGCCCATGGCCCTGACCATATCAACCGCCACGTCAAAGGATGCATAAGATACCTGTCAGAGTTCCCAAGAGATGTCGTCATTCACCAACCCCGGGGGTACGATAAATGGTGAAGCAGACGGTATTTGTCCAAAACCCATGCTCAACCCATCCAGTAGGATGCCAGCCACCCGACGATTTCTATAAACTGGAGAGCCAAGGACGCATCGCGCTCAGGACCACTGGCGCCAACGCCCTCTGACCCCAAATCCCCAAGTGGAACATTTGTGCTGGAAACAGCAAGATGCCCCCCATTTGCAGTGACTGTCGTTGAATTTCAACAACAGCCCGGCCTCCGATGCGCGACCGGTGAGGAGGAGGATCCCCCCCCCACCCCTCTGAGAAAGGACGAGAACGCACCCTGCTGGGGGGCCATGCAGCTCACAGTGGAGGGCCAGAGGCCAATGTCAATCTGTTCCCACGAAATTGAGGAGCGCACCGCCAACTGTTGACAGCACTGCTCGTCATATTTCCACCATCCCAGGCTGCCATAGGTACGACAAGCGTTCCAAATGGTATCCTGGTAGCAGAACAATGCGGAGCACTTCTGCGGAGCCCTTTCCCCAGTTACACTGGCCAGGAGTCATAGGGATATTCCGGTACTGGTATTTCTCCTTGTCCCTTTTTTTTTTTTTGATTCCTACCCGTCCAAAGTCTCCCCTCCAAATTTTTTACGAACCTCCTGTTGAAGGAGCAAGCCCAAGGGCCCTGACCAACACATAGGTGGACCCACACGAAACGGCAAACCTGGGGGGTCACCTAATGCTAGGGACCCCCTAGCAGCACCAGGTGCTGCGGCACCCAACGCAGTAGCAAGGGGTGCTAGCATGCACACCCACTCCAGGAGAGGGTAACAGCGTGACCCCAAAAACAGTCAAAAAAACCCTGTGGCTGCAGCGCCGGGGACCACACTAACCGGAGCTGACCATCTAATGGGGGGACCCTACCTGCTTGTGCACCCTGCTCCCTTTATTTTATTTATTTATTTTTTATTTCATTTTTTTTTTTTTCAATTTTTTTTTTTTTTGACTGATCAAGAAAAACCCCCCAGCGAGGAACCCCTGGACTGAAAAGAAGAAACATTAGTGAACTCACCAGCCGATGCCCGAGGAACCTCCCGCGGCAAAGGAAATGAAGATGATCCAGGCAGGACAGAGTTAACTTCATTTTCAGCACTGCTCAGCCCAGCAGCAGCACCTAGCGCCATCTGCTGGCCGGTCCCAGGAACTGCAGCCAGATCCTGTGTGAAGAGCTGTGGAGAGGAGCTCACACCCGCAGAGGAGGGCAGCCGAGGTAAGTACCCGGGGGTGGGGCAGGGGGGACATAGGGACCAGGAATAGGGACAGGAGAGACGGGGGGAGGAGGGAGGGAGACAGAGAGAGCCAGGAGAGGGCTTAGAGAGAGGAAGGACACCCAGCACAGCAGGAACAGGGGAGGAGGAAGGAGGGAGATAGAGAGAGAGCCAGGAGGGGGAGCAGAGAGAGAGCCAGGAGGGGGAGCAGAGAGAGCCAGGACAGCAGCAACAGGGAAGGAGGAGGTAAACCAAGAGGAGAGGGGACTCCAGAGGGAGAGGGGCCGACCCTCATCCCCAGAGGAGCCATCAGAGCCCGGGGAGGACCCCCCTCCACCCCCCAGCGGCAGCACAGCCATGCCCCGGGGGGGGGGGAGGGGTGAACCCACACCGGCAGGCAGGCCAGGCTGGAGGGGAGCACATTGCTCCTGAAGGTGCCTGCCATCATCCAGGGCAGCAGCAGCTCTGAGGGCAGCAGGATTGAATCCACAGCCATCCCTCAAGCTGGAAAAGCATGCAGGCCCAGGACAAACAGGAGCACAGAGGCAGGGAAGTTGTTTGCTGGCCAGAATCCCAAAAGGCACTGAGGTAAGATGATCCCTGCCCCACTACAGCCATGCCTGTGCCATGGTGAGTCTGGCAGCAAGCGTGATTTTGTGCAGGGATTTCTGTTTTCCTCTTGGCCAATCTAGTGTTCGAGAGAGCAGAAAAACCCATGGGTCTAATGTTACTTTTCTGTGAAATACCCTATCAAGAAGGTTCCCAACTCCCCTCCAGAAGGTCTGCGCTTTCGGGCAGTCCCACCACATATGCATGTACGTCCCTTTGTTTCCGCAGCCCCTCCAGCACAAGTCGTCTGGAGTTTTTCTCATATGGTACAATTTTACTGGGGTGGTATACCATCTCAGCATGGTCTTATAGGCCTGCTCTTGTTGTGTGACACACACTGAGCTTTGTTTGCGTCCCAGATTTCTCTCCATTCTGTGCCCTCTAGGGTCTGTCCAAGCCAAATGTAGAATTGGGGCAGGTCAGCTCCCGTTATGCCGGATTCAAGGTCCGCCCATCTGCGGTCGCCCGGTGTCGAGTGCCACATGGCGATTTGGGCCAATAGATAGTAGTTGTAGAGGTGGGGCAGGCCTAGCCCTCCTCCGTCTTTGGGCCTATACAATATGTTGCGTGAAACTCTGTCATTTGTGTTGCCATATAAAATCCCCTATTGTCCTCTGCAGGGGGGCCAGATCTGTTTTAGTGATAGGTATGGGCATTGCTTGGAAGAGGAAGAGGAGAACGTTCATTTTTATTGTGTGGACCCTTCCTATCCAAGATATAGGTTTGGCAAGGTCGGCACTGAGGGTCCTAAAAAGAGGGGGGTTTAGTTTGCCCCGTACAGCGGTTTGGGGTCTGCGGTCAGTTGTATCCCTAGGTATTTTATGGTGTTTTGTGCTATAGGTATGTGGTGCTGGTTCCTTATGTGTGTCGTGTCGTTTGCTGTCATGGCTATTGGGAGTGCAGTGGATTTGGACAGGTTGACCTTGTAGCCCGATAGGTCTCCATATTCTGTTAATTCTCGATCTAAGGCCTTCATTGAGTTTCCTGGGTTTGTGAGAGTGAGAAGGACATCGTCCGCATATCCTGATACTTTATATGTCTGGTCACCCACTGTGATTCCCTGTATAGATTGGTTTGATCTGATTGCTTGCATTAGGGGTTCTAGTGCGAGTACAAACAGGAGGGGTGACAGTGGGCAGCCCTGTCGTGTGCCATTGTGTAGGGCTATAGTAGCTGTCGTGGCGCCCGGGATCCGGATACGTGCCTTGACATCTGTGTACATGGCTTGGATCGTTTTAATGTACGTCTCGGGGAACCGGAGATGTTGTAAGCGTTCAAACAGGTATGTCCACTTTACCCTGTCAAACGCCTTTTCGGCGTCGAGAGAGAGTACGAGCGTTGGGGTGCGTGGGGTCGTCTGTGCCCATATTAAGTCGATGTTGCGTCTAGTGTTTTCAAATAGCTGTCGTCCGGGAATGAAGCCCACCTGGTCTGCGTGGATTAGGTTAGTTAAGTGTGGAGATAGTATTTCCGCTAATATCTTGGCCAGTAGTTTAACGTCATGGTTGATCAGCGATATGGGTCTGTAATGTTCAGGGTATGCTGTGTCTTTCCCCGGTTTTGGTATTAGTACTATGTGGGCCGTAGACATTTCTGGGTCGGGATGTCCGCCTTGCATCAGGTGGTTGAACCACTTTAGAAGGGGAGGTATCAGCTCTTCTCTATATGTCTTGTAATAGCTGCCCTCGTAGCAGTCGGGACCCGGGGCCTTTCGTCCCTTAAAGCGGGAGATAGCTCTGTCTATTTCGTCCGCTGTGAATTCATCCCCCAGGGTCTCTATTGTTGAAGGGGTTAGTTTTGGGGGATCAATTTTGCTAAGGTGTTGTCTGATTTCTTCCCGCGTGCCTGGTGCATTGTCGGCGTCAGTGGGGGTGTGATTGTATAGGGATTTATAGAAGTCAGTGAAGATTTGAGCTATATCCGCTGGTGCTGTTTTAGTCTGTCCTGTATGGTCCCTGATTGTTGTGATGTGCGTTTGTCATGGTCGCGGGCGCAGTGTGTGGTCCAGGGGCGCATGCATTTTGTTGGCCTGTTCGTAGAATGTTTTCTTAGACCATGTCATAGCCTTCGCGACATCGTCTAACAGAGTCTCTCTAATGTGGCGTCGGGTAGTCTGTAGGGCTATGAGTCCGTCGGGTGTGGGGTTGGATTTGTGTCTCTGTTCTTGAGTGTGTAAGTCGCGTAAAAGGGTTTTTAAATTGTTGTGTTTTTAGTTTCTTTTTTTCTGGTGGCTTCCCTGATGAGGGTACCTTTGATAACCGTTTTGTGAGCAGCCCATATGGTTGTGGGTGTCAGGTCCTGTGTGGTGTTTAGTTGGAAGTATTCTACAATCTCTCTGCGTATAGTCTCTTTAATGGCTGGGTCCTGCAGTAGGGAGGTGTTTCGTTTCCAGTTCCAGTGGTACAGAGGTTGCCTAGTTCTAAGCTGATGTCTGCAAGGTCAGACCGTGTGATAGATCCTACTGAGGACTTTGTGGTCTTTTGGATGGCTTGGTTGTTTACTAAGAAGTAGTCGATGCAGGAGTAGGAGTCGTGGCGTGCGGAGTAGAATGTGTAGTCTACTTCTCCTGGGTGTTGGGCCCTCCACGCATCTAGCAGTCCCGTTGTGCAGATGAAGTCATGTATCAGTCTGTCTTGTCTCCCTCTGCCGTGTGAGCGTGGTAAGCCCCTTATGGTCCCCCTATCTGCGGCAGGGCATGGAGTGGCGGAAAGACACTGCTTTTAATGAAAAGTTCCATATGTTTCACTGCAACATATATTTATGATTAAAACATATAAAAGCAACAAAGCTATTTCTAGTGTAATTTTTGCTAAAGAAAAAAAATGGAGACTAAGTGCCAAAAACTCTACACCTCAATGTAGTTGTTTTGCTGCAAAGATGCTCACTCTTTTTTTACTACGTAAAACAATGTTGTTTCTGAGAAACGTCAGTTTTTTTAATTTGGCCAAAAAAACACTTCTTAGGCCTTCAGATGGACAGTCATTACATGCACTACTTTCTCGGAAAAGGCGGTGTTTACATTAAAAAGCCTGCAGTGACAGGCAATAGACATCAAAACAACTACATTAAGCAGCAGTTGTTTTGGCGACTATAGTGTCCCTTTAAGGACAATAGGGAGGCTGGGTGGGCTCAAATGAAAGAGGGAGGGGAGATATAGGCTTCCCCTTGCAGACTTCCCCAGCAGAGAAATAATGTGTAATTATGAAGATCTACATATGACGGACTAACCTAAAACTTATAATTAACAGAAGCAAAAAACGGATTACAGACCTTTAGTGTCAAGGAGCCGTTCCAGGACTTAACCAGATCAGCGGCCCGCAGATCCTGCCAGCTAATGAAGTTATGAAATGGTTCTCCAGTTTTCCTAGAAAAAAAAAAAAGATTTAGCATATATTCTGTTAACCTGTTTGATGGAATGGTTTGAAGCTTTCACTATTATCACATGCCAGGTTCCACATATTATATACAAACATTTACACAAACACAGTGTCCTGTAGGGTGCACACAGCAAAACTGAAGATTTTATGTGAGAGGTGTCCATCGCCAGCCCTTCAGCAGTAGAAATGTATGAAAAATATAGTCCAATAACAATACTTTGTATTTAGTAGTTTGAAACAGCCACAAGTGAGGATGTTATTTGTTCCACATCTTGATAAATCCACAATGAATCTAGGGTGGCAGGTTCCCATTGCCAATCGTATTTACTTATCACAAGGCTACAAGTTTCTGTTTATATTTCCCTTTAGCCCCTTAAAGATGGAGGCAATTGTCCAAGTTTTGTTCAGGAGAAACAGGCCTTTAATTTATCAAATATTTATATATGAAACCTAATTTAATATGAATAAAATATTTTTTTTTTAAAAGATTTAGAAAAGTGTTAGGAATTTTATTTTCCAAGTTCTGCAAGGCATGTTAACTTTAAATGTCAGAATACTGATAACATTTTACTGCAATGAAATACACTTATTTGTATGCTGTGATGTTGTTAAAGTACAATGCCCCCTCGCCGTGTACAGGTTTCATAGTGTTTTTGAAAGTTACAGGGTCAAATAATGAGTTTTCCTTTTTCAGTTTTTACACATTGAAATTTACCAGATTGGTTTGCTGGGTCCATACTGCCTTTATTTTGGAATATTTCACTGAAAAACTTCACTTACACCGGTATCATCATCATACGTTATACTGCTCTAAAACACTCATATCTGTGTTAAGTGATGTCTCCCAAGTACAACAGAACCCCCATGTACAGATTTTATGGGACTTTGGAAAGTATCAAGGTCAAATTTACAGCATGCAAATTAAATTTTCAAGCATTTCTGCCTGGGTTATCAGGCAGGTCACACCAAGATTCCTAGATATTCATATTCATATACTTATAATACACACATACATACAAATATATCTAAACATTCGTTCTGAGTGTATTTAGATCTATATTGGCAAGATTTGTTAAAGTCCCCCTGCAACGAATCCTGCCTATAAAGCCTATCCAAGCCTTGTGATCACATGACTCGGATCGGCTGGACTGGCTGCAGAGGGACTCACTGGGTTGTTAAGTAGGCCCCCCAACATAGAACTAATAAATTTAATACTACTAACACAATCAAGACTCTATACTGTGTAAAAAAAAAAAAAAAAAATTACATTTGCCCTTGTGCTCTTGGCACAAAGCTATTTCCTTTTTAGAAATACCCTTTTCAATGAAAATAAGACATCCCCCGAAAATAAGCTAAGGCCCTAATTGCTAGTTCGCTAATCTATGCTAGGGGAATTTTCCCCGAACATAGGTTCGCTGGATTCCATGAACTTTTGAACTGATCTATTCCCCTGAATGTAGGCCAGCTTCCTAGCGCATGCTTGCTACTGTTTCCCCATGAAAATAAGCCCTAGTGTGTTTTTTTTGTGGAAAAATAATATAAGACCCGGTATTATTTCCGGGGAAACACGGTATATACTTAGCTCAGCCTCAGCCAATAACTGATTAGTGTGAGACGAGCTGCTGCCATGATGTCATCCAAGTCAATCACTGACCTCTAATTAATTTCCACCCATTTCATCTTATACTTATCATAACAGGACAACGATTGGCTGTGGGGCAGTGCCATGTCAGCAGCTCATTTCACATCTCATCTCTCATTGTCACTGGCGGAGATGAGTGTCCCAGTCTCTAATAACTAAGATATGAGGGCCCCCTCAACTGCCCTTCTCCCCCCACAAATGGAGTCTCCTTTGGTGCTGCTGCCTGCTCCACCTCCTGTGAAGTCATCCCAGGGCATGCGTGGCGAGCACTGAGCGCACATCCAATCAAATGCTTCTCACAGGATTGCATTGATTTCAGTGCTTTCCTATGAGCAGCATTTGATGACGTTCAACATCCTCAGAGTTGCTGCATAGGAAGCTTTCTGATAAAACAGCAATATTTTGCTGTAAGTGAAGGGTTAAACTACAGGACTGCTGCACCTATTTCACTTCATTGAGATGATATGGTCAGTGTATCTTTAGTGGTCATTTAAGGGTTTTGATCCATTTTGACATATCAGCATTACACTATTACTGCAATTAGAAATACAATTCACTAGACAAAGGAACACTATAGTGTCAGGAATACAAACATGCATTTCCTACACTAGAGTTCTAAAATAACAGTATAGGTTCCCAGCAACCATGTGAAAAGAGTTAAACGTGATTTTACTCACCTTTTTCCACCGCTGCGCGGGTCTCCTCGCCCCCTTCCCATAGGAAAGCATTGGGAGACTATTGCACATGCTTGACAAAACGCAGTGCTGCACCTGAATCAATGCCTCTCTATGGGGGAACGTTTAGTGCAGGAAGCACCTCTAGTGGGCATTTGAGTGTCTGCCACTAGGGATGTTACTAGGCAGCAATGTAAACACTGCCTTTTCGTTGAAAAGGCAGTGTTTACATTGAAAAACCTGCAGCGATAGGCAGTGGACACCAGAACAACTACATTAAGCTGTAGTTGTTCCGGTGACTATAGTGTCCCTTTAAGGTTAAGCAGGTTATCTGTTAGATAATTTTTATTATTGGCATTTACATAGAACCGACATATTCTGCAGCACTTTGAATAAAGCTTTATAACAGCAAATAATAAACAGACTATTTCAATTGTTACCATGTTCGAACACGTTTTTAATATAGAGAAGGTGAGAAAGATCCTTCAGCTCGTCTCTTGTAAAGAATGGTTAAGCATTTAAGACACGTCACCTTAAAACCTGGCCATATTCTGGTGATGTCTCCTATCAATAAGGCATTTTTACCCAAACAGCTACACATGGTAGGATTATAACATTCTCTGTAATCCTAGATTAAATAAAATAGGTAACCTTTCGGCACTGCAGATGTTTTGGACTACACCTCCCGTGATGCTTTGCCAGCATTATGGGTGTAAGAGCATTATGGGGGATGTGGTGCACAACATCTGGAGTGCCAAAGGCTGCCTACCCCCTCTCCTAGATTATTTTAGCCCTGTGATTTCTCCATTCACATTAATAAACATGTGCACCTATTAAAGTGGCCATTAAATGTATACTCACATAAGAGAAAGTCCTAAATGCAACACATAGCAATAGTAAAAAACAGAAGGGTACAGGTTTCTTACCAAGAGGAATGCCAAACTTACATCTCATGTACTTAGACAACAGCAGTAAAAAAAAGTCACATGCGGATTGCCCTCTCCTTTGTATGAAAAGCAGAATTTGTAAATGACACGGAGAGTTAAGTAGAAAACAAGACAAGCAATGAGTTTGTTCACTAAAACATAACAGACACAGATTTTTGACAACTTACTTATTCCAGTTGATGAATGTTGCTCTCTGGGTTGAAATTCCAAGACTGGCCACCTGGTTGATCTGGATTCCAGCATCTGTGAACAAACATTGGATGTAAATCACACGGGGACTCAGACTGGTACACATGAACCAGTATTGTAGTTCGGCATAAATGATTGACCGCATTCTATAATTACCTTTGATAGCTTCCTTCACTACAGCAACAAATTGTTGCCATAATATTTCATGGTCTAACTCCACACATCCATGACGAGGATACAGCACATTAATCTGAATAGAGTGGGAAAAAAAAATATGTTTAAATAAACAGGAAACGCTTAGCCCACTTTCCCTTTGGAACCCCTCTTGCTTTTACCCTAAAATGACTATCACAACCTTTTAAGAGCCAGGGCAGGCAAAATTACAAATGTCAAGTCACGAAACACAGAAGGTTTCCACTCAAGGTCAGTTTAATGGCAAAATCTGCAAAATGATAAAGCCACTTTAAATTGGTGTTTTTAAAACCATCATAGCTTTTTAAAAATAATTTTTGATTGCTTGATTCTGATGCAGTTTGTACATATATAAACAAATGAGTATAAAAATAAACAAACAACCCATACGCTTATATACATACAAAAAAACTCACTTTGTATAAATGTAGTCACAATGAAAGGTGCTTAAACTTGAAGGACATCTGTTACCCAGGCAACCAGAAATAAGGTACTCTGGACAATGGCAACACAGCATGCAAATTTATATTGTAACTCCAAGACTAGGTACACGACACAATGAAAATCAGAGCGGCTGCTGATAGGAAATCTATGCTACTCTGCTACAACATTGGTTTATTATATTGCTTTATTCCATTGTTCTGTTTTGGTTTCAATAAACTCTTTGCTGTAGCTATTCATCACAGAGAATGCAGTAAACTGTACACAATATATAGATAGAATTCAAGTCTGTCTATTCCTACTGATTCTGATTCCATTATATACCATATTTCATTTTTTGATGTATTGGCTTGTAACTCAAAAACATGTCCAATCATGTTGGCAGAATAACCGTTTTATATCTGGATAATTTAACCCCCCTTGTTTATATCTCCCCGACAGAACCATAGAGCTCATTCTGTGGATTTTACCATTCCATATATATGCCTGGAAGCTAGATTGTATCATACTTAACCAACTCTCTGGCATTCTAAATGGTAACATCCTGAACAAGTAGGACCATTTTGGGATAATGTAAGCATTTATCGTATTGATCCTGCCTGTCCAGGAAGATTCTAACATTCACCATTCTTTTAAAGACTTGTTGGTATATCTTAATGGGCTTAAGAACATTTATTTCCATCATATTCTCTATCTCGGCTGAAACTGTTACTCCTAGATATTTAAATGTGTTTGTTGTCCAAGTGAAATTATATTTCTCCTTAAAATCTTTGATAATGGTATTACTTATATTTTTAATCAAAGTGACTGATTTAGATACATTTAATTTATAATTTGACATTTAGTATATCTTTCCAACAAATTTTGTGTTTTATGTTGGCACTTTAGTTTTAAGGACTTTATGTGAAACCGACACTTTAAATATATTGAATTGTGTATAAATATATTTTTTACTGTATTTTGAAGCAGTTTAAGTGTGTTTCGCACATAATTGTTTCAGTGATTCGGATAATTTTTATTGGATATTTTGAAGGAATGCACTTTACACAGAAATAAATTGGAACCAAAAAAAGTGGTTGATTGGAAACTTGCAGATAATACAGCTCCATAGGAAGGGAAGAAAGAAAGTTTTTTTATTCACAAGGATTCCGACAATAGCATCATCTGACTTGTATAGCAGTCTTTACATTTCATTATAGTATTGCTAAATAACGATTTATGGGCAGTAAGGGGAACTTGATTCCTGGAAGTCACAAGCAAAGAATATTTTGCAAAGTGGGTGAGGTTCTAATACACACAATACCTGCTAGAAAAAACACACAGAATATTACCTCTTCACCTTCACCACACATAATGGCCTCTTAGGGCTGGCAAATCATCGGAAGAGAGGGGGTAAAGTTCTCTATACTCAGGGCTATCAGTGCTATTATCTACTCACACCACTACTTGACTTCATATTGCTCCCTATGAGCTGACAAGGGGCGGAGGGAAATTAATTGCCATTTATAAAACAGTGATTAGATTCAAGGCAGCATTATCTCTGTGTACAAATACTGCTTTAGAGAAGAAAAAAAAAATAATCAAGGTTATTCAGCATAGCACAAAAAAAAAAAAAAAACACGTAAAAAACATGCTCTCGAAAAGATAAAGTATGCACAGAAATTAAGATTTACTACAACGCTTGAGCCTCTGCAGCTTGGACACTGGATCTGCACACATCTGTTGTAAGGCAACCCAAATGCCACGGGCACTCTGAGATATAACATAAATTCAACCGGGAACATGCCTTAGGGTAAGAAAAAAACAAAACAAAAAAACATAAATTGAAATCCCCTTTGGTGTCAGATGACAAGGACCTCTCTGAAAGGGGGTGCATTCAAGTTCAAAGTGACATATGATTTTGGGCAGAACACATAGCTTTGTATGGCAAGGAAAAAGCTCAGATTTCATCAGAACATGCCAAGCAACAATCCTACACAAAAAGCGACCAGTATAATAGCTGGGGACAATGGAGGGGACTGTTCTTGGCGCTTTTACTTGGCTAAGGCGATCAGATTCTCCTCTCATTGCCAGAATGAAAACCTAACCTTAGATAAATTGTGCAATTAAACTCACTGAAGAAGGCATATTTTCCTGCTATATATTAAAAAAATAAAAATCTAAAACTCAATTAAAAGTCTTAATTTCTTATTGAAGGCCTGATCTACGATAGGAAATTTAGCAAAAATACATTAAAGCAATTCAGATGATAGTTATCCTTTAAATTGAAGAAAACAAACATACCTTTCTAAATTGAAATGAAATTGTACCAAATTGTAATTTTAAAGAACACTTCACAAAACATGAAGCACTTTGGCTGGCAAAACGGACGATTGCAACAGAAATCAGTACTTTTATAACTAGGGACGGAAACGCTTCCCGTCAGACAGCCAGAGAGGTTTTCTTAATTTTATGTTAGTTCCTCACCTAGCAGGCTCCTGCTTTCCCCCTTCTCAATGAGTTGTACAGTAATAAAGAAAACCAATGATCAATTAGAAGTCTCTGATTGGAGTATTCCCTGATGAAAAAGGGGAGAGCTTGCAAATGATGCAGACAGCAGGTTTGCAGCTTTTGCAAGCTATTTTAGATATAACCTCCACCCCACACCCCCAAGAAAAACATACAGAATAAAAATACCTGTATGTTTTCTTTGCGGTATCTACCAAATTATTACAAAATATAAATTTTCAATGCAGTGTTCCTTTAATGACCTGAAATCTTAGATTGTGAGTTCACTTGTGTCAGGCTTTGTTCACATCTTGATTTTGTCAAGTACCTGATTAAAATTAACTTTTTACAAATCACAGAGTATCATGGTAGGTAGCTAGCTTTCCAACTGTTGTGGGACTATAACTTCATAATGCTCCGCAAGTCACGGACACAAACGACTGCAGATCATTATGTCCCATTATTACCTCACAGACGGAGAACTACCTACTGATTACCTGACAATTTACAGACTATTTAATAAATCGAAAAGGGTTATTTACTAAAGAGTGAATTGGCAAGAATTCACAAGTTTATTTCAAATTTCAGACCAAATAACCTAACTGAGAATATTGCTGATTAGGAAAATATTTGGGCAATTCTGGAATAAAAATTTAAAATTCACTTTGAATTCCCAGAAAGTAAATTTGTAGCTCTGCTATACAGTGACACCAGTTCTGTTAAAATCAAATGCTGTATAGTGTATGTGCCCTGGATTTACCTCCCGGACCAACATGTCAGCAAGTAACAATCACTATCAGTTAGGCTTTGATCAAGTGTCTGGTCAATAGCAAATGTACAAGGTCCAGAGTTTAAAATCAGTGTTCACTCCTATAACAAGGAAATAAAAAACAACCCATTCCACTAATAAGCCTCTCTGGTTTACTGCAGGGTCCAGTTTGTTCTTTGCACTTCTGTCCCAGTAGGTTCATCATCTGCACTTAGCCTACTACTTTTCATTACACTTTATTCATATGATCTGGCCATTAGAGCACCAGACACCTTTTCCAACCAGTCCCTGTAATCCAACAGTGATCTGTCATATTATCCTCCGGTCTATTAATTGTTCATATCATGTTACCTGGTTATTACCTGGACACACCTTAATCCACATTATAAGAAGGATTATGAAGTATGATTTATCTGGAATGCAATGTGAATTTCAAATCTTAGACCGAAATGTAAAGACAACTGACTTGGAGAATGCTTCTAACATGACTACTTTGGTCTAAAATTGGAAATTAATGCATCAATGCATATATTAGCAAATATATATCTCATCAATGCATATATATGCAAATATATATCTCATCAATGCATATATTAGCAAATAATCAGGATGGTGTTCATTCTATTTCCATATTAGCGATACTGTCACCTGATCCAGTTAACATGCTCAGCATCCTGTCTACTTTGTATTAGGTATATAGGCAGGTGACTTTCTGTAATTCCCCTATCAATAAACTGTGCTCTTATGGGGTTTAATAACCAAAATGAGAATTGTGGAGAATTGTCAAATGGAATTGCACGTCAAAAGAACTATGCAGGTAAAGCATTGTTAGAGATGATTTTTCTCACCTCAATTTCAACTATTTTGCCTGACAGGTGCAATTCTTTCTGAAGTGGATGACCCTGTGTCAACTGAACCCTATATTGCTTTCACAAGGTAGGTGTAACGGCTCCAATCAACTGGGAAGGTTAGACTCTGTGCCCCTTTCCTAACTTTATACTGCATTCACACTGTCATACAGGTAAGTACCTGTTACCTGGGCAGGTTAGTCTCTGTGCCCCTATCCCATCATTATACCACATTCACACTGTCATACAGGTAAGTACCTGTGACCCGGGCAGGTTAGTGTCTGTGCCCCTATCCCATCATTATACCACATTCACACTGTCATACAGTTAAGTTCCTGTGACCCGGACAGGTTAGTGTCTGTGCCCCTATCCCATCATTATACCGCATTCACACTGCCATACAGGTAAGTTCCTGTGACCCGGACAGGTTAGTGTCTGTGCCCCTATCCCATCATTATACCGCATTCACACTGCCATACAGGTAAGTACCTGTGACCCGGGCAGGTTAGTCTCTGTGCCCCTATCCCATCATTATACCGCATTCACACTGCCATACAGGTAAGTACCTGTGACCCGGGCAGTTAGTCTCTTTGCCCCTATCCCATCATTATACCGCATTCACACTGCCATACAGGTAAGTACCTGTGACCCGGGCAGGTTAGTCTCTGTGCCCCTATCCCATCATTATACCGCATTCACACTGCCATACAGGTAAGTACCTGTGACCCGGGCAGATTAGTCTCTTTGCCCCTATCCCATCATTATACCGCATTCACACTGCCATACAGGTAAGTTCCTGTGACCCGGGCAGATTAGTCTCTTTGCCCCTATCCCATCATTATACCGCATTCACACTGCCATACAGGTAAGTACCTGTGACCCGGGCAGGTTAGTGTCTGTGCCCACCTGTTTTCCATCACATGTTGCTATAGCAGTGTCACCTGGAATGCCAGTCTCAGCACCCCCAGGCACACAGTATTATCAGTGGTGTACATGCAGATAATATAATGTATGTGTGTGTCCCCCCCTATCACACAATATTAGGGTCCCTGTCACACCCCTTTACCTTATCCTCAGCGCTGCCCACGATCTGGCCCGCCGGGTTGTACACATGGCACCGCAGGACAGTGCTGCCCACATCCACCGCCAGGACCAGCCGCTCGCGGTATCCATTCCTGGCAGAGCCCATGCTCAGGACTGCGGACAGCCAGGAGTGGGCGTGGCCTGCCCCGGGAATGCCATGTTTACTGAGGAAGGGCTGGCCGGGGAGGAGCTCATGGCGTTGGCTGAGGCTGTTGCTCACCGTAGGAGGATAAATGGCTGCTGGGATTCCGCCATCTTTACTGAGGGCAATGTGAATGGCTGACACCCGTTACTGCACACTCACAGGACGTGGAACAATGAGACCGCGATCACATTAATACAGTCCGTTAATATGGGGGGGGGGGAGCTACTTGTAGTGATGTCGGTGACCCCCTTGGTTTCTCTCATTCACAGGTACTGACCCTGCCATTACTGCATACAGTATATGATATCTATGACTCACAGCAAACACATGTTTTAGGAGTTTATTCACTAAACAGTAAGTGGGGTAAAAGTGTACTTTAGCGTATTTTATTATTTTTCATTTTTACTCAAAGTAAATAGTGTGTTTTTATTATTAACAGCCATTATTAAAATACACTTACCTTTTAAAGGGACACTCCAGGCACCCAGACCACTTCTGCCCATTGGAGCAGTCTTGGTGCCAACTCCCACTACCCTTAACCCTGCAACTGTAATTATTGCAGTTTTTATAAACTACAATAACAACCTTGCAGGGTTAAGTCGTCCTCTAATGGCGGTCTATCAGACAGCCACTAGAGGGACTTCTGGGTTCTTAAAACTTTAAAAAGTATGTTAAATGACGCTGGATGTCCTAACACTATGCACGAGGACCTCCAGTGGCGCCTGAATCCCTATAGGAAAGCAATGAATACTGCTTTCCTATGGGGAGGTCTAATGCGCGTGCATGGCGGACATCAGCGCTGGATTCAGGTAAGTCACTGAATGGGGTTTTAACCCCTTCAGCAACATGGGATGGGGGTGGGAGGGAGGGGGATACTGCAAGATCCTGCAATGACAGGAAAACAGATGTGGTTTTTTTTTTTGGCACTGGAGAGTTCCTTTAATGCATTTAATTTTAGGATAGAAACATAGAATGTGACAGCAGATAAGAACCATTCGGCCCATCAAGTCTACCCAATAATTTCGAAATACTTTTAATTTGTCCCTGGCCTTATCTAACAATCTGTTTTCCTGGCACTGCAGGTCCCCTCTCCCTCCCACCACCCATCCCTGGTTGCTGAAGGGGTGAAAACCCCTTCAGTGACTTACCTGAGACCCCCGCGATGTCCCTTGGCGGTGGTTTCGGGTTGCCGCCGCTCCTCCCCTTCATCACGTCAGCTGAGACCTGATGCGCATCGCATTAGAGCTCTCCATAGGATCAATGCACTTATGTCGTTATTAATGTCATGAAGTCGTAAAGTACATTAAGTAGTACATAATCACTGTGGGTCTGCGAACGTGCCGGGTAGGTACTTCTCCAAAACTACGCCATCTGCCCCATGACTCCAAAATGTGTCCATGGTGGTGCTTGGTGTTCCCAGTGGGCGGGCTTCCATGCAGGTCCCTCGATGTGGTAGGTAGAGCGATCATCCGACTCCCTTACGGGTGCCTCCGCTAGTGTATGGGCTCAGTCCACTTAAGGGATCTATGCAGCGTCTGGAAGGTGGGATGCCCCTTCGGCCCTGGAGCTGTGTGAGGGCTGGTACTTTCTAGCCACTAGCCTGGAGTCCTGTAAGGTCCAGGGTCTTCCTTGTCAGGATGGTGCGGCGCGCCCTCAGTGGGTCAGGTGTGTGTCGTCGTGTATTTCTTGTGGCCCTCCGCTTGTGTGGCCAGTACCTGTGGGTCTGGACCCGTAGTGCCCTCAGCCCAGGTGGGCGTCTTGTGCGAGGTGCAGATGTGGGGGACAGAGTTGTGCCTTAATCTGTAAGTGATTGTTTGATTTAGACGCCGCTGGTTGCGTGCAGGCCTGGAGCTGAGCCCAGAATCTATCGAAAATTGCATCGAGGGAGTCTCTTGTATTGGGATAGGGGCTGGTCACTTCAGGCTGCCGCAGTCACGTGTAGCAAAGTCCACTGAGACCGCCATCTTGGAGACCTTCTCCCGACCGGGATATCCCCCAACGGTCCATGGGGTGGGGGGGGGAACAGGAGGAGAGGGGATGGTTGGTGCTTGCGTGCGGCCCTTCTCCCACTCCAACTTCTCCTGTTTGCCTCAGCCCGCTGTCATGGTTCCCGGGTGTTCCGCGTGTCAAATTTGGTATCCGCAGGTGTGTGCCAGCTTCCCCAGTCTGTAGGGCTTTTTTAGGAATGGGTCATCACTGCGGCCCAAGATATCATGCTTTTAGTGCCCGTGAAGCAGGTCTTGCTAGCTTGCTGATCAGGCTCCGCCCCCCTTGTTTTACTTTCCTTTTCTCATTTATGTGTCTAAAAAATGTTTAACCCCCCCCCCTTTTTTTTTTTTACCGACTGTGCTATTTTCTCTTCTGTGTGTGCTTTGGAGGCTCTTATAACTTGCTTAGCCTCTTTCTGCTTAATCTTATAGATCTGTCTGTCTTCCTTACTCTGGTTCTTTTTATAATAATTAAGTGCTAACTTTTAGTTTTTTTTTGTTTTTGTTTTTTTTTACTATTTTGGCCACATCTGCAGAGTACCACAGTGGTTTCTTAAATTTTTTGCTTTTACTGACAACCCTAATGCAATTTTCTGTTGCCTTCAGCAGTGCACCTTTTAAATATTCCCATTTCTCTTGGACTCCATTTAAACTGCTCCAGTCTGACAAGGACCCCTTTACGCATATTCTAATTTTAGGTTGCCCCCACCCTCCCAAGGATTAACTAGATAAGCATCACAACTTTAAGGACACATGACATGTGTGACATGTCATGATTCCCTTTTATTCCAGAAGTTTGGTACGTAAGGGGTTAAACTGCATTATCTATGGGCCCATCCTGTAACATGCCTGGCTGTGCGTCACAGATGTGTGACTCAGCATTATGGGACTGGCAGTTTACAATAGAGGACAAGCCAGAGATGGTCTCACTATCTCCCCACTGTGAGCTGCAGTGGGCACTGACATTGTTTTATGTAATTTGGGATACAGACAGTTACCGGGAATAAATCCTGCTCTGTAATGACTGTAATTATTGGTGTGCGAGTACTTACAATGCTCCAGGGATAACAATACCCAGCACACAGTGAGTGCCCCCTGCTTGGCAGTTTACAATTTGCCGCAGTCCATGGTGTTAATGAGTAGACTCCTCCTAGCTAACCACATCATGGCAGGTTCCGGATTTGGGAAGATGGTATGCTAACAGAGATGCTCCAAATTTATTTATTTTATTATTTTTAGTATATTTGTACAGCGCACCATAAAAGCAATGCACAAAAAAAAAAAAAATATGCTAAAATACACCTGAACGAAACCGCAAATAATAAAATAAGCTAAAATACACTTCTACCTAACCCCCACATGTCCTTTTTGGACAATTCAGATTTTGTACCTTGTTCTCCAAACTGGGTTTGTTCTCTGGTGACCTGTTACAAAGGGAAGAAGTCTGATTGTGCAATTAAAGCCTGGACAGGGCATAGGGCATTTCATTCCAAATATGCGCATTATGGGTTACTGCAAGCACCATCACCACTTCAGTGATATAAAGCTTTCATGGTGGTTGGATTCTCTAGGTGTAGCATTTCACTATGAAACTCTGCACACACAGAGTATAACCGTTCTGATTGTCAATTGGGCGTCATCAGCCAGCTCAGAACAAGAGTTCCAAACTGGCAAGTGTGAATTAAATGCAAATTTGCCATCTGACATTAGCACATTGGCTACATACATCCAATGTCCCTACCTTAATTTGCGCTCCCCGACTGTCGCAAAGCATAGTGGCGTCAACCAGGGACGATCCGGCTGCAGGGACAACAGGGAATTTACCCCAGCCAACACAACCAGAGCACATCTTTAGATAGGCTCACGGTGAGAGACTCTACAAGGAGTGCTACAGAAGTGGGGTTGGCCTGGAGGCTATCAGATTGTCTGGTCTGCATTAATGCCAGGCTGACATACCGCTTCTGTGGGCAGTCTCGGCTCCTTTCCAAGTACTATCGCCTATTTTTGGGGTAAACTGCTTCACTGACACAGCCATTTAAGTGAACTTGTCCTCATATAATCAACTGTAGCTCTTTTAAAAGAGCTTAAAAATCCATCTATACATTGTGGTAACAAATACTTGAAAAAAAAAAAGTAAATTATTATAAAATATTTTTTATCCCATCTGTGTCTCCGCTCCTCGGCAGACACTGAATGCCGAGGAACTGAGAGCCAGAGAGAGCAGAAGAGACCTCCCAGAGGAGGAACCTTTGCTCTCCACCCATAGCAACCACAGTGCATGCTAGGGAGTATAGGAACAGAGTAATGTGACATAACTCACTCTAGACATTGTCAATGTTGCCAGTGTGTCAGCCTTAATGGATGAGGTTTGTCCTGCTTGGGGCTTGCGTCTTGAAGCAGGACACATCAGCCAAGAGAAGCGCGGGAGGACCGGTGGTAGTTGTTAGACGATTGGAGACCCAAGATTGTGGCAGAGGGTCAGATAAGGAGTACAGACTCTCTTTAAAGCCTGCACACCCCATGCCAAATTCATACCTCCCAATTTTGGTAGGTATGCGCTTAGCTTATTGTCGGGCCTGATTACATGCATTCACACCATAGTGCTCCCAGTGGTGTTGATTGTGGTATCCCAACTGACCCAATGCCCATCAGGTCTGGTATATGTCCTCAGTGGATTACCTTAGAGATCAGATAAAGACTGGTCTACAAATTTAGCTTAAATTGACACTTTAGAGAAAATCTCAAATGAAGGTAATTCTGGATTCCCCCCAGCCCCCAACTCTGCTGGTTTGATCTATATTTTAAAAAATCTTATGTTTCCCCAACTTTACCTATTCTTGTACCCATATCTGCTTTGAATCCCTCTGTGGTAAATCTAAAAGTCTTTTCAATACCAATTTTATTTGCTGTACTTCTAGACTCTCATTTTAGTTACTGTAACCTAGCCCACCTCCACTCTGAAATTGCCAATTAAAATATAAAAAGTGCTTGTGCTCATCACAATAAATGGCCTCAGGCATTCCAGCAGGTTTCCATAACATTGGTCCCTCACACTTTCATTTATGAATGCAGCCAATAGTCTGTACTTGAAAGGCTTTTGTCTGTTAAAGGCAGAAGGCCTTTAATTTGCTGAATCCATGATACATAAGGAAGTTAAAGGACCACTATAGTGCCAGGAAAACAAACTTGTTTTCCTGGCACTATAGTGCCCTGAGGGTGCCCCCACTCTCAGGGTCCCACTCCCGCCGGACTCTAGGGGGAGAAAGGGGGTTAAAACCTTACCTTTCTCCAGCGCCTGGACTCTAGTGGCTGTTTAAAAGCTGGTTGGAATCGTCACTGTTAAATCTTCTTAATTTCTTCTTGTCTTCAGTTGATTGATATATATATGTCTTTTGTGTATATATAGTCTTGGGCTAAATATAATGCTCGCCACAATAATATATGTCTATATTATTGAAAAGTACTAATACGCAATCTGACTTACGGTTTCTTCAGGTTTATTCTTACGGATACATACTAAAACAACAAATGATGTTACAGGATAATGGACATTCAACAGCAGATGATAATTGCTGGCCTTCTTTACATTCTTACATCTTTACATCTCGAGAGAGAGCCAGAGAGAGCCAAGCCAAGAGCCAAGAGAGATAGCGACCTCGTGTCCCTCTGTTACTATAAAGATGTGCTAATACTAACGTCAGCATTTAACTCTTGCCATATAAGGACAAAAACCCCACATCCACATTCCAGTAGCTCTCGGACAAAGAAAGCCGTGTGACTTATTGATACCATCTGTTACTTATGTCAATCCACACATCCATATATATATATATAATCAATAGAAACACAGAATATGCAATATTCTACATTCCCTCTGTTTATGGTTTGTCTTAAAACCATAACACAATGTCACTAACCTGTCCATTCATACATCACTCGTATCACAGTCATTGAACATAGAACAAGATGTAGTCACAATTTTCTATTATATGAGAGTTCTTAGAAGGTCGAGTTTCTTTTTTTTTTTTTTGACAATCTTTATTTTGACTTTTAGCATCGGTACAGTGTGTCGATTCTTGAACAGAGTAAGGCACAAAATATCAACGTATAGGAGGTATAACATCCAACAGGATAGAAACAGAACATGCACACAACAAACCACGGGGGATCTTAAAACAGCTGACCTATACTAATCGGTGAGACCCAGATAATGGCATGGTGGTGGAAGGCCGGGTCTGTCACGCACTATGATCAGGTGCGGTGGTCAGTGAGAAGGTCGAGTTTCTATCCCTCATACTGCTTACTTTACTTCAAAACTCCCTCTGTTTCAGCTATGTATTTATATCCATATTCATGTTACATCATAACTACTTGAAAATAATATATACATATATATAACAATAAATGAATAAAATATTTACAAATGTTGATCCAGTAAACAATAAAGCAATCAAAAATATCTACCTGCTCTGGTACAGTCGTATCTTTGTAGATAACAAAATCAAGATGATAACTTTCTAAATAATAACTGTGTATCACTATCATATTCCTACAGACACATATAACATAGTATTTTCATTCTCAATACCTGATATTACTTAAGTACTAATACATGTATTACTATAATATACGTCCACTTATATTTCCATGAATCAAATGTTTTCTAGTGAACTTAAACTCTTTAGGTCATTTGTATTCATGAATTACATTCCTATACCATTAATACCACCTAATGATAATTGTATCAGTACTTTACAATCATAGTATTTAATTTGTATATTCAGTAGGCTCTCACTACCTGAAATATATCAACACTACTTATAAGACTCATTCAAAGGATGTGTTATCAACCATGAAGTTCTATAATAATTCTTCAAATAATGTTCATGGTGTTGACAATACTTATTGTTCTAGAAATTCTCCACCCAGAAATCTTTCTATCATAGATTTGTTTTTGTTTACATAATTTATAATTTTCACTAAAATTCCACCTTGTAGTAACAAACATTTCATTTAATAGAAACATGGTTTACTTTAAAAGAACTTGGAAAGAATAATTTAAATTCATTGTGATTACTTATTAATGTAATACATCTCAACATAAAAGTAGGACTGTCCTAATGTTACCTTAACATTTGTTCTGACCAATCCGTATTCCTTAGTACACTTCAACTGACTAAATTAAAATAAAATAAACTTGGGGTCATACTGCCCAGAAACTCTTATTCCTAGTCTGTGTCTAATAAACTCAGGGAAATCTTAAAACAACGTATTCATTGGATACCGCCATATCCAGAAACCTATTCTCCCTAGTCCATACCTTTATAGACTTAGGTCAAATATAATTGTGTACTATACTCTTTCCTTTCAATTCAATTCCTCTTGGATCTCTGAACTCTTATATCCAAGGCATTCTTAATGTATACCATTACTTAATATTAATCAAAATAAATTATCCTTCCTTAGTTTTCTTCCTTATGTTACCATTGTTTGTTTTACTTCACCTAGATATAAAGAAATTATTCATTATTGTTAATCTATGAAATACTATTGAACTCAATCTTTGTGGTATTAAGTAACCATGATCCTTATTTTATCAACTTCATATTTTATCTACCTCTGATACTTCTCATCCTATGCATAGGTCATAATGTAATAGTTATCTTCATAATACTATCCTATCATAATTTTACTCCATGTGTTAAATAGTTATAAGTACTCTCTTTTGGTATTAATACACTCGTAACTGTTAAATAACTTTTCAGTGTCTCTTTTCTTCTTTGTTAATATTTAGGAATTGTTATGTATGTTAGTGCCAATCTTTTATTTCTTTGTATGTCTGTTAATCTTCTGTATTGAATGAACTCTGTAGAATCTTCCATTACAGTTTGCAGATCAGATGAAAAGTCTCTTTCCAACAGTCGATGTCCAGTTGTCTGAAGGAATGCCTTCCTGATTTATTGCCACAAGGATCTGTCACGCTTTACCAGATCAGTTATTTCTGTCTATTTAGTTGCTTCATCCACACAGCTGCGCAGTTCTGGACTTGAATCTGGACGCTTGCCAATCTCTGCCATGTGCTTGCTTCTAGAATTCACATTGTATCTTGTGCTTTTTGTCTCAGTTGTAGAAAATAGTCTTGTACAGTCTTTGTGATTTGAAAATCTTTTTCATACAAACCACAGTCTAGATTCTTTTTTCTCTTCAAGTTTGTTTTCCCAGTTCCAAAATAGCTTTGTAACTCGATTCTTCTCTCTCCCCCCTTGAAGTGGGAACAAAACTTGAACAGAAGACTGGCTTGCTAGCCAATGTAAAATCTGGTTGGAAGCGTCACTGTTAAATCTTCTTAATTTCTTCTTGTCTTCAGTTGATTGATATATATACGTCTTTTGTATATATAGTCTTGGGCCAAATATAATGCTCGCCACAATAATATATGTCTATATTATTGAAAAGTACTAATACGCAATCTGACTTACGGTTTCTTCAGGTTTATTCTTACGGATACATAATAAAACAACAAATGATGTTACAGGATAATGGACATTCAACAGCAGATGGTAATTGCTGGACTTCTTTACATTCTTACATCTTTACATCTCGAGAGAGAGCCGAGCCAAGAGAGAGAGGAACCTCGTGTCCGTCTGTTACTATAAAGATGTGCTAATACTAACGTCAGCATTTAACTCTAGCCATATAAGGACAAAACCCCTACATCCACATTCCAGAGCTCTCTGACAAAGAAAGCCTTGTGACTTATTGATACCATCTGTTACTTATGTCAATCCACACATCCATATATATAATCAATAGAAACACAGAATATGCAATATTCTACAGGCTGTCAATGAGATGGCCACTAGAGGCTGGATTAACCCTAATGTAAACATAGCAGTTTCTCTGAATCTTTGTTGAATGTTTACAGCAGAAAGGGTTAAAACTAGAGGGACCTGGCATCCAGACCACTTCATTGAGCTGAAGTGGTCTGGGTGCCTATAGTGGTCCTTTAAGCAGTTCTATATCAGGTGTTTTTATTGCAAACTCTGGGCAAACCTCAGACTGGGCAGTGAAGCAAACCATGATTTGTTTCTCTGATGATCCAAGAGAACAGTAACCTCATTTGGAAAAAATTGGAGCGTTGATATTTCTCTCTAATGCACATTACATTATGTATGACAATTATTATATAAAGGAACACTCCAAGTACCATAACCACTACAGCACACTTTAAACTGTTTTGATGGCAAACACTGGGAAAGAGTAGGGATCTTACAGCCAAAGGTTTTTTTTTTTTTCTAATTTTGTTGTCTTCATATTTGTATTTATCATCAATAGAAAGAGCCTAATATGTAATCAACTAATGAGCTTACATATAATATCACCCTATATTGTTATGATTTCTACATGTATCCTGTTATATCCAGAAATGAATACTGGTGATAACCTTCAATAGTGGAAAGATACCACTGTTCTAGGCTGTCACCCTGCTATGAAAGTTGTATTTGCCCTTCAGTCTCATATTACATTTCGTTCTGCTGTTAATTTAATTTTGCTATAATATTATGTGTGAAATGTGTTTTTTTTTTTTTGTTTTTTTTTCTCAAATATTTAAATGCAGTTTTATTTGGATTTGATCACTGCACATTATGTCTCACGATGGAAAAGTTTCTCTCTTGTGGGCATCTAGAGACCACATGCTCCAGAGTTTGATCACTCACTCTGTGTCGTATATGTTAGTTTGCAAATGATGTTAAAGGGAAAACTACGGGCATCAAATGTGTATGTTACTCAAGCTGTTTTTTTGAATGGGTAGTCTGAGAGAGTTAGCTCATGCTCTCAGCCTAGAAAACGACGATCAGTAAGACCTCCTTCGCCACTCCATGTTGTGAACTACATCTCCCATAATGCTCTTTCAGCCATAATGCTGACAAAACATCAGTGGAGATGTAGTCCACAACATCTGGAGTGCCGAAGGTTACCTACACCTGCATCTCGATCTTGATATTGCTTTTTTGGGGAGATGAGAGAAAAGGTAGTTTACTAAGCTCTGAATTAGTTGGTGCAATTGCAGAATATTTTTAGGGGACGCTATAGCAGCGCTCAACAAATCCCAGGTCACCGTGGCAACTAGAAATTGTGTCTTGGCGCCTGGGATTTTGTCATGGCAGCCCTTTAGCGAAGGCCGCCATCCCCCATGGGGGAGCCGGCCGTCAGCCTGGGGTAGCGTGGGAGGCAGCACGCGAGGGAGCAGTAATCCTCCTGCAGCACCTCTCTGCTCCCTCGCGCTGTTTAGTGATGCCAGGAACTGGAATATGACATCACACTGACCCCATCACTGCAGATTGCGCACAGGGGAGCAAAGAGGAATTGCAGGGAAATGATCAAAGCAGCCCCACTGGAGGCTGGGTGGACATAAATTAAAGTAAAACATTTAATTTGTGAGTTTATGAGAAAACGTGTCTATCAATGTGTGTGTCTGTTTAGGTACCTGCCCCCTTCTGATCGCTTGGGAAAGGTGTTTTTACTCCCCTTTCTTCCCACACCGACCTGGTTTCACAGAGGCTTATCACTCCTCCATGGCTAAGATCATCTTTATGACCTCTGTTACGTCAATGTTTTCCCATAGGAAAGCTTTGGGAGGATATTGCACATGTCCCTTCGCCAACTCTCCTCCCTCACCGACGTCAGCCGGCGGGGGAGACCTAACGCGCATTACACCGCCCCATAGGAAAGCATTCAATGCTTTCCTATGGGGATTCCGGCGACGCTGCAGGTCCTTATGTGTTGCGTGAGGACGTCCAGCATCTCTTAAAACACTAATAGTGTTTTAAAGGACCACTCTAGGCACCCAGACCACTTCAGCTTAATGAAGTGGTCTGGGTGCCTGGTCCCTCTAGGATTAACCCATTTTTTTTTTTATAAACATGGCAGTTTCAGAGAAACTGCTATGTTTATAAATGGGTTAATACAGCCCTCAAACCCTCTAGTGGCTGTCTCATTGACAGCCACTAGAGGCGCTTGCGTGATTATCACTGTGAAAATCACAGTGAGAGCACGCAAGCATCCATAGGAAAGCATTGTAAATGCTTTCCTATGAGACCGGCTGAATGCGCGCGCAGCTCTTGCCGCGCATGCGCATTCAGCTGAATGGGAGGAGAGGAGGAGGAGAGCTCCCTGCCCCTTTTCTCTCCCCAGAGCTGGGCGGGAGTGGGACCCTGAGGGTGGGGGCACCCTCAGGGCACTATAGTGCCAGGAAAACAAGTGTGTTTTCCTGGCACTATACAGGGAGTGCAGAATTATTAGGCAACTTGTATTTTTGAGGATTAATTTTATTATTGAACAACAACCATGTTCTCAATGAACCCAAAAAACTCATTAATATCAAAGCTGAATATTTTTGGAAGTAGTTTTTAGTTTGTTTTTAGTTTAGCTATGTTAGGGGGATATCTGTGTGTGCAGGTGACTATTACTGTGCATAATTATTAGGCAACTTAACAAAAAACAAATATATACCCATTTCAATTATTTATTATTACCAGTGAAACCAATATAACATCTCAACATTCACAAATATACATTTCTGACATTCAAAAACAAAACAAAAACAAATCAGTGACCAATATAGCCACCTTTCTTTGCAAGGACACTCAAAAGCCTGCCATCAATGGATTCTGTCAGTGTTTTGATCTGTTCACCATCAACATTGCGTGCAGCAGCAACCACAGCCTCCCAGACACTGTTCAGAGAGGTGTACTGTTTTCCTCCTTGTAAATCTCACATTTGATGATGGACCACAGGTTCTCAATGGGGTTCAGATCAGGTGAACAAGGAGGCCATGTCATTAGATTTTCTTCTTTTATACCCTTTCTTGCCAGCCACGCTGTGGAGTACTTGGACGCGTGTGATGGAGCATTGTCCTGCATGAAAATCATGTTTTTCTTGAAGGATGCAGACTTCTTCCTGTACCACTGCTTGAAGAAGGTGTCTTCCAGGAACTGGCAGTAGGACTGGGAGTTGAGCTTGACTCCATCCTCAACCCGAAAAGGCCCCACAAGCTCATCTTTGATGATACCAGCCCAAACCAGTACTCCACCTCCACCTTGCTGGCGTCTGAGTCGGACTGGAGCTCTCTGCCCTTTACCAATCCAGCCACGGGCCCATCCATCTGGCCCATCAAGACTCACTCTCATTTCATCAGTCCATAAAACCTTAGAAAAATCAGTCTTGAGATATTTCTTGGCGCAGTCTTGACGTTTCAGCTTGTGTGTCTTGTTCAGTGGTGGTCGTCTTTCAGCCTTGCTTACTAGGGATCGACCGATTATCGGTCTGGCCGATATTATCGGCCGATATTTGGTATTTTCGGCAATATCGGTATCGGCCAATTCAGATACCGATATTGCAGATAATATATAGCAGGACCGCCGTGCCCATTAGAAGCCCGGCGGTCCTGTGGGGGCCAGCCGCAAGCGCTGACTTACCTTGCATGCAGCTCCCTGTGTAAATCTCGCGAGACCCGCGGCCGCAGAGCGTTGCCACGGGTTACCATGGCAACGCTCCGCGCGGCACTAAGAGCCGCGAGATTTACACAGGGAGCTGTAGGAGCTGCTTGCAAGGTAAGTCAGCGCTTGCTGCTGCTGAGCCACCACTGTACTTAACAAGCCACTGGACCACCAGGGAATACTATATCCCCCTCCCTGGTAAGAAGCAGGGAGAGAGGACTAAACAAAACAAACCCAAACATTTAAATATTAAAAAAAATATTAAAATAAAAAATTACACAAATTACATCACTACACACACACTGCACACACACTGCACACATACTGCATTACATACACACTACACAAACACACACTACACAAACACACACTGGGGGGGGACTAAACAAAAAAAAAACCATTTAAATATTAAAAAAAATATTCAAATAAAAAATTACACAAATTACATCACTACACAAACACACACACACACTACACAAACACACACTGCACACATACTGCATTACATACATACACACTACACAGGCACACACACTGCATTACATACACACACTACACAGACACTACACACACACCACAAACACACACTGCATTACAGACACACACTGCACACACACTGCATTACATACACACTACACAAACAGTACACATACTGCATTACATACACACTACACACACTGCATTACATACATAAACACTACACAAACACACACACACTGCATTACATACACACACAAACACACTGCATTATACACACACTACGTAAACACACTGCATTATATACACACTACACACACTGCATTATATACACACTACATTCATTATACACACACTACACAAACACACTCTGCATCCACTACACACACACACACACACTACACAAACACACACAGTTCCCCTGTCTAAACACACTTCATCCACTACATGTGGCATGTATATTTTGTGCCTTTACCTTTCGAATTAGTTTATTTATTCAAAATAGTAAATGTACAGAATATCGGCAAGATATCGGCCTGAAAGTTCGCAGATTATCGGTATCGGTATCGGCTCTAAAAAATCAATATCGGTCGATCCCTATTTCTTACCTTGGCCATGTCTCTGAGTATTGCACACCTTGTGCTTTTGGGCACTCCAGTGATGTTGCAGCTCTGAAATATGGCCAAACTGGTGGCAAGTGGCATCGTGGCAGCTGCACGCTTGACTTTTCTCAGTTCATGGGCAGTTATTTTGCGCCTTGGTTTTTCCACACGCTTCTTGCGACCCTGTTGACTATTTTGAATGAAACGCTTGATTGTTCGATGATCACGCTTCAGAAGCTTTGCAATTTTAAGAGTGCTGCATCCCTCTGCAAGATATCTCACTATTTTTGACTTTTCTGAGCCTGTCAAGTCCTTCCTTTGACCCATTTTGCCAAAGGAAAGGAAGTTGCCTAATAATTATGCACACCTGATATAGGGTGTTGATGTCATTAGACCACACCCCTTCTCATTACAGAGATGCACATCACCTAATATGCTTAATTGGTAGTAGGCTTTCGAGCCTATACAGCTTGGAGTAAGACAACATGCATAAAGAGGATGATGTGGTCAAAATACTCATTTGCCTAATAATTCTGCACTCCCTGTAGTGGTCCTTTAAGAACCCGGAAGCTCTGAGACAGCCACTAGAGGAGGACTTAACCCTGTTAGGCAATTAGTGCAGTTTATGAAAAACTGCACTAATTACACTTGCAGGGTTAAGGGTAGTGGGAGCTGGCACTGGGTGCCTGGAGTGTCCCTTTAACCAGCCTTGCTATTCAGGTAGTGCATATTGCTGTTGCTAACTCTCCTCCCCCGCCGACCTAATGCGCATGCGTGGCAATTGCCGCGCGCGCATTACACCGCCCCATAGTAAAGCATTATTCAGTGCTTTCTTATGGGGATTCCGGCAACGCTGGAGGTCCTTATGCGTTGCGTGAGGATGTCCAGCATCTCTTAAAACACTAAAAGTGCTTTAAGAACCCGGAAGCTCCGAGACAGCCACTAGAGGAGGACTTAACCCTGTTACGCAATTAGTGCATTTTATGAAAAACTGCACTAATTACACTTGCAGGGTTAAGGGTAGTGGGAGTGGTCTGGGTGCCTGGAGTGTCCCTTTAACCAGCCTTGCTATTTAGGTAGTGCATATTGCTGTTGCTACCAACAGAGGGCACTACACAGGCTACATAGACAACTCCAGCTAGTTGGTAGCAATCCTCAGCAGTACAGGCTAGCAGGCAAAACATTTAACAGTGTATACACACACACAATATTAACAATTACATTACACGCACCCTGCACCTATAATGGGTACAGGGTGACTAAAACATAAGAAAAGTCCAGCAACCTACATAAATAGTCTATCTGAAGGTACAGGTAATTGTGACATCCGTTACAGTAGGAATGTAAAGACTGTCTTTTCTCTGGAAAGGTAGTGTTTACATTGAAAAGCCTGCAGTGACATGCTACAAACACCAGAACAACTACATTAGGCTGCAGTGGTTCTGGTGACTATAGCATCCCTTTAAGAATTGCATTTTTCTCGTTCAAAATTAAACTTTGTTTGTTTTTAAAAAGACTGGCTCCTAACTTTTTTAGCTCGCTCCTAGATTCCAAACAAATTCGTCAAGCCCTGCACTATAGGCATCTAGACCACTTAATCTCATTGAAGTGGTCTGGGTACACTGTGTATATCGCAGGATTAAGCCTGTCTCTAATCTGACTTTCTACCAGAGAGCCACTAGAGGAGCTTTATGGCCTTTCACAAAATCTGACTCCATGAAACAACACTGGACATCCTCACGTTTTGCATAAGCATGTCCAGCGTCGTCAACTCCCTGATAGGAAAGTATTTCTAGATAAGAATTATTGTAGAGAATGCATATTTCAGTGATATAACAAATTTTATATTCTGAAGGGTTCCCTTGGAGATGTGGGGTGGTCTGTTTTTGCAAAGTGCATTAATCTGCAAAGTGCATTAAATTTAAATTTGTTAAGTAGAGCACGCACTATTTCACTACTGCTAGGCAGGTGTTTGTGAATTATACACAGTGCGAGAAGCCATCTCCGGAAGGCATAGTCAAACACTTGCCACAGAAAAAAATAGAGCATATTCCGACACATCTGTGTTAGTTTTAATGTAGAAAATAAACAGCCTCAGCTTTAAAAAAAAAATCCCACTCTCAAAGTCTGTAATGAGGCTATATGCATGGTATGCCATGCGTGTAATATAATCGTGAGCGAGTATCACAGACCGCCTGCATGTTGATGGATAAGTAGTTCTTCATGTTTAAGTACAGGTGAGAGACCCCAGCAAGTGTGATCACATACTTCCATATCTTTTACCCTTCAGTATCATTGCTTTCTAACCTTTGTGTGGCACCCTCTCCATCTGCCTTTCTCTTTACCCCCTTTTACATGCTCTCTATTTCTTTTATTTTTCTCTTCCACATTTCTTTTATATCGTTCTCTATTATATGGTGCTGATCATGCTCTCTCTGTCTCCCGCTTTGCATTTACTCCCACCCTGAACTCTCATTGCACTTTCGTGCGTGTGTGTTTGAAATGAAGATCTCATCCAGGGATACTGATTTAGTATACATCCAAGTTGTCTTTTACCCTGTTCTGTTACAAACTCCAGCAATGCTATGTAGATATTCTGTGGATTGTCATAGGCCAGATAGTGAACAAATCTTAGGCACCATACCTCATAATGACCATATGAGGACTTTATATTTCTGAGTTAAGTATGTTTTGTCATGGTCTATTAAGTTTCCATTATATTCCTCTTTTGGCTTGTAATGTTTACGTGGCATTTTATTATTAATATTATTATTTATTTATAAAATATTTTACCAGGAAGGATACATTAAGATTTCTCTCATTTTCAAGTATGTCCTGGGTCCACAAAACATTGCATTGATACAATATGGTACAATAAAATACAAAAACAATATTAATGTACAATATATGCAAAATTTTACATAGAACATGTATGTTAATTGTTTTCTGGTTAGATATCTTCAGTAATGGGTACCTAGAGCAGGAATTGGTCCATTATTATTTATTGAATCTGGGTGGAAGTAATAAGAGGGATATTGATAATTGGATCTTATTTAGTTAACCATGTCTTGGATATATTCCCTTTTTGACTGTTTTATTACTAGTGACACTAGTCACCAAAACAACTTTAGCTTAATAAAGCAGTTTTGGTGTATAGATACTCTCCCAGCCATTTAGGAGTTAAATTACTTTGTTTATTCAGCTCTAGTCACACCTCCCTGCATATGACTTGCACAGCCTTCCTAAACACTTCCTGTAAAGTAAGATCTAATGTTTAAACTTCTTTTATTGCATAATCTGTTTAATTTAGAATTTATCTTCTTCTGTTAATAGTTTGCTAGACTCTACAGGAGATGTGATCAAAGTTAAATTTACAGAGCATGAGATGCAAACTTTTAAAGTAAGTTAATATCCGATTGAAAACTAAACTAAATTTTTAATGCAGCCTGTGTGTGAATCACAGCCAGCGGAGGTGTGGCTAGGGCAGCATAAACAAGTTATTTAATTCCCAAATGGCAGATAATTTGTCAGTAAGACTGCAGAGGCATGATCTATACACCCAAACTGCTTTGTTAAAGGACCACAAAACAAAACCTGTATTCCTGATCCTATAGTGTTAAAAACACCATCTAGGGCTATAACTACAGGACAATCTTACTTTTATTTCCAGTCTGCTGCTGCCGGCTCTGCCCCTGATCTGCATGCTTGGCTGACATCATCAGAAGTGCTGATCTAAGCCAATCACAATGCTTTCACATAGGAAAGCATTGGAATGGCTGAGATTGTCAAGGAGGCAGATCAGGTACAAAACCAGCACAAGCCAAACACAGCCCTGGCCAATCAGCATCCCCTCATAGAGATGCATTGATGCATTCATCCCTATGAAAAAAGTTCAGTATCTCTATGCAGAGGGTGGAGACACTGAATGTCAGATGAGGGAATACCTCCAGTATGTGGTATGCAGCCATTTTCATCTTCAGAGGAAGATATGCTTTCTGATCCAGCTTTCATGGATAGTAAGAAAAAGCTCTTATTAAAGCAGTTCGGAACATCCTTCATTTGAAGGATAAGAAAGAAAAGCAACTGGACTCTAGCAAACATTTTGAAGACTTGAGGAAAAAGAACCTGACTTTTCCATTTCACAAAATTATTAAGGATCTGATTAAGGAGGAAGGCTGCACACTGTTCCAGGAAGCAGCCATGTGACAAGTGACCAGTGGAGGTGTTGCTAGGCTGTAATGTAAACACTGCATTTTCTCTGAAAATACAGTTTCCTTCCAAACTGGACAGGAACACCTAATTAAAACAATCAAAGAGAGATGCCTCCTCCTACCCCTCAGTCTTTTTTCCTGTCCACTTCACTTTGGACACAGGATGCTTTGCACCTCCTTTTTCTTTTTTGACTTACTTGGGTCATCCATACCCCTATCCTTTGGGAAGTTCAGCCTCTTCCCATGGAAGCCTCAGGATACGGCGCCTCACCAAGGGCGACCCCCTGAAGGAGTCTCTCCTTAGCGACCGGGAGCGTATGCTGCAGTAAGGAGACAGGTAGGAGCTGGATGTGCCAGACCCACTACGGTGGTAATGTCCCTTCTATGGGTACACCTGATAAATCTCTGATATTTGGGTTCTTGGCGTTTCCTTTATAGGTGGTAATTCCCTACATGGGTACACTTACCTGGACATGTCATGGCCCGTGTAATACCAGGTATTGGTCCTTTAGGGGATGAAGCAATAAAGGCTGGTCTGGGGATCCTCTTTACTATCTCAGGTAAGGTTGTAGGCTTATGAAGGTTCTCCCTGTGTGACCTCTCTCCTTTCCTTACCTTGTTGCTGTGTAGTCTAGGGGTTTGTGTATGTGTTCCGGTGGTGGAACGCGTACGTAATGATGCGCAGAAAGTAGCTCGTTATTTCTGGTTCTCCAGTCCTTGGTGAAACGCAAATTTGAACGCAATAATGCCGGAAGTGATAACGTCATTCTGCTATATTATTTGCGGTCCTAGTCTCCCCAAGTTCGTGGCAAAAATACTTGGCTTCTGTCAACAGAGCTTCTGGAGTTCGTTCCTGTTGCTGTGGTTAGGAATGGTCTTTATTTTCTTTCTGCTGCAGGTCAGTTGATTTCATTTCCTTTCTCTTTTAATCCATCTATATTGTTAAAGTTTAGATAGAGGTTTTTTTAGCTAGAAATATTATTTATTTTCTAGCTGTCTGATCTCATGGAGTCCCCAGGCCACTCATCTATAAATAGGTCACATTCTCTAGGTTCTGAGTAAGTCACTGGTATTTTATTTGCAATTTATATTCATACAATTAAATATTTAAAAGCGTGCGCATTCCTCCTGTCCTAATATGGATTCTCAGTTCTGCTCATAGATCCTCCTACAAGAAAAAGGACAAGACTCCTTTATGTGAAGCATGTGATAAGGCTATTCCAGGGAAGATGCTCTGCATATCCTGTTTAAAAGCAGCGGCACAAAGAATCGGATCCTGATGTTTTAGCCTATATCTGTCAAACTGTTACGGAAGGTCTACTACAAGCAGAAAAACTAGGAAAATACACAGATCTTTCAGTCCTGAATGGAACCCAGATTTGAGTTCAGATGAGGGAATACCTCCAGTATGTGGTATACAGGCATTTTCATCTTCAGAGGAAGATATGCTTTCTGATCCAGCTTTCATGGATAGTAAGAAAATCAAGGCTCTTGTCAAGGTAGTTCGGAACGTCCATGATTTAAAGGATAAGAAAGAAAAGGAACTGGCCTCTAGCAAACATTTTGAAGACTTGAGGAAAAAGAACCCGACTTTTCCATTTCACAAAATTATTAAGGATCTGATGAAGGAGGAAGACTGAGGAAAAAAAGTCTCCTTGCAAGGCCGGCTTTCTAAACTGTCCCTTTAAGCCTAGGGATTGTGCTCCTTGGGACTCTGCTCTCAAAGTTGATGCAGCCATTTTTCGTCTGGCCAAGTAGACCTCCTTACCAATTTTTGATGCAGGATCACTTAGAGATCCAATGGATAGAAGATTGGATTCCAACTTGTGTAAAGCCTATATTTCCTCTTGTTCTGAGCTTTGTCCTGCTGTGGCCTTGACATCTGTCTCTAGGGCCTTAAAGTTGGAAGACCTCGAGGAGGATATTTTGGATTCTTTAAAGAATTTCAGAATGATCGTTGACTTTACTTCTGATGCTTCTATTGATTTAGTCAGATCCCTGTCTAGATGCATGGTCTTGTCGGTAGCCTCAAGACTAACATTGTGGCTCCGAAATTGGTTTGCGGACTCTGCTTCTAAGAATAGCTTATGTGCCCTTCCCTATCAAGGGAATATGCTGTTTGTAAAACATTTTGGATAAATGCATCAAAAGGGCAGTGGAAGGACGGAACACTTTTCTTCCTCCAGATAGAAGGCAAAAAAGATCCTTTCCACAAGACAGACGCTCCTTTCATGATAAGTATTATAGACGCTACAGACCAGGAAGAAATTTTCCAGATTCCAGTCATGGAAGGGTGGTTTCTCCTCCTCCAAACATACTTGTGGGAGAGGTGGCAGTACTAGGCAGTCTAAAGAATTCTAATGGGGCGCCAGTCCAGTCCGGGGGACATCTGGGCTCACAAAATTCCAGACAAATGGGTCTTAAAAATCGTAAGTACAGGATATTTCCTGGAATTAAACATAGAAACATAGAATGTGACGGCAGATAAGAACCATTCGGCCCATCTAGTCTGCCCAATTTTCTAAATACTTTCATTAGTCCCTAGCCTTATCTTATAGTTAGGATAGCCTTATGCTTATCCCACGCATGCTTAAACTCCTTTACTGTGTTAACCTCTACCACTTCAGCTGGAAGGCTATTCCATGCATCCACTACCCTCTCAGTAAAGTAATACTTCCTGATATTATTTTTAAACCTTTGTCCCTCTAATTTAAGACTATGTCCTCTTGTTGTGGTAGTTTTTCTTCTTTTAAATATAGTCTCCTCCTTTACTGTGTTGATTCCCTTTATATATTTAAATGTTTCTATCATATCCCCCCTGTCTTGTCTTTCCTCGACGCTATAAGATCCTTTAACCTTTCCTGGTAAGTTTTATACCGCAATCCATGAACCAGTTTAGTAGCCCTTCCATTCGGCCTAAGCACTGTTCCTAGAAGGGGTAGGAGGAGGCGTCTCTCTTTTATTGTTTTAATTCGGTGCTCCTGTCCAGTTTGGAAGGGGGCTTAGCTATACCCATCTGTAGTGCTGCCATGGCATACATCCGGGAAAAGAAAATAGTGAGTATTAAGTAAATTTTCTATTGTTTACTGCAAAAATTCCGAAGGTAATGATTATACTCACTGGAACAAATACAGTAAGCTGTAGTTGTTCTGGTGACTATTGTGTCCGTTTCGAGTTATTTCTTAATCTCCAGATCTATTCCATTGATGAGGTATGCCCGTTTTTTTTTTATGTGCACTTGTTTAAATGTCACTATTTTTGTATAGCGTTTTTTAAAGTGCAATTTACATAGTTATTCACTTAACTCAATTATTCACTAACATTACGCTACAGTAGCCATGTTGTAATTATAGTGGAGTTGGTGAGGTTTTCTTCTTTTGTTGTTGTTGTTGAAACCATTTGTTTTTACCTAGATTTGCAGTTCAGATTTAATTCATTAAAAATTCGAAGTTTAGTAAAAACCCTGTATAGAGTGTGGCCGTCTCCAATTCCATGGATAGAGTGTGGCCATCTCCAATTCCATGGATAGAGCGTGGCCGTCTCCATTTCCCTGGATAGAGCGTGGCCGTCTCCGTTTCCCTGGATAGAGCGTGGCCGTCTCCGTTTCCCTGGATAGAGCGTGGCCGTCTCCGTTTCCCTGGATAGAGCGTGGCCGTCTCCGTTTCCCTGGATAGAGCGTGGCCGTCTCCGTTTCCCTGGATAGAGCGTGGCCGGCCTGGATAGAGCGTGGCCGTCTCCGTTTCCCTGGATAGAGCGTGGCCGTCTCCGTTTCCCTGGATAGAGCGTGGCCGTCTCCGTTTCCCTGGATAGAGCGTGGCTGTCTCTATTTCCATGTATTGAATCCTATTCCAATACAAGTCCCTCTAGTTATTTTTAGCCTACATTCTGGTAACCGAATTCACACTTTAGTGAATAGCACTGTGCGGTTATCGCGTGTTATGCACGGGAAGTAAGTGGCTGGCGATTGGGCGGGCTGGCTGGCTGTGGCAGACCGTGCAGCAATCTGGGCGGTATGTTTGGTTGCCATGGCGATAGTCGTTCACACGGTCGCGCTCTGCCCGCGGCGGGCCATTGCTGATGACGTCACGCGCCCCGCGCTGTGGTTGGCTGTCTGTGGAGACGCTCCGTTCAGTGGTCGCGGGTAAAGTTTTGGCGCCTTCCTGGTGACCAAGGATCTGACGGAGGAACGCGCTGGGAATTCTAGTCGGATTAAACCCGCGGGCTCCGGGCCTTCAGGTCGGTCAGCTAGTCACGTGTCCGGGGTGGGTGTGCCAGCTGTCAGGACATGTTCAGACAGAGCCTGCTTTATCTCCCATGTGAACACCCTGTGAGGACACCCGGCTGGCTGTGAGTGGTGTGAGATAATACACTGCTCCTAAATACCAGGAGTTACAGTTATTTCATCTCAGCCTCTCCACATCGAACATGTTCCTGGTAAGGTCACTACATGGCCCTCCCCATTTGCCCTCTTCCCCCCCATTTTGCCCCATTTTCCCCCCATTTATGAGGTATCCAAAGTATAAGCATCTATGCCCATTGCATAGTTTTAAAAAAAAATCCTGCATTCCTTTTGAATTGGTTTTGACTGTTGCATAAACATCTGACTGTATTGGAATAGAAAGAAATACTATAGTGTTAGGAATACAAAACTGTATACATAACCCTACAGTGTCCCTCTGCCCATCTCACGCTGATAAAGGGATTGAAACAATTTTTATGCTGCTTGATTCCAGCACCGAGGTCCCACCGTGCTGGGTCGTGCTCCTTCTCCACCAACATGCTGCAGAGCATTAGGTCTCCTTTTGACGCAGTGCTTTCTGAGGTGGATTTTAAAGACACTGAACGTACTCATGCTAAGCGTGAGTCGTTTCATGGAGTCAAACTTTGTGAAACAGCAGGAAGGGCTTCTGAGAAAGCCACTAGTGGCAGTTTTAGCACTGCATTGTAAAACATTGCAATTTCTCTGAAACTGCAATGTTTTAGATTGCATGGCTAAGGGGGACAGGGACAATGCACCGAGACCACTTAGATGAGAGAGTGGTCTTGATGCCTCTAGTGCCCTTTTTTAATTTAAATTCCTCTGCACTCATAATATATGGGAAAAACTAAAGACTACTACTTACCGTTGTGATGCATCTTTTCTTGCAATGTGTGGTAGGTGCATATGTTGTGCTAGGTGATGAAAAGAAATTGTGACATTGAACACTGCAAATATTTTGAGATTTGGAATTTTGCCTGGAAAGGTGAGAATTATTTGCCTGAACCTGTCCCTCACGTGTGCTTCCATTTTCATTTCTGGCCTCGCCTCTTCTACTGTCAGAAGCTGGCGTCACTGCTTTATACAGCTTTGAGGTTTGTGGAGGATCCCTCAAGACCATGAGTAATATCTCTGGGAGATTGACACTTCTAGATGGAGGTAGCTCCACCAGTGTCTAGAAATGTAATGGTTAGGAAATATACTGAGACAAAGTCCCTATTTTGTTTCAGTATAGTGGAATCCCATGAAATAAGTCAATATGTGTATTTTATAAAAGTTTTGTGACTCTCTTTTTAAGCAAAATTTGAACGTGAAACCAGTAAAATGCTAAATGCAGTTATTGGAATTCTAATGGCATGTACAAGATATACTGAATAACAGTAACATTTGTTTTTCTATGATCTTTTTAGTTTTGGCCCCACTGAAAATGTGACTCCTTTGTTGGCCTGTTGCACCTTTGGATTACAGTGGATGAGAAGAACTGTTTACGTTTCTTCGTTAGAATGCCACGAAAAGAGAACCCTCCTTTGACATGGTCAGAATGTGTGTGCACAATCTGCCAGGAAATCCTCCTGGAGCCAGTAACTCTGCCATGCAATCACACCCTGTGCAACCCTTGTTTCCAGTTAACAGTGGAAAAAGCAAGCCTGTCTTGCCCTTTTTGCAGAAAACGTGTTTCAACTTGGGCTCGTTACCATGCTCGTTCTGGAACATTGGTCAACAAAAGTCTGTGGTTGAGAATTCAGAGTCAGTATCCAGAGGAGTGCAAACTTCGTGCTTCTGGTCAGGAGATTGAAGACATGGAAGATGGTAAGCTTGTTTAGACACCCATTTGATCACTGTTATAACTGGTTTCTATACTAAAGTAGGCTTTTTTTTTTTTTTTTTTATGCATAAGGATTTACAGTTGTCTGGTGTGCTATATTTGTGTTGTTTTTTTTTAAAAAATATTCCTGATCACTTTATAAAGATATGAAAGAATTGTGTATAGTTCATCCTTTGTTACTTTTGATTTCTTAGAATCTGTGACCTTTCCTTCTCGGCTCTTATGCAAACCAGGAGAAATCAGGCAAGAGTATGAAGCAGAGATCAGCAAGGTGGGAACTTACGTTGTATGAAACATGCATTAACATGCCTCAAATATAAGCGTGTATGGGTTCATAGGTCTAGTAAGGCCACCATAGGCAAGTACCTTGTGGGGGGAATAAAGAAATAGTCCATATTTCTTTCTCTTCTCTCTGTCCCATTTTTGTTCCCCTCCTTGCCTCGTACCATTCGTGAGTGGCCAGCCAGGATGCAGACTGTGCATCATTTCCCTCACAGCCCAGTCTCTGTGTGTGGAAGTCCAGGTCTATGATATAACATATATTCCTGCCCCCTTTCATACACTGCATTCACACAAGTAGTTGTTTCCTACAGGTGGTATGTTTCCTGGCAGAAGATATGTAGCTGAAAGGCAGTGCACAATGCTACTGGCAGCTCTCTAATACTGTGTCATCCGAGGACAAGCTTTTGCTGCACCACTGTATTGGTTTTTCAATTCGCTTTTAGTAGCTTCCATGATTTTAAAAAAAAATATATTTTTTTTTAATTTATTTTTTTTAGCATTCTATAAGAAAAAGCTAATTTGAAATTACTGTAGATGAATGCTTTTCCCTTGTGTGAATGTTGAAATTGTTCATCTGTATGTTTTTAATGCATTTATCTCACTGTATCACAGTGAAGGCTTAGTTTAGGACACAGCTAAAGTGAATACACCCTAGATTTATAAAAAAAAAAATAAAAAAATGGAGCAGTGAAGTTGTTCGATTGTTTAATTTAAATTGGCTTCTTTTAATTCTATCTGCAACCACGTGACTTCATCAGATCGAAGCTGAGCGTCTGGCCAAGGAAGAAGCAGAGAGGAAAGCAAGTGAAGAGTACATTCAAAAGCTGCTAGAAGAGGAACAAGAGGAGCAGAGACATCAAACAGAAGCCAGTCGCAGGGAAATGGAGGAGCAGTTAAGACAAGATGAGGAGCTAGCTCGATCACTAAGTAACGATCTAGTAAGTTAAGAATTCCTTTTTCTATGCTTACATTACATAAGCCTATGCCCTGGAATCAATCAAGTGGACTACCCACCAAAGTCTCCTGTAGGAAAATATTGAGAGATTAGAAAATTAATAAGGTGGCTTTTACATTAAAACAGAATTCTATATTTCTTTAAAAGTAAAATTATATCATCAGATTGGTGAAAAAATTGAAAGTTGTTTTAGCATACAAATTTTTGTATTACAAGCACGTTTTCTATCACATACCCTGCTGTATAATCCCTAGTCATGCTAATCAAAACATAAACCAAACTGTTTATTACTAGAGATGTCGCGAACCGTCCGCGAACTTCCCACCAATCTCCGGTCTGGGAGGGAGGGTCTGCTGGAGATTGGCCGGGATGTGTCAGCTGACCGGAGTTCGCCACGAACCGTTCGCGGACGGTTCGCGACATCTCTATTTATTACTGGAGTTATATATAAGCTTACTTGCTTTGTGATTACGCACTTAAGCGTTCACAAATGGTCAATTATGCAATTACAGAAAGAACCTATACCATTAGCATGTCAGAGGGCTCCAACCAAATGGGGAAGTTCAGAACCAAAATTACATTCAAACCCGCTATACCTAATACATACAACAAACCCACATGATCTTTTCAGCCTTGCTAATGAATTGCAGCTGGTACCACAGTAGGTAAAGTGAGCAAGAAATCCAATTACACATTTAACCCCTTAACGACCTAGGATGGTTTAGGACCGTCATCTGCATTTTTGCGTTGCCGACCGCTGACAGTCCTGAATCGTCCTAACGGTGTAATGTACTTACCCGATCGCCGTCGTTCCACAGGCGACGATCGGTGGTGCTCCCGGTGTGGGGAGACTGCCTGCAGCCCAGACATGGCGGATTAGGACCCCTGTGGCCATGTGATCGCTTAACAGAGCGATCACATGGTCACAATAGGTGTCCATGTGTCTGCCTGCAGGGGGACTGTCTGTGCTGACAGGCAGTCTCCCTGCTAGTGTAAAATCATTAAAAAAAACTGTTAATGTTAATAAATAAAATAATTGTGATAGACATTATATCTATATAATATGTCTATATATCATATATAATGTCATACTAAGTGTATTTTTATATTAATATGTACATCTTTTAATATAAAAATACACTTATAATTAAATTAGACACGTGTGTATACATAGTAACTATATATAGTGTATTATAAAATACAAATAAGTAAATTAAATAAAAACATGTAAAAATAATAAAAATGTAAATTATATCTATATGAAATGTTATTCTAACTGTATTTTGATATTAATATATTTATATCAAAATACACTTAGAAATTGTATATATTTATATAAATAAATAAAAATAACACGAAATATACATGTCATACAAAATTACATAAACAATTATATAAATATACACGTAGATGTCAGATATATAAATATACATATATATTTAAATTCTACGTGCGTATTTATGTAATATTTTTACATAATTAAGTAATTTTATGGATTGCAATTTGAGGGACCTGCCTGCCAACGCAGGTCGAAAGTCCAGAGAATTTAAATTTCTATGAAACCTTAAAACTTGATCACTTTTTTTTTTGCATCTTTTACTGATGATATTGTTGTGATAGTTTTCCTGTTTTGAAACACTAATATTTGTGTTCAGCAAAATCTCCCGAGTATAACAGTACCTCCCATGTACAGGTTTTATAGCTTTTTTGAAAGTTACAGGGTCCGATATATGGGTCAAATATTTTTACATTGAAAATGGCCAGGTTGGTTACGTTGCCTTTGAGAGCGGATGGTAGCCCAGGAATGAGAATTACCCCCATGATGGCATACCATTTGCAAAAGAAGACAACCCAAGGTATTGCAAATGGGGTATGTCCAGTCTTTTTTAGTAGCCACTTAGTCACAAACACTGGCCAAAATTAGCATTCAATTTAGTTTTTAACTTTTTTCACACACAAATATCAACGCTAATTTTGGCCAGTGTTTGCGACTAAGTGGCTTCTAAAAAAGACTGGACATACCCCATATTGAATACCCTGGGTTGTCTACTTTAAAAAAATATATGTACATGTGGGGTGTTAATCAGAGATTTATGACCGATAATAGTTTTCATTCGCTTTTGTAGATGAGTAAAAGTTTTCAAGTAAAAAAAATGTATTTTTTTCTCCAGTTTTTCATCATATGTTTTTATTTTTATTTTTTAAATTAAATTACATGAGATTATATAAATAATGGTATGTAAAGAAAGCCCTTTTTGTCCTGAAAAAAATATATAATTTGTATAGGAACAGTAAATAAGAGAGCGGAAAATTACAGCTAAACAAAAACACCACAAAAGTGTAAAATGATACCTGGTCGCAACTGTACAACATCGCAAAAACAGTCCAGTCCTTAAGGGGTTAAGATTTAAAGTGTTATTCACTAAACTCCAAATCTAGTCCCAAAGTACAGAATTTGGTGAAAATAGCCTAATTCCTATCGGAAAGGCAATTCTTGTATTTTATCTATCTATCTATTCCTGTTAGAATTTGGTTAGCCTGGCCGAATTTGCACCAATCGCCTGGATGCATTCAGTCTCTGGATTAAAATACCTGCTTTTTGCATTCAAACACTATACAAAGTACAAGATCCAGAATATTTACAAAGAACCACTCTAAAAAATCTGGATCAAGTTAATGTGGTAAAATGCACATGCATGAATTATCGTTCAATAGATAGTAGTCAGCGGACAAATAGGTTAAAAAAAAAAAAAACACTTTAAAGATACTTAATAGAAACATAGAATGTGACAGCAGATAAGAACCGTTTGGCCCATCTAGTCTGCCCAGTTTCCTAAATAGAGAACAGAGTGGATAGGGCAAGCCAGATATAGGATTGGTACACATATAAAGGGGGTAACCCTAAATGGAAACTATATAAATATGTTGAGAAAAAGTAGTGTACCAAGGAAGGGGCTGGGATAAGTATCAAATACAGAAGAAAACTTAATAGACAAGGAAAAAATATCATATATATAGAAAATAAGAACTTTATTATTGGGGGTAAAAAAACTATTAAAATTGCCCATAGGCAAATCCAGTGGTGCTTGTGTACTGTGAAAAAAATCTAAATGATAGATAAAGAATAGGTATACGACAGGTCAAAATAAAGTCACCACTTAGTATGATTGCTCTATACGTGGCATTAATAAACTAACTTTTGCGGGATCAAGGTAAAGCGTGTTGCCAACATAGAGGCTATAAATCTATGCACATGTCTGTGCCAAGATTATTTACAAAAATATCTTGGTGGGGTGATACAAAAGGGAATAGCCCTTCATACCAGGATCGGCACCAAATGGATATTCTAGCGTTGCGTGTAGCAGAGTAAAATCCAGCTAAATAATAACAGTAAGTATAACTCCCATCAATAGCAAACAAAAGTATCAAGGCAAAGCTCCCTGCCTATAACTGTTAAAAGTGTATAAACAGTTAAAATAGACACTGGAGCGTGCTGTATAATAAGGTAATGATACTGACATAGAATCAAACTCTCATCAATGGCAGGCGTTGGCATAAGGATGAGACTAGCTGCCAATTACTATGAGGAAATTGGAACCAGAAATGTTTAAATAGAAGATAGTAATGAGTGGTAATAAAATAAGCCTTCTAATGATATATGTTGAAGGATAGTTAGACCATAATGATAAGTCTAACAGGCTTTCGAGGGCACCTATGGCTGTAATAGTGCTGAGTGCAGAGGGAGGATACCGGAGCTGTGGATGTTAAATTGCTTTGCAAGGTAGTGTACTGGTGTTCTATCAGTCTGGTATACTCCGTCAGATTGCTATACCCACGTCACTTCCGGGGAGGGGAATCAGCTGTCTCCTGTGCTGCACATGCGTGCTAGCACTCCTGCTACTCCTCCACAGCAAGGTCCTGGAAGGTAAGTAAAACTAGTTTTACACTTTCATTATAGTTAGTGCATTCACTAAGCTTAGGCACAAGCTTACCTTGCACTAAGATAGTAGCCTTGCTAACTTCTCCCCTACCCGTGCCTTCGAGGGCACCTAGATCCATTCCCATTCTATGCTATTTACACATGATACCTCGCCAAGCTAAGTGGCTAGAGCATGCTAGAAAGCCAAGTGGCTAATAAAATTTTTTAAAAAAATTAAACATAGTGATAAGTCTGTGTGCTGTCATATGGTAACTGAAGACTGCACTAAATGGATCCCTAAGCACAAGCATAATAGTGAAATTCCACTTTATTGGTGTATAGGAATCTATCCAACCCTTGAGAGCAATGAGGGGTTGAAAGTGATGGCAGTACAATTTAAAGTCCCATTTCCTTTTCGTTATAATAATAAATAAATGTTAAACTGATATGCTGTATGTACTTTGCAGGAGCTTTAATACTCTGTGTATATAATTGTGTGTGCACCTCATGAACAGAACATTTTTTTTCTCCTCTAGAATGCATCCAGTACCTCTTCTGTTGTGTGTCTAGAGGGGTCACCTGTAGTTCACAAGAAGGCAAAACCTTCCAAATCCTGCAGAAATTCAAAAGTGAAGCAGGGTCAGTCAGCAGACATTGAAAGGTGTGTAAGTACTGGTAACCTTACTTAGGCATAGATCAAATGTTAACAGGCCATGATAACTGGCTGAAGACTGCTTTCTAATGCTTAGTGACTCACACACAGTCATGTGCGAAACAGGTTATTGAATGGCTGGGTTAAAGAATGCTCATGCACTAGGATTACCTAATGCTTGTCAATGCAGTTCCCATATTGTTCTGAGATGAGGAATGAAAATGACTGAAAGGGGATTTGGTGGTTGTAAATCGAAAATACTTCCTGTCAATGAGACTTTAAAATGTAAAGATTGGTGTTTGCCTATAGTTAAGCTATCTTTAAAGGTACACCCTGGGCACTAAAACTACTTTATTGCGATTTTGATAAATATTTTTGCATACTCAAATATGGATAGTTTTTTCAAGAATAAAATGTATTTTGTAGCTTTCTGCACTACAAGAATGCATACTACGAGGGCTCCTCTTGTATCATGCATCCTGCCTTGACCTGTACCTATGCAGCTCTGCCACTAAAAACACTGCATACTGAACTCCGCTGCAGGAAAACCAGAAGTCAGCATGACAGAGGGCACACATGCAGTAGGCATAGCTATCCATATCTGTATACCACCCTTTGTCTTTCCTTTCTGAGTTTATGCTTACTAGTGCTGCTTTAGTACTCATGAGTAAGATTTTTTTTTTTTTATTAAACCCTATCCCTCTAAGTCTCCCCTCCCATTATTTGCGAGTTAAGGAGAGGTGAGGCACAGCATTCAGAGCTGAACATTCTGGTGGGCTTCCAGCACTAATACGGGAGAGGGGATAATATAATCCATATTGAGCAGGGGTCTGTGATCCCTGTCGTTGGAGAGTCTGATAGAACAATGAATAGCTCTTAGAAACCTGGCACACCGCATGCAAAACTAATTTTATAGAATTAAAACTACATTATTCTACTCCTAAGTATAAGTGCTTTAAGTGAATCACATTTATTTTATCCATTTTAGGTTTCTGTCACCAAAGCATATGAGAGATGAAGTTAAGAATGCTGATCCTCCGGTAATATGAAATATTCTTTTATGTGCCTTTTTTATTTTTTGGTTTATTTGAATTTTCCAGGTACAATATAGTAGTAACCCACGTAGAACAAATAGATCATATTAGAACACGTTTTTTTATTGATATTTTCAGTAAATACATCAATGTTGACTGTTAATGATGTATTGCTTTAAATGATTTCCTTTTTAAAATCATATTAGTTGCCTTATTTCAAATGTAGCAAAATTAAATTAATGGTTGTGAACACAGGTCTCCTACAGTGCCTGCTGGAGGATCTGCAGGTGAGCTTGTAGGCAAATAAAATTGATTATCTGGTTTACAGTACATACATTAAAGGGACACTATAGTTAACAAAACAACTTTAGCTTAATGAAGCAGTTTTAGTGTATAGATCATCCCTCTGAAGTTTCACTGCTCAATTAACTGCCATTTAGGAGTTAGATCACTTTGTTTCTGTTTATGCAACTCTAACCACACCTCCCTTGGCTGTTACTCACAACCTGCATGAAAACAAAATGGTTTCATGTTCAAACAGATGAAACTTAAAAAAGTTGATCTCTTGCTCTGTAAATTGAATTTTAATTGCATACAGGAGACTCCTGCAGGGTCTAGCAAGCTATTAACAGAGCAGGCAATAAGAAATTCTCAATTAAACAGAATTTGCAATAAAGGAAATGTAAACATTTAGAGGACTCCTTACAGTAAGTGTTTAAGAAGGGTGTGTAAGTCATATGCACGGAGGTGTGTCCAGGGCTGTAAAAACAAAGTAATTTAATTTCAAAATGGCAGAAAATTGAGCAGTGAGACTGCAGTGGCATGATCTATACATCAAAACTGCCTCATTAAGCTAAAGTTATTTTGGTGACTAGTCTCCCTCTAATAGTAGTGGATTTTTAGTATCAATGTTTCTTAAACCATTTTAATATTGAGAATAGTGATGTCCCGAACGGTTCGCCGCGGACTCATTATTGAGTAAACTTTGACCCTGTACCTCACAGTCAGCAGACACATTCCAGCCAATCAGCAGCAGACCCTCCCACCTCCTGGACAGCTCACTAAGAATGCAGCTTCACAATGGATGCTGTCCAGGAGGTGGGAGGGTCTGCTGCTGATTGGCTGGAATGTGTCTGCTGACTGTGAGGTACAGGGTCAAAGTTTACTCAATGATGAGTCTGCGGCGAACCGTTCGGGACATCACTAATTGAGAAAACTATTTATTTTTTTGAGTAACTTTGCATTATTTATTTTTTTCCCCAACAGATCATCAGCCCTTACATTGAAAGGAGCATAACTGTATTTGACGAGGATGCAAATGAAATGCCTACGCTCTCACCTCAAGTTACCTTGCCTGCCCAGAAGCACTTGTATCAGGCTCATACTGAAGAGCAAGTGCTTGATTTAGAGGTATCCTCTATATTGGAACATCACAATGAAAGCCAACAAACTAGTGAAGTTATCAAAAATCTGTGCCTTGATGAATTATATACTCCCTGTGCAAGAGTAATTGGGGATAATATCAGACAAAGGTTAGGAAGTTCAAACTCTGAAACTGTAGATTTCTGTCCAACTTCTGTTTCAAAGTCTGATGAGAGCAACACGACACACAGCTTTTCTGGATGGAACTCTACCACCAGCACACCAAAACAGCAGCTTAAAAAAAGAAAGTGTGATGAATGTGCTATTGATCCATCTGAACACCTGGAGGACTGTGGGAAAGGCAAGCGTAAGAGAATGCCCGACATTGGGAGCTACACAGATACTGGTTGCCATGTACTGGAACGAGATGAGAAGCTGTTTGATTTGAGGCAGCAGGAGGAACAGGACAGGTTGCTAGCCCTACAGTTGCAAAAGGAACTGGACAAGGAAATGAAGCAAGTGATCAGGCACAAAGGTTCTCCTGATGAGTACCACCTACGTCCCAAGCAAAGGAATGAAAAGCAGGAATACAAGGAATCAACACATCTTGAACCTGAACCAAAGACTATAACCCAGCCAAAATCTGGTAAAGGAAAAGGTGTGAGTAGCCCAGATGAAAACAAAAAACCTCAGAGGGAAATATTGATATCACCAAAGGTTAAGGAAAAACAGGCTACTGAAAAAATGAAAATTCTATGGCCACGCAACAAGCAGCAGACTATACTTGAACTATTTAAAAAGTCTGCAAGTAAATAAATTAACTTGCTAGCTGGTGTCATGCCCTGTTTAGTATTGTGGTTTGCAACTGATACTGCTTCATAAATAAATATATTATATTACTGTGTAATGTCTTGATCGCATACCATATCAGTCACGGTAGTAAATACTACATGCAATCATAGCAGAGTAAGGCAGACCACTACTAAATTGAAAGCTATGGAGTTCAAAAGTAATGAAGTGTGACTTCTTTCACAACTGCACCTATGTGACTGAACAGTTGGGTTTCAAAAGTATGTTCCGTTTTACACCAAAAATGATATTGTTTGCCGGCAGAATGCTTAATCCTTAAACTGTTGGCACTAAACAAGGCCTTTGCATGGTTTAGGGTTTTTTTTGGTTGTTGTTTTCCATTATGAGGTTGAAAGTTGGGCATATTATTGGCTTATATTAAACTTGCAGAACAATAACACTGCTACTTTATTCACTTTAATAGTAGTAAAGTGGGCCTTTTTGCAAACTGGGCAGTGGGGAGTCAACCTGCACATAATTGAGCCAAAGTAATAAACCGAAAATACATCTGCAGACGACACTGCAAAAATAATAAATCATTAAATGCTAGTTTTACAGTTTTTATAAAGATTATTTAATGCAATAATATTCAGTGTCCTATAGAAAGTATCTGGAAGCAATATTCCAAAAACATGTTAATGCGCAGTGGGAGAATACATTTGCTCAAATCGTTACAAAATCATATTTGATAGCAAAGGTCAAAATACAGCACGCTTCGACAAAGTGTAATGCCCAGGGAATTAAACTCTGCAAACCACACAAATATACGTACAGTGGTAAGATCCCGACATTGGTATTTGTATACTCTGTCTCTTGAATCTACGTGAGAAAGTGCATGAGCTAATGCCGGTCTAGATGGAGCTATTGTGTATGAATCCAAAAGTAGCATTAAAAATGTGAGGCATGTACCTTTAGATTATGGCTTTAAATAAAGTGTAAAACTGGAAATTTGTATTTTATATTAACTTGTATATAGAACGCCTCCTGCTGATGTGTTTTTGGCTCACTACTGTATATGAATATAATATAAGAATAAATCAATTCATTTAGTAACAGTAGGAATAGGATTTTAAAGTAACACTATAATGTCAGAAATACAAATGTGTATTCCTAACCCATAGTGTTAAAAAAATGCAGTTTAGGCCCCTGAGCCCCTCCTTGGCTGACATCAGAATTTATGATTTCGGCCAGGACGTGTCGATGGGGCAGAGCCACATGCTGCGCTAGCCGATTAGCATCTTCTCATAGTGATGCATTGAATCCATGCATATCTATGGGGAAAGATCGGTGTCTCCATGCAGAGCGTGGAGACACTGAACATAAGTGCTGCACAACCCAGGAAGCGCCTCTAGTGGCCATCTGCGTGACTACCACCTGAAGAGTCCATAGGCAGCATTTTAAACACTGCCAGTTTACAGCAAAGAGCCTGCAGGGACTGAATAGTCTCACCAGAACAACTATGTTAAGCTGTAGTTGTTCTGGTGACTAGTGTTTTAAGGTTTTAGTGGCCTCCTAATTTTCTTACCATAATAAATATGTATTTTAAATACATAAGCATTATAGAGATTATTGCATTATAGTATTATAAAAAAAAATATATAAAGCTGGCATTTTATGATTTTCTTTTTTTGCACTGCCTTTTGCAGGTATGTTTTTGGATTACTGCTTTAAATGCATACGAAATAAGATTAAATCCTTTAATTCGTTAAAATAAGAATTTCTTCTTCAAAAATTGTAGTTCATATGTTTTTATGAAAGCACTTGTTCACTGTTGACTTTTTTTTTGGTATTCCTTTCTCTGCTAAACCTTTTGGGATTTAAAAATAGATATAGTATTCAATTCCTTTCTTCTGATTTGAAGGGTTCTGTTGATTTTAGCGAACACTACCATGATAGTCATGGCAAACCTTGTCACCCCTGGTTGTGTTAAGCTACATTTTCCACGATCCTTGGCGTTCATTTGGTGGGGATCATGTGGATCAGCCACACATGGGATGCCGATATTGTCAATCACTAGACTCATGCAATGAAGACCCCCCATCGACAACATTGTGTCCATGAGAGAGAGAGAGAAAAAAAAAAAGATTGCCAAGAACGAATTACATTTCTCTGAAACACTGTATGTATTAAAAGTACATTTTAATTAAAGATTCTGTCATACAAATGCAGTCAGCCATTTATTTGAATCTGTTTTAACTTGGTTCTGACACTTGGGCATGTTTTGTCACACAAATTCAATAAAAGCTTGTTGCATCAAACTTAATAACTCTACATTATTTCAAATTATGTTTGTTCCTTAGAATTTTTTTTATATGGATATGATACAGAAAGATGTTAAAGTGGGGGATACAAATAGAAACACAAATGTAATTAAGTGTTCTTGCATAGCAAGACCACTTAATGTTATCTCACATATATATTAAGTGTTCTTGCAAGAACACTTATTGTTATCTCACATATATATTACTCTTATTATAGCCAAATTTGCCACCCTAACTCCTCCCACAGTTTTTACACTACATAGACCAAAATTTACCAAAACGTGCAGATTGTTCCCGATCGGATTGCTATTGCTTTGTGGAACGTTTCGCCGAATGGTTCACGGAATATCGTCGTTTTTGTGGCGCAATTTGTCCCATAGGAATGAATGGCAAAGCTAGAGTGGGAGCTGGCAAAAGCTGAAAAATCAGGACATGATTTCTAAACTGCCACCACTCCCTTATTTTCAGGCCCACCTACACAAATCTTATATCAAAACGTTCAGCTATCCCTGCTGCCACTAAACATGTCAACGGCTAAGCCATAGTCCTGATAGTTTTCACAATATAATAATTTGTTTGCAACTAATGCCGTCCATTGACATTCATTGAAACTTCACTCTACAAAGCTCAAATTTGAAGTGCAATTTCTAAACTGCGACTGTGCCTTCATTTTTAATACTTCAGAGACATACTATGCATCACAATGTAGGTCTGGGTCTTGTGATTCTCACAATATAAAGCTCTTCTTTGTAGGATTTATAGTTTTTAAAATACGTCCGTTTGAAGATGGCACCCGCCAAAATACTCTGACCTGTGCCAGGCTGCAGCAGCAAGTGATGTCATAGACCGGGCCTTTTGAACACCTGCTAATGTTTTTATAAATGTATGGTTTAACCCCTTAAGGACTGGACTGTTTTTGCGATGTTGTACATTTGCGACCAGGCATATTTTTACACTTTTGTGGTGTTTGTGTTTGGCTGTAATTTTCCGCTTTCTCATTTACTGTTCCCATACAAATTATATATTGTTTTTTTCAGGACAAAAGGGGCTTCCTTTACATACCATTATTTATATAATCTCATGTATTTTAATAAAAAAAAAAATATGATGAAAATTTTTTTAAAATACATGTTTTTTGACTTTTACTTGAAAAATCTTTTACTCATCTACAAAAGCGAATGAAAAAAACTGCTAAATAGATTCAAAATTTTGTCCTGAGTTTAAAAATACCCAGTGTTTACGTGCTTTTTTGCTTTTTTTTTTTGCATGTTATAGGGCTATAGGTACAAGTAGGATATTGCGGTTTCAAAACATACATTTTTAAAATTTATCAATAGTGACATTGTAACACTATTATCTGTCATAAATCTCTGAATAACACCCCACATGTACATATTTTTTTTAAAGTAGACAACCCAGGGTATTCAATATGGGGTATGTCCAGTCTTTTTTAGTAGCCACTTAGTCGAAAACACTGGCCAAAGTAAGCATTCATATTTGTTTGTGTGTGAAAAAAGTAAAAAAACTAAATTGAACGCTAATTTTGGCCAGTGTTTGTGACCAAGTGGTTACTAAAAAAGACTGGACATACCCCATTTGCAATACCTTGGGTTGTCTTCTTTTGCAAATGGTATGCCATCATGGGGGTAATTCTCATTCCTGGGCTACCATACGCTCTCAAAGGCAACGTAACCAACCTGGCCATTTTAATGTAAAAATATTTGACCCATATATTTGACCTTGTAACTTTCAAAAATGCTATAAAACCTGTACATGGGGGGTACTGTTTTACTCGGGAGACATCTCTGAACACAAATATTAGTGTTTAAAAACTGGAAAACGTATCACAACAATTATATCATCAGTAAAAGTGCTGTTTGTGTGTGAAAAATGCAAAAAAAGTAACTTTCACTGACAATATCATCGCTGTGATATGTTTTACTGTTTTGAATCACTAATATTTGTGTTCAGCGAAGTCTCCCGAGTAAAACAGTACCCCCCATGTACAGGTTTTAGGGTGTCGTAGAACGTTACAGGGTAAAATACAGTGCTAGCAAATTAAATTCTCTGGAATTTCGGCCTGGGTTGGCAGGCAGGTCCCTCAAATTGCAATCAATAAAATTACTGAATTATGTAAAAATATTACATAAATACGCACGTAGAATTTAAATATATATGCATATTTATATATTTGAAGTCTACGTGTATATTTATATAATTATTTATGTAATTTTGTATATGGACATATGTATATTTCGTATTATTTTTATTTATTTTTATATACATAGATATATATACAAATTCATTCTAAGTGTATTTTGATATATATATATATATATTAATTTTAAAATACAGTTAGAATAAAATTTCATATAGCTATATAATTTCTTTTAATTTTTTTATTATTTAAAAAAAATTATTTAATTTAAATTACTTATTATTTATATTTTATAATATATATACAATATATATAGTTATTATATATATTATATATATATACGTGTGTAATTTAATTATAAGTATTTTTATATTAATATAAGTACATATTAATATAAAAATACACTTATTATGGCATTATATATATGATATATAGACATATATTATATAGATATAATATATGTCTATATATCATATATACACATATATAATTATTATTATTTTTTTAATTAACACTAACTTTATTTTTTTTAATTGATTTTACACATGCAGGGAGACTGCCTGTCAGCACAGGCAGTCCCCCTGCAGGCAGACACATGGACACCTATTGTGACCATGTGATCGCTGTGTTGAGCGATCACATGGCCACAGGGGTCCTAATCTGCCGTGGGGAGACTGTCTGGGCTGCAGGCAGTCTCCCCACAACCGGAGCCACGCTGATCGCCGCCGGGGGAACGACGGCGATCAGGTAAGTAACTAAGACCGTTAGGACGGTTCAGGACCGTCATCGGTCCGCAATGGGAAAATCCCGATGACGGTCCTGAACCGTCCTGGGTCGGGAAGGGGTTAATGTAACTGTGCAACAACGTTGCAATTAAATGTGCTATATAAATGATAAGTTACTCCGCCCACTCCAGTTGTAGACTACTGGTGGAGGCAAGAACACTTCACACAATTTCCCCAGAAATTGTAGCTTTTCTAGTTTACTTATGTTTTATTTGTTGAGCATATAAATTAGACAATACAGTTTGCAGTAGACCCACAAAAATAAAGTAAAAAGGAATAGTTATAAGAAGGCTCATATTTCATACAGTAAAAGCAGACATGTAAGTGGGTAGCCCATATACTGTTTTGATACCATGTTTGCTGCTTTTGAATGTGGTTCTGCTTCTAAAAGAAACACAAAACTGTAAACTATTTAGGTTTTTCTCTTCAATATTTTTTAAGTCTTTGTATAGACAAATTAACAAAGGCTGGTGGATCTATCTGAGGAAGTTGACTTACATTCATAGCCAGTAATACAAGTGGATGCTAGTGACAGAGATGAGATGGTTAGGATATTTAAAGAGCCATTCCAGACTCCTAAAGCACCTTTGGGTGAGAGTGTCCTATTTTTTTTTTTCCTTTCTCATGTTGCAAAAAAGTGCAGATTTCAAATGATATGGACACTTTATATATATATACACACACACACACACACACACACACACTCCGTGTCAGACAACTGGTTGTTCCTAGTTGGTTAGCTCAGTGGAGCTAAACTCAGGAGGCAGCAACTGCCCGGGGCACTTGCTTTGCAAAGACTTCTCATTGAGCTGCATTGGGAAGTCTGATTAAACAGCCACAGAAAGTTTGGGCGGGGGTGGAAAGGGAGGGTTTGCAAAGGTAGCGGACAAGAGAACTGCAGATTGTGCATACTGTTTTTAGCTATATCCCCCAATGAAAAATGCATAACTAAATGTATGCGTATTTTCATATCGGGCATATATATCAAGTGATTTTTATTGATGTATATGGCTAGTGCAGGGTCCCTTTATGCAATTAAACTTATTACAGCCATAGCCGGATTTATTTGTCAGTTGCCCGTAGGCACAGAATTCCATGTAGTCAAATTTGACAAATGCATAAATATGTACATATTTCTACTTGTAATGTATTGTTTGAAAATGTGAATATAGTGAGTGTATGCAGTTGTGTGAATGCATACTGGGTTAAAAAATAATATTGAGTGGTTATGGTGCAACCGCAGCAATGAATAGCATCAGAGTTTCATTCGAATGAAATTCCGCTACAAACAAAGTCCCGAATTGCGTTCTAACATGAACGGAGAAACTGTTAGAACGCAATTTGGCAGTTTTGCTGGCGTCCTGTCTAAGTGACAGGAAGCATCGCAGGAACAAGGAGGAAAGTAAGGATTGTGAGAAAATTGCTGTGACCACCGGAAACTAAGCACACTTTGTTCCTCCGCTGGTCACGGCGTAGGAAAACTCCATAAGAGAAATAGTCCCTACTTTTTCTTAAGTTTTAAAGAAAACTGGAGCAGACAGGAAGAAATGAAGAACAGATCCTGAGAAAGGGAGAGAAGAGGAATCGATTGGGGAAAGGTAAATTCGGCATGACAGTGCCGCTTTAATGCCTATCCACAGATTAATACTCAAGCCTCATTTTATCATATCTAGAATGGGACAAGCACAATCTTCCAATCAAGCCCAAACATGATTTGAGAACAAGGGGACCCTACAGAATCTGTTCGGTAACCAAACAGAAGGGAACAATTCTATTCGAATGCAGGGAAACATTACATGATACAAAGTATAATTAAGGGAAAACGTATGAGGAGTCCCATCTCCTGTGACATATCTCCCCCCTTTTTGGAGAGAGTGGCCAGGGGTTGCTCTTATGGGTAAACCCGTGGATGACCGTAGCAGTGGGGTTATACATCTCCTTGCTGGGACTATCCATTGGCATTGCAGTTGTCTTTGCCAGGCCTGTATTGAATGGTGAAATTAAAAGGTTGAATGGCTAAACTCCAGCGTAGTAGGTGTCCGTTATCC